AGGTGTGCATACTCTACTAGCTAGGCACTACATACAAGACTACACACAACACCATATGCAACACAACACTAGACACACACACACAGGCACACACACACACACACACACACACACACACACACACACACACACACACACACGCCACTAGCCCCTACCTACGCAGCCATTCCAATCACATCGCTCTGATACAAAGTCGTGTAGCGGAAGAATTGACACGATGTCGTATAGAGGGCCGAACAGGTAATGTAACCAAACACTCTCCCAAACACTCTCCACAACCACCCTATCCAACACGCTCAACACTCCCCCGAACCACCCAACCACCCAACCACCCAACCACCAGCCAAACCCCCCCCAGCCAAACCAACCACACTCAAATCCCCCAAAAGACGCCCAAAGATCCCGCCAACAACCCCAGGACCCCATCTCTCCAGCATAACCCTAAAAAAGCCGCCGTAGCCGTAGCCGTAGCCGTAGCCGTAGCCGTAGCCGTAGCCATAGACGAGTTGCAGATGTAAGCAAGAGCAAAACCTATGCTTGTTAAAAAAACGAAGAGAAAGAGGGGGAAAAAAGGGGATCGGGTGCGTGGGAGGGTGGGAGAGGCAAAAAAAAGGTCAACTAGCATGCTGAATAATACATGTGTTGGCATGTCTGTCGGGGGAAGGGATGTCAAGCAGGAAAAGGTGCTCAAGAGGAAAAGATGGTCAAGAGGAAAAGAGGGTCAAGAGAAAAAAAGGGGCTGCATAATATAAAAAAACCACGACAAGAGGGTCATACTACAAAATGACAAAACGAGTGACTGCATGTGCACTGTATTGCACTATGTGATGGGAGGTAGAGGGTGGGATAGATACTACTAGATGTCGAAAGAGTAGGGTAGGGGTGAACGAGTAGACACTGTCGGAATTTTGCAAAAAAAAAAGGAACCCATTCGCATTTGATGTGACCCGGTATCTAAACACAGCCTTGAATACGCCCCAGATATGAGAGAGAGAGAGAATAGGAGAGAGAAACAAGTATCGGAGATATAGGACACAAGAAGCTGGTTGGCCATGGTCGGGGGCTCGACACAATAGGGGGAGCCCTCTCTCTTTTCTTCCTGATGCTTCAACGGAAAATATGGGTCCGTCGTGTACTGAATGGCAACGGGCTAAATGGCAAAGTGCTTCTTACTCTCGTCGTCAAAACGTGGTCGCACACCGTAGTGCGAGACAGAAGGTGGAGGAGATTAGGGCTATATGGTATCGATGGACTGAGTAATCGTCATGGTTGCTCCTTTGTGGCAGGAGACGTGATGCGGTACCGCTGGGAGGACCGTCGCATGCTGCAACTATACGTTCGTGACCTAGCGTGCTGTTAGCTCCCCGAGCAAGGCATGCGACAACGTCTTGAGAGTCCTACCTTCAATATCCGCCTCGAGTAATCCTCATTGTCTGCAATACTTCCATTGCTTTGCCTCCTGTCTACAAAACTAGGGTCGAGACGCGAGTCGTTCATCGACGAGTTGCTCGTGTGCAACTTGCCGCCATTGACAAACGCATTCACATTGGCGGCGTTGCGACGGTAATCTTCTTCGGCCTGTTTTTGGCGTCTGCGTCGTAGCAAGAACCAGACGCCAAAGCATAAGCCTGCCAAGCCCAAGACGCCCACGACGACGCCTACAGCAATGGCTATTGTGTTCGGCTTCTCCTCTTTGGGCGGCGGAGGGGCGCTTGCAGTGGGCGCGGCCGCAGCCGAGGTTGCTTCCGCAGTCGTTCTTGTTGACGAGGCTGATGAGCTTGAGACGACGGGCTTGAAGTAAGGTACTTTGTTCAAGGTTTGACCGGTCAGGACTACCCATACGGCGCCGGCTCCACCACCTGCAAGTCGTTAGTCGTGATTAGGGGGGGCTGTTTTCCGCCATACGTACATTCGCTATTCTCCTTGTCGCCACGACACGGTGTAGTGCACGTGCTGTTGTCAGTCTGCCATTCTTGTGCGGGAATCTGGTCTCCACACCAGCAGTTCTCGCCGTCGGACAGGGCCATGACATTCTTGTTGAGCGAAATGCAGACCAGCTGGCAGTTGCCAGGTGTCTGGAACTCGTACGGGCCGTGGTTCTCCAGTGGTGTTGGGGTCGCGAAGCAGCCAATGCTGGTCATGGCGCTGGCGGGCAGCGTCGTCGTCGGTGTTGTGATGGGGTTCTTGATGACCGTCGACGAGGGCGCTGCTGTCATGTCATCTTGAGCGGCCACGGTGAGGAACAGTGATGCGGCCGCGAGGACCGAGGCGAACCTAAAGGAGACCATGATGGCCACTGTGAGGATTTTGATGGGTCGGGTTGGTGGTGGTGGTGGTGATGGTGGTCGTGATTTGCCTGCAAACGTGGACTGTGGAGCGTTAGCGGTGCGACGACGGCCTGGAGGGGAGGAGGCAAGTCGCACCCTGGGCCTGATCTATGCACAGCGGTGTGCACACATTCGACAGCTGCTGGACAGGTGGTGCAAGCGGCCGGGCGGCGTACGGGCAGGAGGCAGATGGGTATGGATGGGGTCACGATGAGTAAGCGGTGCTGAGGCAGTCGTGGAGTCGTGAATAGCAGCCGCAGTCGCAAGCACAATGGCAGTTGCAGTCAGGCGTGGTGGACTCGGTCAACGATGCCCGTCGACTGGCTGTGGGAGATGGAACGACTGAAGGCGCGGTTTGGGTCACAGGGGACGGGCTGTGGTGTGCCCGTGGAATGCGTTTCGGATTGCGACCCCTTTCGTGCAAGTGCAGGACGCGAAAAAGGAATGTGTCAAGTGTGTCTGTGTGTGTGTATGGGCGACAGCGTGGTGTTGGGCGGGCAAGGAGCGAGATGGGGTGCTGAAAGTGGTGAGATTTGGTGATTGAACGAGTGTGGATGTCAAGATGACGGGTCGATGGGGGAGGGGGGGGGGGAGAGCAGCGCTCGCAAACGGGAAAAGGAAACGAAGGAGAAGAGACAAGGCCAGGCAGGCACAGAGAGGCACAGGCACACCAAGCAGGCTTGAAAGTGGAGTCACTCGGTGAAGGTGGAGGACAAGTTCAAGGGGAGAGCCGACCGAGTTGGGCAAGAGTCAAGAATGGCTGGCGGCGCGGGATTGGACGTGTTCCCAAGGGCGTACCGGTATGGCTTACCATGGCCAGCACAGCCAGTAAATTAGCAATCCCCCCTTCTCTTGTCACCCTTGTCACCTTGCACCTTGTTAGCACCCTGGCCCTGTCTGTCCGTTGATGGGTACCATAGTATGTACATACATAGATAACGTGTTAGTACATGCCGTATATTCTCTATTCTCTATTGTACCATGTGTTGTACTGTACATACATACCACACCCACCTCCATGCACAATCGGCTGACTGCGGCGCCCTTTCCCATCTGGCCCTCCTTTGGGCCTGGACATACAGTGGGTACATGGTAGATAGTACTCTATCATACATACGCCACTATGGAGTAGTTGGTACCATGTAGATGGCCATCAAGTACCTGCTGGATTCACGCACACGGTTGATGACAATGGCTGGCTGGGCTGGCTGCATCACTCTAGGATGTACTGTGGCTCTGCTCTGGCGGCTAATGCTGAATGTGTTTCTGCTTCCCTTCAAGTCTTTGCTGGCCATGGACATCTAGTGGGTCACCACATCCCACATCTTCACAGCGCGCACATCACTCACATGCTACAATTACAGCATCTCGCCTTCTCTCCCTCTCTCCCTCTCTCTCTCTCTCTCTCACTCTCACACACACACACACACACACACACACACTCCCCCTCCTCTTCTCCATCGTACTTACTTCGCCTGCCGCATCATGAAGCCGCCGTCCATCCTGGGCCTGCCACGATTTGCCAACCAACAACCGTGACCGAAGCGGCCGAGAAGGGACAGGGACGCGGTTTCTCTGTTGACAAGCCACTAGGGGCCGTGCAGCCAATCAGCGCCCCGTTCCTGGCTGCCAGACGGGCCCAACCCGTTTCAGTGCGCCCCACGGATGCAGGGGACACGGCCAACCGCGCGGCCCAGCCAGAAAGGTGGTCGTTCGGCACTGCCTCTGGCCCTTTTTCTCATTTTCATCGCTTCTGGCGTTGCTGACGTTGCCATGCCTTGCCATGCCCTGCCTTCTCCTGCCTCCCACGGCCTTCATCGCCCAGAGCACCGCACTGCGCACTGCCAATATCGCACCGTCCATGATCAGAGAGGAGTGGAGGGGGAGGGGGATGGGCCCCTGGTAGTCAGCCCCAGCTTCCCGCGGTCGAGACTCGAGACTCGAGAAGCTTCTGATGGGGGAGGCCCTCCGCTAGGCCTTTTTGTTTTTGCCTGTTGCGTTGGCATATCTACTGCGCGTCCCCATAACAGTATACTGGACTGCCAGTACCGCTGAGACCCGCCTTGGCTGCCTGCGTATCCCCCATCCCACACGGCCTGGAGCCAGTCTGGGAGCCAGCTTACTTACAGTGGGAACTCAATAAATTGACAAGAACATGTGCAAGCCTGTGCCCAAATCGCCCGCCTCTGCCCAGCTCTTGCCTATGCTCGTACGGGCTATTCTCGTACATGCAGTCAGTCAGTCAGGCAGTCAGTCAATCAATCAATCATCAAGGAGTCAAGGAGCGAGATAGACAAGGAGATGGAGACAAGGACTTTGTCTCCCGTCACCCTTCCCTAGCTCAAACACTTTCCAGCCTTCAACAATGGACGCTGCCAGGCTTGGCTCTGCGGTAGGTAGGTAGCTGGCAGCAGCCTTACAGTAGCACGCTACAATTACCTAGGAGGATGCATGTTCAACCTAGCCTGTCGTAACAGACAGCTAAACTCTCAACTCCCTTGAGACAAGACCATGACATGCAAACTGTTGCACTCCCTTTGTCCCCGCCGTTCGTTTCCTCTCCAGGATGATCCATCCCAGGCACTCGTCCCAGGTCCCATGGATCGCTCGATGCGTCCACGTGCATCTTAGTCAGCGTCCGACCACGTGACACAGACCATGCTCACCCGAGCTAGCCATTTCCGAACTGCGCATTCAAGCCAGGCCAGCTTCAATATGAGGCACCTCGATGACCAGCACCACGCTTGATGCGCCGTCCGCCCATTGCCTGCCAAAGAGCAGTGCAGTCTCTTCACTCTCCCGCCCTTCAACATGTATGGATTGCCGATGACCAGCTATCAATCGCCGTCAATCGCTTCTTTCGCACCACTTGTCCATACCAGAAGCGACATGGCAGTCATGTCCCAGGACCATTGGAGGCCAGGAGGAGGGCCGCGAAGCGTCGCATGACGGCCTCTGCGGCCTTCTACCCCCAGGATCACTTTTTACCGTCTTTCAATCTCCGCGCTTTGTTTGCCTTTCGCAGGAGCCCATCACCAGCTTGGCAGTATCAACCACCGTCATTGCCCAAGCATGTGCCATCGGTAGACGATGGTAAGTCAGAAGCAGCGTTTTGTTCTTCAAAGTTGCTAATAATTTGGCAGCCCTGAAACCTCCACTTCCCTCTTCCACGCATTGCGAAACTACGCCTCTAGTCGAGTCCGCGAACCCCGCCCTCTCCCATGATCCCACCCATGAATCTGAAGAAGATCCGCACCAAGTCGCACATACAGCAGTAAACCGTCTCGACAATGCTGGGATAGGAAGCGCTACAGACTGTGAAAGTGTACATGAGGTTGATCTGGCTACTATCAGTCGACTGGAGCCTGCAACATCAGACGCTGTGGACATTCAGGCATGCTTTGATCAATTCAAGACTGCAATCGCTCAAACGGATAGCACGAGTCGGAAGCAAGATCTGATCAGCGCCTTCGAGTCATCTTGTCCTCCTCTCTGCGCCAATGCCTGGGAATACAATGTCATGGTCATCGAGCATCTGCTCGAAAGGAATTGGGACCCTGCCCCACTGCTAGCCTTAGCAGAAGATCGACCTTTTTTGTTTACCCTGCCACCCACATATACTTCGGCGCATCGAGAATTGTTAAGACATGCCCAGAAGATTTCCATTGCTTTTCCACATGGCAATCGACAGCTACATGCCCTGTATGTAAGACTGGCACAGGCAGCTGCCAGTGCCGACATCTCCATCGACGCCACACAGGATGCTGAACTGATTGCGATTTGCCGTCAATTGTGGCAGTCGTCTCACACCCTAGGCTCGAAGCTTTGTGACTCAGTCAGGGAACTTCTCTGTGCTGTCGCCAGCAAACTCGAAAACCAGCAGACCAGAGTCGCGTTGCATCCCGTGCTGGCCCAAATATACAGCAAAGATGGATCAAAACATGCGATCATGCAATTGATTTCCCGGGCTTCCGCAAGTCTTGATCAATACGTTGCTGCTGCTAACGTACTCTGCTGCATGCCCCGAAACCTGCTTCTCGACATCATTCCAACGTATACCTTGCATCTTTCTTCCGTGAAAAGGAAGAGTAGAGCTGCGGTCAGCACGCACAAGGCAAAATGGAGCACTTGGTTGGAGCTCATCTGCCGTGCCGAAAAAGATTCCGCTTTAGGCCTTGCTTTCTTGGATGCGGCTATTGAACCCCTTGCGAAAGCTGCCTTCCATAAGGTTTCCAAGGAACCTTCCACTCGCCGCTACACAGATTGCGTCAGACCGGAGAATCTGCTGCATACGCTGTTATTCAAGTTTGCGGAACAAGATGCAGTATATGCCACGTCCAAACTCACAATAGCACAGTCCATCGATTCCTCACTGCTGTCCATATCGTCAAGAAACGAGGTCCTGCAACCAGAAGCCGTTGTGGCAACGGTACTATCGGCACTCAAGAAGGCATGTCTTCCTCACGGCAAATTCGCAGATGCGGTTGCCGCACTGCTTGCGCAGCACGGAAATCTAGGCACCTTGGTGAAGTTCATGAACAAGTTGAAAGATTGCCGACTTGCCTTGAGTGAGACCTCTGCCGTCGATGCCGTTATTCAGGACAGAATGAATGCCTTGCAGCAACAGGCTGCTTCCTTGACGAACACCCAGGTTCAGCATAACGCTTTGACACTACACAATTGCCAAATCATCTCAAGCATGCTGAGGAAGATAGCATCTGTTCCGGTTGTCGAGCGTGAAACTGTAGCGTCCACAGTATTCACGGCTGTACGAGTTCAGCGACAGGTACAACATATTCTTGACCGCGCTGACGCAGCTTGCGCTCTACCGCTTACACTCCGCAATCTGAGCACCGACATGATGCTCGAGGATCGCGTCGCGCTCATCCATCAACTGGCCCATCAATACTCCCTAGATAGAACGCGCTCTCATCGTGAGGCATGGCGAGCCATTTATTATCTGTACAAGCATCTCAAAGAGCACTCTTTGACTATCGGCCATCTCTTCTCTAGGGCTGTAGTCCGCACCTCCATCATCCGACCCCTGTCTGAGCAACGGTTCGTGAGCGCAAGACGGCTGATATGGGTATGCCACCTTGTCGCAAGAGTCGAGGGCGAGGAGGTAGCAAAGCAGATTGAGCGTGACTTTTGGCAGTGGCGCGGCGATTTGATCAAGCACGCAAAGCATATACATGACAGTGTTGGGGCTGATAGAAGGGAGAAGGCGCATGTGTCAACCATGAAGAAAATGGGGATGCTTTGAGGGGCATGGCACACGATCTCCTCAGCTTTGTCATGGATATCAAAATAGAAGTGTGACTAGCTAAACAAAGATCTTTTCAACTTCAAAATTCTTGTGTCAAATTCTATACCTTGTGATGAATGGGTGGACTTCCCTTGTCAGGTCAACACCCAGCCACATCTAGCCAAGCTCATTGTACCTTCCCCACATCCTCCACATCCTCATTGGAGAGCCATCTAGCCAACCCTCTTTCGCTGCACTCACACCACCGCTGCATCTTGAAGAGATCTTATGACTCTTGTCTTTTCAGAGCTTTAAATCTTAGCCATCAAAGAGTAGAAGTGGTTGGCGACTGCGATCTCACGACGTTTACTACCGGTAGAAGATTCCGTGCATTCGCTCTACGGTACGCTGCGCAACGACGTCATCTTGCAGGCTTCTGTCTACCTTACAAGGCCTGCTCGACTACTCTACTACACTACAATTACTGCAGGTCTGGTCTGGGTTAGGTAAAGGAGGTATTTGATCTGCCTCGGATCGGCTGGCCGACTTTGTTCACTCGGAAGCTCAATCCAGACGTCTTTCCACGCGTGCAACTCGTCGTTGGACAAAGTAACCAAACACCCCCACTTTTCTTACCATTTGTTGCAACCTTCGGTCAGATAGGTGATCACCAATGGATCCCTACACGCCTCTGCCTAGACCGACTGTCGAACAATTACGCCATGTTGCAAAGAACTATCCGATCATCGACAATCATGCACACAATCTTATTCTACCGACCCACGCGGATACGATACCGTTTGAGACCATCACCACCGAAGCCCAGGGACGCGCACTGAGAGATACATTCAAAACGCTCTCCCACCTTCGAGCAGCAAAGCATCTACGCCAACTTTACGAGTGTGGAGAGGACGCCGACTGGGAGGATATTTTGGAGCAAAGAATCGAATGGCTTCGTAGTGATCCGGAACGACTGCACCAGCGATGCTTTGAAGGTGTGCATGCCTTGCTCATTGACGATGGCCTTGCGGGACCAGAGAAGGTGTTTCCCTATGAGCATCATGATCAATACACAACGGCACCATGCAAGCGTATTGTGCGTATCGAAAAGGTCGCCGAGCGTTTGATGGAGAGACTCGTTCGCAAGGCCAAAGAGGACGACTTGGCAAAGACAAAGTTCCTCACCGATATCTGGGTCGCCTTTACAGATAACTTTGAGGGCGCGATTCAGGACGCTATCGCGGACCCGGAGGTTGCCGGCTTCAAAACTGTCATTTGTTACCGAACAGGGCTTGATATTGAGCCTGACTATGAAGAGGCGGCCAAAGTCGTTGGCCACCCATTTGAACGATATGTCAAGAATTGTATTCGCAAACGGAGTTACAGGATAGAGAAGAAGGCCCTGAACGATTACATTGTGTTGCGGACACTCGAGATCCTGTCGGAGCAAGTGCGACACTCGGATGCATTTACAAAGCCACTCCAGTTCCATACGGGCCTTGGTGATAACGACATCAGCCTACTAGAATCTAATCCTGCCTTCCTGCAGCCCTTGATTGAAAACTATCCCACGGTCCCATTCGTCCTTTTGCACTCGGCGTACCCGTATACCCGAGAAGCAGGCTATCTTGCCACCGTCTATCGTCACGTGTATCTTGATATTGGGGAGGTGTTTCCTATGCTCAGTAGAGATGGCCAAGGGGCAGTTTTGCGTCAAGCCATGGAGCTCGTGCCAGGAAGCAAGTTGATGTATTCGAGTGATGGGCATTGGTTCCCTGAGACGTTTTGGCTGGCAAACCTTCAGTTCCGAGAAGTCTGGCTCGATGTATGTTGCAATTTCTTCCCGTATTGATCTCGCTAACTTTAAAAGGTACTTCTCGAATACGTCGAAAAGGGCGACTTGACACCGTTTCAAGCTATGGGTATGACGAAAGACATACTGTTTAACAACGCAAATGTACTGTATGATCTTCGCTATGAAGTTATCTTTGACGAAAGGGTTCCAGAAGTACCCAAGCAGCTCACCTTCAGTCCGAAGGTGGATCCACGTGCGCCACAGCAGTCTCCCACTGTGCTTCCAGTACACGATGCCAGCCCATCAGGTCCAGCTACCAACATGAGTACACCTTCTGCAAGGCCAGTCTCACCATATCCCCCGTCTTCGTTCCCACCTCCACCAAAAGTACCGCAGGTGTACGACGTTCAAATTTTGGATGACTTCAAGCAAAAGAACCCAGCCGTCAAATTCGTGTACGTTCAGTGGCTGGACTACATGGCCACTGTTCGAGCGCGCATAGTGACTCTGAAAGAGTTTGAGCGCATGGTACGAGCGGGCGAACGAATCGGTATCTCACAGGGCAATACAGGGACTCTCCAAAATGACTCAACGACCCCCGTCGTCAACACTACGGGGCAGATCTACGTTGAGCCTGATCTCCGCTCATTACGAAAGACACACAACAAGGACCCTCTACCATCTGCAACCGTTCTATGCTACTGGCGCAACGAATCCGGCAAAGCCCTCGTTGAGTGCCCACGTAATGGCCTTGAGAATCTTGTCAGCGACTTGCAATACAACTACGGTACGAGCTTGCTCGTAGGATTCGAGATCGAAGTCACATTTTTGAATCGCAGTCGACGAAATGCTGCTCAACCTTACAGTTCCTTGACAACAACCCATGCCTGGAGCACTCTGTCACCCGAGCAATGGCTGCAACTCCCCTTTCTCTCAGAGATCGTTCTAGCACTCGAAGAAATGGACATTGAAGTTCAGCAGTTCCATGCAGAATCCGGAAAAGGGCAGTACGAATTCATACTCGCGCCTCTCCCGGCTTTGCCCGCTGTCGACACCTTGATACAAGCACGGCAGGTCATCACTCAGATTGCTGAACAACATGATATGCGGGCTACTTTACATCCAAAGCCCTTTGCGGGAATAGGTACAGCAGCACATGCACACATCTCGCTGCAGCCCCCGGATCGGGACATGCAGTTCTTCGTTGGGGGCGTGCTGCAGCATCTCCCCGCTATTTGTGCATTTACGATGCCTTGCGAAGAGAGTTATGAGCGCGTCATGGACGATAGCTGGTGAGTTATTTACTTTATTCATCCTCTTGCTATTTTAAATCAATCGACATATTGACATGCCCGACCAGGACTGGCGGTACATGGATAGCATGGGGCACGCAGAACCGCGAAACACCCCTTCGCCGCATCGGCCCTGGCCACTGGGAACTCCGCACCCTCGACGGCCTCGCAAACATGTATCTCGCGCTCTCTTGCGTCATCGCTGCCGGCCTCCTCGGCGTCCAGTCTGCAGAGACGGCGTACCCGCAACTAGATCTCCCGTTCAATCCAGCGACGCTGGATGAAGACGCAAGAAGACGTTACGGGGTGCTGCAGCAGCTGCCACGGAATCTGCACGAGGCGCTTGATGCGATGGACGAGGATGGCGCGCTCAAGGAGGCCTTGGGCCATCGGCTCGTGCAGCATTATGTTGCGATGAAGGAGAGCGAGAGGAAGATGTTGGGGCAAATGGAGGAGGAGGAACGGCGGGTGTTTTTGATAGAACGGTATTAAGGGGGAAGAGGGGGGAGGAGAAGATGGTTTGGCCTTGGTAATGAGCGTTTTTGCGCGGAGCATAGTTGACGGGCGGGACGAGTTCACGATGGGTTGGATATGTAGGCTAGGCTGTGTATGAAAGGGAAGTGAATTCATCTCTTTATCATGAATATATGTTTAATTTTTCTTCTTCAAAGTAGTGACTTGATTGTCAATTTTGGAAATATCTACGCTAATCGGGTTTGGGTGGTGAATCTCCCCACCTCTGCTGGATGGAGATGGTAATTTACTCGTAGATAGTAGTATTACTATTCTGCTGGAACACCTTTTGAGAGGTAACGGATACTATGATAGACGAACAATAAGATACATACAATTAGAATAGATGAAGTAATGTGATATATTGGCAGTGGAACACTACTATTGTAGGTCCCAAGGTGACCGTTTGCTGCGCACAGACATTATCACGTGCCTCCCCGCCGCCGCTCAGATCGCCTCGCTGCCTCCGTGACTTGTACACGACAACGCGCCTGCGGGCTCCATCAACACCATACGCACAGCGCACAGAATTCGACTCTCGCATACGCAAAACGGACACCAGCCTGGCCATTCGAGGATATACTCAACGCTACTTGGAGTGATTGATGGTGGCTGCTGCGTGAATGACGGCGCGCGTGCCCTCGCACGAACTCACCCGCTTCTGCGGCGCGCCTTCACCCACCGCTACTTTATTGTAGGCTGTCGGGGAGACCTCTATTACTACCCCGTGCGCGCCGTGCTCTCTTGCCGATAAAGCGCTTCTGCGCCCAACATCCCCTTGACCGTTGTCAGTCACCATACGCGCGCGATCATGGACGACAGCCGGAAAGCGGCCCCGCGCGCGGACGAGGAGCCCGAGGACGATGCGTTCAATGCGTTTCTGCGACAGGCACAGGAAGGCGCGGTGGAGGGTGGAGGCGATATCTGGTCTAGCCTGGCAAATCGCGAGCTGGATGTGGGCGAGAAAGCGGACGATGCGATTGACTTTGAGGACATCAGTGACGATGATTTGCCAGAGGAGGAGTTTGCAGATGATGAGGGGAATATGGCTGCGCTGCAGAACTACAGCGGTACGACTGTGCAAGGCTCAGGTGATGGCGAGGACGCAGATATGGAAGACTTGTTTGGCGACGATCTCTTTGGCGACGGTCCTGGCTTTTCCAGCCCTGAGCACACGCATGGCGAAGATAAACCGCTCAAGTCGGTGGAAGGTGTTGGGCAGGACGACATGGACATCACGAGTGACAGTCAGGGACCGTCCTTTGAGAACATGACGCAAACTGTTGCACAGCAAGAGCAGGAGCAGGAGGAAGAGGAGGACGAAGACCCCGAGTACCGTGAGCAGATGGCCCTGTTCGCACAAGCTCGTGGTGGCAAGGAGAGTCAGGCGCCGCCGCCTCCAAAGACTTCGAAGGAAGACTTCGAGAAGGTCTGGCCCAACTTTGAACCCGACAAGCCGCCACGGTTCTTTAGTTTGGTGCCCCGCAAACGTGCCTACTACATCCCAAAGGTTCCCCAAAAGCAGATGAAGCCCATGGCGTTTACAAAACTGAGTCTTGATATCGCGCCGGATCAGGAGAAAGCCTTTCGATTGCCCGCTGTAGCGCCCACACCCAAGTCTGGGAGACAACAGGAGGAAGATCAAGGTGGTCTCATTCATATTGCCAGCACTACCGAGGAAGACCAAGAGCACGATGACCAGATGGAGATGGAAAACTTCGACGTCATTGATGAAGGCGAGATGATTGGTAATGTGTCCTGGAGTGAACTCCAGGTTGCTTGCGCAGATTGGGATATTCCCGATGATGCAAGCGACACGAGCATGCCTGACCAAAAGCAACCACCGACACCACCAGACAGTATGCCGGACCACGACATGGAATTCGGTTCGCCCAACAAGAAGCGAAAGCTCGGAAGTGGCGACCAGCCCATACACTTCTCCATTTACGACCACGCAGACCTGCCCCTTTGGGATGATCCAGAGCTGGAGACGGCGAGAGTGGCAAAGAAGATTCTACTGGACATGAACGACCCACATCTGCTTCTCGATGTACAGCAACCGACTACCGAGCCGCAGAAGCCACGGTCAACGGGTCTGGGTCTGAAGCGCGATGGTCGTGGAAGTCTTGCGAACCCAATGTTTAAGCGATACAATATATCCAACGATGAGGCATATGACGCGCTCAAGGAGAGAAGTCAACAGAAGGTTCGCAGTACCATTGGCCACATGAACGTTGAGCATAGTTTGCCGGCGTTGAAGCTACAATGGCCCTTCTACAAGGTCAATCTGTCCGATCGCGAACTTCGGTCATTCCATCGCCCTACCATATCCTTCAAGCCTGGAGAGCGAGCTGGTATTTCCATGCTTAAGTCAGTCAAAAGGAAGCATAAGAAAAATCTCAAGCCATCAGAGGCGTTTGCTACGGCGGAGGATCTCAACATCGGCGACAACTCTGATCTTTTGCTTGCCGAATACTCCGAGGAGTACCCGACCACATTGTCCAACTTCGGCATGGGTATCAAGATTCTCAACTACTACCGTCGCAAAGACATGGATGATACTGCACGACCCAAACCCGACGATGGCATTGGTGAGACTTCGGTGCTGCTACCGCAGGACAAGAGTCCCTTCTCGCTGTTTGGTCAGGTCGAGCCGGGCCAGCAAGTCTTGACGCTTCACAATGCCATGTATCGTGCTCCCGTGTTCAAACACAAGCCTGCGGAGACCGACTTCTTGGTTAGCAGAAGCTCTACTGGTGTCCATGGACCCAAATATTACATGCGCACCATTCCGAACCTTATGGTTGTTGGCCAGCAGTTTCCTAGTGTGGAGGTTCCTGGAACACACGCTCGCAAGGTTACGGAAGCTTCCAAGAAGCGTCTGAAGATGCTGGCGTTCCGCTTGTACAGGCGAGGTCAACAGAGAGGCGCAAGGCAGCCTTGGGTTAGCAACGAGATGATCAAGCAGCATCTTCCAGGGACGGAGATTGCGCAGAACCGTTCTCGGATGCGTGAAATCATGAAGTACCAGAAGGACATTGGCACTTGGGAGCCTGTGCCTGGCGAGACCATTCCTGAGGAGCCTGTGCTGCGCACTTGGATAAAACCAGAGGATGTCTGTCTTATTGACTCGATGCATGCTGGAGACAAGCAGCTTCAGGACGCCGGTATTAAGTCGAACGAGATCCGGGACGATGACGAAGAGCAGGACAATGAGAATGCAGATGTCAAGCTGGCACCCTGGAACACGACCAAGAACTTCCTCAACGCCTGTGCAGGCAAGGCCATGTTGGAGCTCCACGGCGAGGGCGATCCCACCGGTCAAGGTCTGGGTTTCAGCTTCATCAAGGTGTCCATGAAGGGTGGATTCCGCGACGTGGGCGAGAGCGCGGCCGATCGGGTCGATGCCAAGAAGCTCAAAGAACTCGGCGGTCACAGCTACAACGTGCAGCGGCAACAGATGATGTACGAGAACGCAATCAAGCGGATCTGGAACAAGCAAAAAGAGTCCCTCTCCGCCGTCGCCCCACCCTCTGAAGTCGAAGAAGACGTCGACTCCGCCGCAGCAGCCCGGGGCCTCACCCGCCAACGCTCCGAAGTAGGCACCCCGCTCGCACGCGCCGACGACGAGACCATGTCGCAATTCTCGCGCAACAGCGCCGCCGAGACACGCGGCAAGAAACTCAAGATTACCCGCACCGTGCAAAACGCACAGGGCGAGTACGAAGAGGTGACGGAGCTCATCACCGACCCAGAAGTCATGAAGCTCTACCTCAAGCGCAAGAAGCAGGAGCGTCTGCTCAACATGAAGATTGATGAAATCAAGCCCACGGGCGACAAGGAGTACGATCAGGCGCAGATTATCAAACTACGCGCTGAATACGCTCGTCTTGCCCGCAATATCGAGCGTCGCGAGGGCAGGGAAAAGGCAAAGGGCATTCATAAGAGTCAGATGGCTGGCGAGGTTGGTTCGGGGCCGCAGGGGCTGGGCAAGGGCGGGGCGACGCCGCGCAAGTGTGCGAATTGTGGTGAGGTTGGGCATATTAAGACGAATAAGAAGTATGTATCCCCCCCCCTCTATTGTTATTCATGTGGAAAAAAAATTAAACCCTACGAATAGACTTTGCCCCCTCCTCAATGGCCAGAAGAAACAGAGCGATACTTTTCGCGATGCACCTGCTGCTTCTCCGGTCGCGGGTTTACCTGCTACTCCTTCGTTTGCGGGTTCGCCGGCTTAGTGTCTGTGTGGTTTGGTTGGTTGGGATTGGGAGTGGGAGTGGGAGTGGGAGTGGGAGAGGGAGATGATGAGGAAGATGGGGAAGAGGGAGATGAGGAAGAGGAAGACAGCGTCAAACCCCACACTCTACATGTACATGTCCCTGCGCGGATCATGCTTGGACTGGGGATTGGGTGGAGATGCTGATGCCAGACCTAGACTCTGAGACAGACTAGGTCGGAGCTGGACCTGGACCTGGACCTGGACCTGGACCTGGACCTGGAATCGAGGCAGACTTTCCATGGCCCCACCCCTCTCCCCGCCCTCGACCAAATTCAATTAGGCGTTTTTTGATACCCCTGCAAATCACATTATTTAGGCTATGCATTTTTGCACCGTCTTGTCCAGCTTGGTCTTGCCTTGTCTTGTTTGTGTGCCCCTTGAGCGAACTCTTGTATAGATGTAGGTAAAAGTATAATCACAGTCATGGAATACATCTCAAGTCTCAACGTCAAGGGTAAGAGACAACATGTTTTGTACGTCTATACATGATATAAAAGCCAAGACGCAGCACAGGGGCTAGAAGGAAGATTTTCTAACCCATCCTTCCATGGCAGGAGCTTTTTGTTTCTTTTGTATTGATTTGCAGGTGAAACATCTTAGGTGAGGACAAGCCAGCCGGTAGAACTAGCCATGAGCACATGTTCTAGGGGCCAGAGAGAAATCAGTCAAATCATATTCCCCATCAATCGCCATGTGCGGATACACCAATAAGCTAGGCAAAAAGGCTCCCTCCTCCCAGAACCCCCTCTTACGCCCGAGTAATCATATGATCCCGCGCAGGTCCAACTCCAATCCACTTAATCTTCACCCCCACAAACTTCTCGATGAATTCGACATAGGCCCTCGCATTCGCCGGTAAATCATACCAGTTCTTCGCGCCTGTCGTCGATTTATTCCAGCCCGGCAGGGTCTCATACGAGACCTCGACCTGGGCCAGCATGTCGAGGTTAGCAGGGAAGCCGTCGAGGGGCTGACCGTTGACGCTGTAAGCGGTGGCCACCTTGAGCTCGTCAAACGAGTCGAGGACGTCGAGTTTGGTGAGGTTGAGGGCGGTGTAGTCGTTGCAGGCGTGCGAGTGCTTGACGACGACGAGGTCGAGCCAGCCGCAGCGGCGTTTGCGGCCGGTGGTTACGCCGACTTCGTGGCCGGTGGATTGGAGTTTTTCGCCAATGGGGTTGAGTTGTTCGGTGGGGAAGGGGCCGCTTGGATGGGGGAGTTAGGTATTGATTCTGTGTTTGGAGAAGTGGCGGTCTTTGCACTTACGATCCGACTCGCGTTGTGTAGGCTTTAACTACACCGATGACCTCCTTTATTGATCGCCAACCTAGATTCAGGCCTGTGATGACGCCTCCTAGACCGGTGTTGGAGGATGTGACAAAGGGATATGTGCCGTAGTCAATGTCCAACATCAGCGCGTTGGCCCCCTCGACGAGGATTTTGGCTTTTGCTTCTTTTGCAGATGCGAGAAGTGGGATCTGGTCGACGACATAGGGTGCGAGCTTTTCGCGGAGAGTCTATTGAATATATGTCAGCAGCGTCTTCTGTAGTCCTTGCCAAACAAGCCATTTGTACCTTGAACTTTGCAATCTCCTCCTCAACGTCATACTTGAGCAAGTCCCCAAAGCGCTTCTGGAAGCCCATGGCCAACCGGCGGAGTTTCGTCTCGAACATCTGCTCGTCGAAGAGGTCGCACATGCGGAGACCACTACGAGTCATCTTGGTGCTATAGGTTGGGCCGATACCCTTCCTCGTGGTACCTACGGCCAAACCATCAGCATCTCGCCCTCCTATCATCCTCTCAAACATCACAGCTCTCACCAATGAATCCGCCACCTAGCTCCACCTCCTCCAGCCCATCAACCAGCTGATGCACATCAAACACGACATGGGCACGATCCGAGATGAATATCCGTCCCTCCGTCTTGAGACCATGTTTCCCTAGCGCCTCTAACTCCTTGAAGAAGCTCGGGACATGCACGACACAACCACTCCCGATCACATTCACACAGCTCGGATTGACCAGCCCACTGGGCAGAATGTGGAAGTCGTACGTCACACCGTTTGCGACAATCGTGTGGCCCGCGTTGTTGCCGCCCTGGGCACGGCAGCAGATTTGCGATTCGTGCGCGAGAATGTCGGCGAGTTTGCCTTTGCCTTCGTCGCCCCATTGGGCGCCGAGGACGACGGTGACGGACATTGTGGGCGGTCGTTGACGTGGAAATGCGAGGGAGAAGGGGGAGGGGGGGTGACGAGGAGTGAGTGAACGGCGAGCCAGTTCAGGGCAGGTTACTTGGGTGTGGGGAGTTTGTCTCTTAGCTGGGGTAAATGGCATACCGGTAAGGTAGAAAGACCAACGGACTTGGCCGTGTTAGTCAGAGGGCCCTAACTGGTAAAAAAAAAAAGATTTGCAGGCAATGCAAATGTGGACGTTGCAAGCGGTGTTGTTTCATTTTTCATTGTTCGGAATGAGTTGATGGAAGGGATCAATTGCATCGAGAGTTTGCAGAGCCGTCTCTCCGACAGCAGGATAACATGTTTGTGGAGTGTTCTTGCACTGTCTCTCCTGCCTGTCCTGTTTCAATTCATGGTTGCTCCTGCCCAAAGCGAAATGTGGCTGTGCCCCCGCCATTGACTGACTGCCCCGCCAATGCGACCGAGGCCGCAACGTGGAGCACGGGCCAATGACATCGCTTGCACGTGCCGAACCAAACGTGAGGTCCTTCACTGACACGCCCCCTTCAACAAACAACCAAATGTAAAGACGAACAGACAAACACCCCCGCCCCCAAAGAAAAACCTACAATGGGCAAATGACCCATGGGTATCCTGGATTTTATGTCAGAAAACAAAAACTCCGTGATCAATGATACATGGTAAAAGTATTATGCTCTAGTAAGATTACCAACACATGCACCGCACACACGTTGCACCCTCCCTCCTCTTCCCTTCTTCCCCTTGGCCAACAACATTCACGCTCACAAGCTATGGAAACAAAGATTAAAAGAAAAAAAAATAAAAATTCTGGAATTTCTTTACATCTCGGCATACAGGAAATTGCCCGCTGGGTCAACGTAGTGAATAACCTGCTTGGATGCACAGTAGCCATCCTCCTCCCATGGTAGATTTGGGACAGGGAAAGGCGTAGTAGGTCTCTTGCCATCTTGACTTGGCACAATGTACTCTGGGCTGTCAGGGAGCGGGATGTCTAGGGCGGTGGGCACGTATTCAAACGGCTTTCCGGCAGGAACATTGATGGTAGCATCGTGAAGGACCTTGTATGGTGAGCTTAGGTCGGGAAGATCGTCCTCGTTTTCAGGAAGGATAACTTTGGTGCTCCCGACCGAAACATGGAAGTGCGGAATCTCGTCGGGGTCCAGCTCGCCCTTGAGACCGACAACCTTGATGTGCAGATGCTCGGCTAGGTAGGGCTCAACATCCTCGGGTTTCAGCGACGCAAGCTCGCCAAAGTGCTCCTTACCCTGGAGGGCGGTTGTCAAGGGGATGGAGCCTCGGGTCATAAGAGGAAGAGCAGAAGCGTTGCCACCGCCGGCCTTCATGCCGCCGAGGATACCATACGAGCCAACGTAGTTGGGGCCTTGGGTGTAATCCTGGGACGGGTCATAGTCTGCCTCCAAAGTGCTGTTGCAGTCTGGGCTGGTAGAGTTCTCGATCGGGCCAGGGCCTGTGGCATTGGTGATAGGGTAAGGGACGGTCGAGTTTTCAACCGGGTAAGGGGCGGTGGAACTGCCGGTAGTCTTGTCGCTGGGCTTGCCAAGGAAGCAGTGCACCGTGTAGGATCCGTCCATGGCAAACTTGCTCGCAATGATGTTGAGGACGTAGTGGTAGTCACCCTCCTTGAATGAGCGGCCGAGAAATTGACCAGTCTTGTCGTCAGTACGCTTAGTCATGGTATTGGAGCCACCACCGTAGAGAGCGGTGACGGCACGAGCGACTTGCTGGTAAGAGCGATCGGCAGTCTCGAGGTAGTGATAGCCTAAACTTCGGGTCTCCCTGACATCCATACTGTTGAAGTAATTACCAGCATTGTCCTTGGTAAAGGGCTTGAGAGGAGTATACGAGTTCTTCGGCTCACCCGTGTTCCATTGAGCCATGGGTTTCTGAATGTTACCGGGGGAAACATAAGAGTCGGGTACAATCAGCTGATACATGGCCGTGAGGCGATCAACACCGGCGTGAAGAAGAAAGAAGATCGGTTCGTAAGCAGCGATTTCAAGATGGTACATGTGGCCGCCACTCTCGCCACCCACCGTGTTGTGAATGGTATCGTGGACAGACTCAAAGCTGTCAACACCGGACCCGCTCGTAGATGTTCGCACACCAATGGCAGAGGTGGCGACATCGCCGAACTTTTGCTTGCTAGCAAATAGAGCGAAGATACGGTCCCTCAAGTTTGCGCGCGCGGCGTTGAGACGAGCGAGCAGCTCGTTGTTATTACTACGAGTGGGATTACCAACGGGGCGACGAAGAGTTGTAGGCCAGTTGTTCCATGGGGTTGTACCAACCTCACTGGGGACTGACTGGCCCCAGCTGTAGGAGTAGAGTGGATTGGGGATGGTGGCAGGTCCAGATGGCTTGGTGACGGTGACCCTTTGGTCACGTATCGCCGAGGGAACAGCTTCGCCAGCGTCAATAGCAAAATCCCAGTATGGTATACGGAGAGTCGCCGCCGCGTTCCTCCATCGCGTCTGCTGGTCTGAGGGAAACTCGGCGACGACCTCTAGCACGCATTGGTACCAAGCTTGCTGCAATGTCATCAGTTCTGTTCATAACAAAGCTAGGATTATGTATCGTACCTCAAAGAGGGCAAGGTAGGGCCTGTGCCAGGTTACAAACATGGTGTTGCCGTGGGGGCAGAAGCCAGCCTGGTTCTTCAGAGGAGTTGGAAAGCCACCCCAGGTCTTGTAAGGCTGACCGTGAATACCAGCAATTTGGTAGAATGATAAGGGATCGTTCATGTCCTTGGCCATGAACCTTTCCATACCAAGTAGATACAAGTTCCATTGGTCTGCGTTCTTCTGCAACTCACGCAGCTCTAGGCGGGGGTAGGAAACGCGGCCTTCTTTGCACATACCGTTGCTCTCTGTGCCCGAGGTGCACACACCGGTAATGGCAACGTACCCTTGCGATTGACGCTTCTCGAGTTCGCCAGCGACCTCGTTGATTCTGGCCTCCATGGCAGAATCCACCGACCGGGCAGGATGAGCATAGTGGTGGGCGCCATGATGATGAAAGGCGACAGAGACCTGGAGGAGGGCAAAGAGGGCGACCAACATGCTCATCATATTCTGCGGCTTGCTGAAATTGGCCATGATGAAGAAAATTGCACGGATATATCGAAGTGATCAGGGCTGGAGGAGCCAACGAGCACCGTGACGGAGAGAAAGCAAGAAAGAGCGAATGTGATACTGAAGCGATTCGATAAGGGTACAAAGGAGTGTAACGACCTAGGAAATGGATCCAGAGGTCTGCAAAGAAAAGGTCCTTGGTAAGACACCTCGATGTCGAAAGCCAACGAGGAATCAAAGATGCGGCGTATTCGGAGCAGGGCCGGGGCAACGGTCAGGGTCATATAGCAAGGTAAGCTGATTCTGGGTGAAGCCATAATTTGGGAAGGGCCCATCACGTCCTATGGCGTTTTGGGCTTACGAGGCAGTGGAGCCGCACGAAGAAAGACTGTGATTCGTATGATGCTAACACCGCAGGATACCCACACATGGCTGATTGGGTTAACTTCTGAGCCCCTGTCTGGCCCGAAACGAGCATCATCCAGCATCGGCCAGCGATCCGCATTCACGCCCCTGACTTGGCCGCATCAAGGTTAACGTTTCTGGCCCACAGAGGCCGGCGCGGGCTTATGCTTTTGAGTCAGCAAGCCGCGCCGCCTCTATCTACATAACTGTCCGATGGTGGACGCGCGATACGGCAGTCGGCCATGATGGTGATGGGGGATGCTGGTGACGTTGCTGATGCTGCTGATGTTGGCCCCGGGGATGTGGAGTTAGCCGTGTTGTGTAATATTTGGCATCTACTGTAAGTATATTATATATTATAGCAGCTAACCGTGAGGTTTTCTGGGGAACCCTCAGTCTTGGCGCTTTCGTTTCTCTTGGCTTTCTCTTTGTGGCAATGCTCTTTGCTGCCCCTCGTCACCTGACCCGTCGACCGACTGACCGACCAGCCGACCAACTGACCGAACATGGGACTGTGGTACAAATCCACGAACCCTCATCATCTCAATTATCCCGCAACCAACGAGCCACGGTACAGTCGACGATCTGGCTCTTCTTATGGGTCATCTAGCACCGTCTTCACGCAGCTAGCAGTAGTCATTGGCCATGCGCCTCGAGCATACATTACTCCTCTAGTGTTAACACACTACCTCTTAGCGAAGGATTTCCATTCCTCATGCAAGGCGACCATCGTCAAATTCGCTGCCATGGCCAAGGTGGTCTGTTTTGGTGCGCATCCTCATCTCAGGACAAGGAGCGTCTTTTCTTAATAGAGACATTGTGCGATTGTGCAAGTCATTTCCAGCATCCTTCCTCGGAAACCTCGCTTGTGGCTTCGGCTCAAAGCCGTAACGTTGTGCAGGAACACTGCGCTTTGTTTCACCATCCCGTCTCCTATCTCCACTGTGGCACTGCCATTTCTGAGGCCCATGGAAACACATGTCCCAATCGATCCGTGTTCCCAAAGTCTGTGTTGCTTGGCCAAATCAAGCTTTTACTGACCTTGTGGAGAGATCCTATTCCTGGCCTTCCCAAGGCACCTCCTAGCTGCTGCAAAGATGACATCCAGGAAGCTCCAAAAAGAAACATGATGACAAACTTTTCGATCGTCGCACGGTCTGAGAGATGTAAACCTTGGAATCGGCTCTCGGTATCTATGGCACATGCTCGCCCCGTCGCGCAGAGGAGTGGCCATTTTCAACTGCTCTGTGCATCGATACCCGAGAGTCGTCCAGAGTACTGTACGTAGGCTACCCCTGCACGAGCACGAGACGCCACAGGCGCACGGCATAAGAACATACTGTTATGTGCAACATGTGCCTCGTTGTGTTGGCATCTACGACGATGAGCAGAGACGGTTCGTGCCTGTTCATCGCATGCGGTAAGTTGTGAATCCACCATTTAATCATTATTTTCTACCAATTTGCAGCGCTCGCTCACTCGTGCGGTGCTCGTACCCACCTTGAGATTTTGCACCGATCTGCTGTGCTCCTACCGGTAATGTCACCTCGTTAGACCACAGAACATGACTGCATGCACAGACGATTCTGCCTCGTCGGATGCATATTGTGCAATGACTGGCCGGCTATATCCACCCGATAGACATGTTCTCATGGCAATCACCTGGCCTACACGTACTACACCTACTGTCCGCATAATATATATTGTATGTGCAATCTTGTGTCGCAAAACAAAACCGTATCTATTTCACCTTTACCGTGGCACGTGCCTATAGGGGAAGTGGACGCACTGACACACTTAGGCGATCGGCCATATCTTGGTATGCCTACTGCCTATGGTGAAGTACGGTGCAGTTCATCACACATATCATGCGCGATGAGTTCACTGACCAAAAAAATTGGAGTCTACTGCGTACAAGTATGTACAGTAGCACCATGAAGAAAATCAGCGCATCTTTTCATCCATTGTTCACAAGCACTTCAACAGTCTAGCTCACTAGGCCTAGTTCCTCAACCAACCCCAAGCTGACCGAATCTACCATCCCCTAAGCTGACTAATCACAAAAAAGCCATCTTCGGCCTTGTGCAACACTACACGAGTAGTTCATTTCCAGCCTAGGCAAACAATCCAACTGCTACTACTCAACGTTCTGTCCCCCTCCTAGACTTCGCATGTCAGAAGCATGCCAGACTCCGCCTGCACATATCGCAAGGGGTCTGAAACGAAGCTCTCGCAATTATATGGAATAATCTACTACATTTGTTGTTCCAAAATAGGAACCGTAATAACACGAGCTGACTAGTACCGGTACCTCCCCTAAACACCAGGATATGTGGTCGATAAAACCCCCCTCGTTGCCCTTGGCAGTTCAACGTTATGACGATTACATGCGGACGAACGATGCCTAGACAATCTAGACCCAGTACTCATTGGTCTACATATTTGCCATAGGAGCCGAATGCCATTGCCCGGTCGAAGAATCATCTATCAGCGGAACAGCGGGAAAAAAAAGCAAAATAAAGGCCCGTTTCTGTCAGCGAGCGGCACCATGGTCGTATGACCGCTCAACAGAGGAAGATCGATCGTCTAAAATACAATCGCTCACGTCCCCTGGAACTCAGCGCTTACTTTAACGGCATTGGAGTTTTATATAGGCGAGAAATGTAGCATGTTCGCTGCAGAGTTTGCTCTCTTGCATTACTGGCTTATCAATACTCTATGTATCACTGGGAGTTGGCGACTATCTGATGGCGTTGAGAAGGTTCTCATGAACAAGGACTCCTTTTTGTAGTGTTTTCTAATCATGTAGAGATACGAAGCGTCATGGCTGGTTCTCACGGTTTGGCCGAGCCTCGTGTTACGATGACTTGACTGTGGCCACCGTATCCAGAGGGCAATTTTTAACTCTCATCCAGTAATCCAGTTTCTAGTTGCGAGAGTGGTGGTCTGCACTCGGCCGTGTTGCCATCTTCAAACACCTTTCGTAGCGGACTCAACTTGACGAATTCCGCCATTGTCAAAGGCTCTCCTTGATCGTTCTCATGCAGCGTCGACTGCATCTCCGTTTCTCCTTCCCACTGCTCTTCCTCTCCTTTCTCTTGTACATTTGCACATCTCTGCAATTCCGCCCCCTCCTCTTCTCCTCGTGTATTCTCCAGCTTTTGGTCCAACGCCCGCTGCGTCTGTGCATGCAGGCCACGTGAATACTCGTCGATTTCCCCCTGCACAATGGACTCCCTCGGCGCAGCCTCCTCACGTACACGCTGCCCCGTCCCATTCCGCCGCGGCAGCTCCCCGAAAACAAAGAGTTCCCGCCGCGTGACCACACCGTTACGCACCACAGGCTCCCAGTTTCGCCGGGGAAGTATATACTCCCTACTCTTCACCTCCCTGCCCTCTACCACCACCACTTCGCCATTCTCACCCATCGTCGTCGCCGCCGCCCTCGCCTCTTGCGCCCTTCGCAGTGCGGCCTGGGTTTGGAAGTTTTGCTCCAGATCTTTTGATAGGCGGATGAGCGTCCTGTCCTTGTAGACGGGGAAGTATCCTTGGTCTTCGTTGGCCTTGGGCGGTGTGAGGACAGCTGGGATCTTGGGCGTTGTGGCGCTCCGGGTTGGGAGAGTTGTAGGCGGGGGCGTGGTGGGTTGTGATTGTGGTCGTGGCTGCGGTCGGTCGAATGCGTAGTCGTAGTCTGGGAATCGTATGGGGGATGGGGGAGAAAAGGGTGTGCGAGAGCCGAAGAAAGACATGATGTCGGGTGAGTTGTGGTTGTGGCCGTCGACTTCCAAGTGGATTATGGTGTGTGAATTGTAGTCGTCTCCGTTGATATTAAACAAGTCGTGATTACAATCGTAAGAGAAAAATGCTATAACATACCATACCCTATACACCCTCTATCCAATCTTATTTAAAAGAATATGTATCCCCCACCAAACCCATACCCTGAAATACAAGAAACCCAACCGCTTCCGCCACGTTTCCGCTTTATATTCCCTAGGAACTGCATCGCATGCGTACCGGTAAACGGCTGGAAAAGATGAGATATCGGTGGACTGGACCGGACCGGATCGGACCGTACCCTAGAGCACCGTGCCTGATTCCATCCCATACCGGTAATGGGTTGTGCTTGGCTGAGACAGTATATAGCGTTATGCAACTCATCCCCCAACCCAAGACATCCCACAGATCATCCAACTCCATGTCGCGTACCCGTACCAGATTCATGCTGAACGCTGTCCCTATCAGCAGACTACGACACTGTATGAACGGTACTACCATGGAAACAGCATACCATACCATACTCATGCTCATACTCATGCTCATATAAACAACAACACCCTCTCCCGCCCACCTACCCAGCCTAGAAGACCTACAACATGCAACAGCACCGGCACCCGAGTTCACGCGCCCCACACCCAAGTCCTGGTTCTAGTCCGTAGGCTTCGAGTTCGTGGGAGATCTACAGCATCCTCGTGCATCGATGTATCGGAACCGGGCTGGAGATTTAGTGCAGTTTTAGTGGGTAGATTGGGTATCGTGTGCATGTACCTTGGTGCTAGGTACTCCTACCATGCAGTACGGTACCGCTACCTAGTGCGAATCGCACCGCACCGGTACTGGTACGTGTGAGCATGTATATCAATGTACACACTGCCCCAGTACCAACCACACCCAGCAAGACCAAGGCGTTGTATTGAACATATGCACACGCACATGCATACGCTGCGATGTATCTACCGGTATGCTACGGTATATTGTTGTGCCAAAATATTCTCTGGAGATGAAGATGTGGCAGTTGGGTTTGATGAGGGGATTGGGTGGGATTGGGTGGGATTGGAATTGGGAATTGGGGTGTAAGGGGGGCGAGGGGGAGGTGTGGGGGGTGTGGGAGTTTGGATTGTTTTGGATTGTTTTGGGTAGGATAGTGTGGGGTGGGGTGGGATGGGGTGGGATGGGATGGGATGGATGTTGTGGATGGTGGATGGTGGATGGTGGCTACCTTGTTGGAGTGTAGTATATCTACACCTACACCTATACTTACATCTGCTACACCTTGCGGTAGTATTCCACAACAGCAATAATTATCTCCCTTTACAATAATCCACCACCCCACCACCCCACCGTCACTCTAAATCTACACAGTCCACCCCCCTACATTTCTTTCTCTCCTATACGTACTCTCCCCTCCACCACTCCACTGAACCAAGTCTTGTTGATATAGTGGGTGGTCTGTGGCGTATCTGGCTTGAGAAGGGAAAGAATAAACTACTGGAGCTTTTCAAGTGCCTGGGATCAGAGCATCTATCAATTTATCATGTTATCCTGATCAACATTTCATCATTACCTTTGCTTTTTCTATATGACTTGGCTGAGGTATAAGAGTGAAGAGTACGCTATTAAGAAAGAGACAAGAATCATAAACGTCATACCACCACGTCCCACCTATTCTAACAGTATGCCATCCCTATATCCCAAAAAGTCCAAAGTAAAAACATTACTAAAAAATAGACGAGGACATCACCAGCTAATCGCTAAGCTCCGCGTTCCTTGCCGCGGCCGCCGCTCCAATCATCTTCAACGCCGCCGGCGCATCGTCCCATGGCATCACCAGCTCGACAAACCTCATCTTCTTCGTTTCGCCGCTGCTAAACGTCTGGTCCTCGAAGAGCTTGTCAAGCTGCTCCTTGGTCTCGACACGATACGTCAGGACTTCGCCGTCCTTTGCACCAAACACACCAGGAAGCTCCTTGTATTTCCATTCTTGAACATCATTGTATGCATCCTCGTAGCCGTGAATCAGGCGTTCAATCGTGTATCCCTTGTTGCAAATGACGAAGATGATGGGCGAGAGTTTGTTGCGAATCATCGTGCTGACTTCTTGGGCCGTCAGCTGAAAGGAGCCGTCGCCGGTGAAGAGGATGGTGCGTGCAATGTTCATTTCTTTTGCAGCAAGCGCGGCACCCTGGCAGGAACCCGTGGCATAGCCAATGGAGCCCCAGAGGACTTGAGAGATGGCGTTCACGCCGGCTGGGAAGCGCGTTTCCCAGATTCCGAAATTGGAGGTGCCGGTCTCGGTGATGATCACATCGTTCTTCTGGAGCCATTGACCAAGACGGGGCCAGAGCCAGGCGTGTGTGATGGTGGGTTCTGATTGAGCAATTGTGTGGTCGTGAGGGATCTTGTTGTTGGGTGTCGGTCCGGCTTCGATATTCAGTTTACCCATCTTTGCAGCGACCTTGGCGAGAACGCCGTTCATTCGGACGCCAGGGTACTCGGAATAGCGGACATTGACGCCATAGCTGTGGAAGTCGATGGTGTTGAGTTGAGACATGCGGACCGTGAAGCCGGCGGTGTTGAAGTCGGACTTGATAGCGCCAATGTTGAGAATGAGGTCGGCAGATTCGACGCGTTCCTTTACACCTGCGTTGCTGCCATCTCCAGCATATACACCACCATAGTTTGGCAACGTCTCGTCCACTGCGCCTTTACCCATTGGGGCGACGAATGTGGGAATGCCAGACTTCTCGACGAGGGCGTGAGTCTCCTTCAAAGCGCGATGACGGATGGCACAAGCGTCCACGAGGATTACTGGATTCTTGGCTGCGTGTAGGTATTTCAAAACAACATCTACGACATAGTCCTCCTTTTCTTGCTCGTTGGGGGCGAACTCCAAATTCAACGGTGTGTTCAGTCTGTCGCCATCGACCTTCTTCTGCACCATATCACTGGGCAGAGAAATATAGACAGGTCTCGAATGAAGGTAGCACTCGCGGATAGCGTTGTCAATCAACATGGCAGCCTCGTGTTGGTTGTTGAGCATGGACACCGCGCAGGAGATTTCCTTGGACATTCTCGAGAACACGGTGAAGTCGCCATTTCCGAGCGTGTGGTGGAGTAGCGCGCCATTCTTCTGGGATAGTGTTGATGGGTAGCCGACAATGTGGACAATGGGAACAAATTCAGAGTAGGCTCCAGCGATCGCGTTGACCGCTGACAATTCACCGACACCGAATGTTGTGACGAGAGCAGAGATGCCCTTTACACGAGCATAGCCATCAGCAGCATATCCAGCATTGAGCTCGTTACCTGTAGATGTGCGTTAGCAACCAATCTCTCGCTCAAGCACTGTCTTCTCGTAGCTTCGTAAACTGATTGCTGACTTACAATTGCCGACCCATTTCAGTCCGACCTTTGGAATATAATCGAGCGCGACCAAGTTGTAGTCTCCAGGAACTCCATGTATCGACTCGACACCGACTTGCTGTAGTCGGCGAAAGAGGTACTATGGTCAAGTTAGCACTGGCAGCTAAGTAGTAGCCCCTCCTATGCAGAGAGACAACAAACTCACCTCAGCAATGTCAATTGGGTTTTTGATCTCTTGGGAGCGTAGATCTGATGCCATTCTCGAATGGTAGAGTCTGCGAGGATTACAGTAGCGGTGTAGTAAACAATTGGTTTGGATTGTGCGTCGTGAAGATGTCGGGAGGAGCAGCCGCCTCTTCTTTTAAGGGTCCGCAAACATCATCACAAGTATGAGGTCATAGCCATTGATGGCCCCCCCCCCTCCCCTCGGCCTTTACCGGACAGAGGATGCGCAGAAACACTTTGCTTGCAGACTGTGCACCCAATCTTTGTCTGGCGAAAAATCCTAGTTTGCCCAACAACACGACAAGTAACGCAACTTTCGAGTTATGCCTTTGGTCAGCTCAGGTGGCGTGAGAGCAAAAAGTACCGGTAACGGCTGGGCAGGGGAGGGGGGCTTGATGCTTAGTACTGATTTGTTGCTACCTGTTGATAGCGGGGTTGTTTGCTGGGAGTTCCAATCGACTTGTTTCCTTTTCCATGGGATGGTCATCTTATCAAGGCCGTCATCTGGCCATGACGAGAGGGCTTGGGGCAAGGGGAGTCCGATTGTGGTGAGACGAGACCGTGAGAGCCCACTGTTTGACGGTGCACGCCAGATCGGGGTCTCTGCCTGCTCTTCGAGGAAAAGGCGTGGAGAGTCAGTCGACATTGGGAAGCCAAGATTTGTTCCGTATGCCTGTCGAGAATCGGCGTAGGCTGGTGCGGCAAGTGGAGCCGCCAAAGTGGCTGACTGCCATGGTTGCGGAAACCTCAGGAACAGAGGGTAGCACAGGTACGACCGCATGCGTGGCCACCAACACGAGGATTGACAGGTCACTGGAAGAAAGTGTCAAGGTTCTAGCTTCATGCTACATAGCGACTAACATACTACTATACCGACCATGGGCTACGGCTGACTACCTTGCCATGTTCTATTCGCGCGATCATGTTCACATTGGCGGCCTGTTATATCGTGAGAAAAACGCACTCATCCTTGTCTGAGACTACGAGCTGCGCAAAGCCGATATCGTCAGTGTGCTGACTGCCAGGAGACTTTTTTTTGCAGTTGGATTTGCATGATATCAGGCCACGCGTATGCAGTGCTTGCAGTCCAGCCCAGCAGCCCTGCGAAGCATTTCCAGCAGGTACGAGTTCAACAGAGATGCAAGAGACGTCGTATCCACAATGCGTGCAGCTCCATGGCGTGGCACTGGCCTGGGCCAACTCGAGTGGCCGATGGGCCGGTGTGAGTAATGTGGAATGATCGATGGAGCCTGACGCGGTGCGATAACGCCTGTCAAGTGATTGGGCTGTGCACGCACGCACTGGGTGTTGACCAGAGATACTGATGGACATCTTCTGTCATGCCTGCGACATTTCCATGGAGAATAAGGGAACGGCCGAGTCACGTGAGAGTCGACGAAGGGAGAGCTCGCCGCCCTTGTGACCGTCTCTCTGGAGTGACTCGGAAGTGGACGCAGACGATGAGGTTGGCGCTGAGGTCCTTGGCCCTTCCAAGGGGTTCCTCCCCCAACCCATCGCCATGGTCTGGGGTGTATGTATTGGCATCTACTGTTGGGTGCGGTGCCACTGCTTTCCCATGTAACACACGTAAGTCGTCCTACTTGGCCCCCCGTGCTTTACCACTCGCGCCTTTGAAAGCGTCTCGAGAAGGACGTTATGGAGGTAGAGTAGCCTTCGAGGAGCAAAATGGTCGACAAGGGCGCAGTGTTATAGCCGGCCTCTCGGCTACTGTTGGGTACGAGGGCAAGGGTGTGGGCTGTGAAGCATCCTTCGCGGCCGAATCCAAGGACGTGGATACTGTACGTTGTGAGGAATGGGGGTGGGTGGTCGACAGGGTGCGGTGCGAGAAAACGTGGGGTTTCCTGCTTGGTGGGATGCGGCTTGAAAGCACCGTAACGTTCCCCTACACAGCGGCCTTTTGCTGGCACGTTGGGATCGAGATTCGCATACAAAAGAAGGCTATAGTTGCGTGTTGATATTGAAGTCGATACGGGGGCCTTTTGCTCAGATGTAGCACTCAATCGACAGGCTTGGGCGGTGATCCTTTATGCCTACGGGAGGGAGACGTGCGCCCATGCCAATCCGACTTTCTTCTCGAGCTGTTCTTCAGCTCTCCACAAGGACACGCTGTTTCAGACCTCTCGGAGGAGCATGTATCGCGAGCCCCATCGCAATGCATGGAGGATGCTGTCCCTGCCTTTGGGCCTGCCACCTCGCAGCTGTGTTGCGACGTATGATGGACGAGAGAATGCGTCCATTGTACCCTAGGTATCCTACTGTGTACTCTAGCCATGTAGTGCCTACCGTACCGTACAGCGCTCACTCACCTGCGCACCATGGCTGGCCTGCAGGCAGCTCTGGGACGCAGGCACAGTGTGATGCAATGGCCCAGTACGGTACCCCACCAAGTCTGTCTTTGGTTCCTGACTCTCAATGCCCATCTTGACTCCTGAATCGCGCATTCTTCGGCGTCGCCGTCATCTAGCCTACTTATGTGTACCCGGCCGTTGTCGGTTGATCTTTGTTGTCGCAATTGGGGCGGCCAAGCATCTCGAAGCGCCCGCTTTCCCCGACGCCAGGCGCCCGCGTAACGAACGACTTGGACTTTGGCTGCCAGCGCTGCATCCATCGACAGCCTACAAGCCTTCCCCCACCCACCATCCACCCCTTCCTCCCCCGTTCCTCCCCCCTTGTGTACTTGCGTGTTGTGAGCACTGGGACGGATAGTTTTGGCCGCGCCTTGGAGTCTGTCGTTTGGCCGAGCGGCAGATCTACACAGTACCGCACGGCATATTGTATGTGTGTGTGTGTGTGTGTGCACTGCATGGTACATCCAATCCCTAGAGTAAGAGTAGACGCATCTCGCACGGATCCACGGTTGAACGCGACCTGATCGCCCAGCGCCCAGCGCTGGCTGGCAAGGGCTTGCGCGACTCGAGAGCACGCCCACTTACTTGGTGAGGGAAAAAGGGTTTCGTGATGTCCGCAGGCTGCTGCAGGCCATCTACGGAGCAAATCTCTCTTGCCCGCCGTCCACCACGGCCTAGAGCGAGTGAGCGACCGAGTCCCAGACAGCCACTGAGTGCGCCACCCGTGTAGGAGCGAGAAGAGAGAGACAGAGAGGGACAGAGAGACAGAGACAGAGACAGAGACAGAGACAGAGACCGAGACAGAGAGAGAGAGAGAGAGAGAGAGAGTCGACAGCGGGCCTCGTCCACCACCACCTCCGTTGGATCGTCGTGGGCGTCCCTGTTCACGGACCGATCGCATCGAAACCTGGCGAATCTGAAGCTTCCCGAGATCCCTAGCGGCTCCTGTGCGCCGACGTCGTTGCTGCTGGCACCCTTGGGCACCTCGGGCCCTCACTACCCCGTTCTGCTGTCGCCAGGAGGGAGGAGGAGGAATAGCAGTAGCAGTAGTCGTAGCCGTTGTAGTTGCAGTTGCAGTGCCAACAGCACCACCAGGCGGCTCGCTGTCTTCGAGCCCTCGCGGACGGGCGCACACGGTCGCAAACGCTCCACCCCTCCTCCAACGGCCCCAGGCCTTCCTCCACGCCCACAACAACGCCCGCCGCCTTACCTCCCCCCGCCGCGACCATGCACTACATACCAGGCCCGCCGCCGCAACAGCAGTCGTCGACACCCGGCGCTGGCCAGCACATCGCCCTCCCGCCGCCGCCTCCTCGCCCTACGCTCTACAACAACAATACCTCCAACAACAACAACCTCGGAGGCATCGCCCTCCCGCCGCCTCCCCACGCCAGCAGTCAATGGGGGCCCCCGCGCCCGCAGTACCAGCAGCAACAGCAGGCTGGCGGCTACGACCCTGGCCAATATCGCAACTACCCTCACAACATCCCCCCTCCGCCCGGCCCTCCTCCCCAGCAGCCACAGCCGCAGCCGCAGCCGCAGCACGATCGCGACTACAGCGGCTTGACATCTGCCACCTACATCCCCGGGGGCGAATCATTTGGGCCCGGCGTGGGCATTCCGCCGCTGCACTCGAGGCAGTATGCAGAGCCTGCGAGCTTCTACCGCGACGACAGCTACTCGGCCAACACCGACGGCCCCGCGCCCGCCTTCCCCTCCCTCCACGAAAGCGTGCAGAGCGTGCAGTATGGCACCAATAACAACGGCTACAACATGCCGCCGACGCCCAGTGGCCGTAGCCATCTCAACATCCCCACACAGAGCGCCCAAGGCTACGACGCGCCGGGACCGCCTACCGCAACGATGCACAATCCCATGCTGCAGCACCACGAGAGCGTCTTCCACCGGTCCGAGAGCAATGGCACGACGCCCATCTCCCCGCACGATGCTTCCCTACAATGGCCGGCCGAGCGGGTCCAGCGTTGGCTCGCGAGCAATGGCTTCTCGCGAGACTGGCAGGAGACGTTCAAGACCTTGGGACTGGAAGGCTCGCGCTTCTTGGATATTGGCAAGGGACACGGCACAAAGGGCAACGTGGGCATGATGCACCAGGTCATCTTTCCACAACTCGCCAAGCAGTGCACTGCGAGTGGCGTTGGCTGGGATCAGGCCAGGGAGCGAGACGAGGGCCGCAAACTGCGCAGACTCATTCGCTCCATTGTGGAAACGGGATCCTCGAACAGCTCACGGCCGCATCGATCGGACACTGGGCTGACCCTGGCGAGTGCTGGCACCGAGGGCACGGTGGAGAATTCGCCGTACATGGGCTCGCGCATGGACTTTGGATCAACACCGACGACGGCTGGCAATGGCGAGGAGAGCCCTGGTCGCCAGTTACTGGTACACTCGCCTGGTGCAGGAGCAAACCAGCCCATGCGCATCTCTACACAGCGCGTATTCACAGTGCCAGGTCTGGGCACCACGCCTGACTTTTCAGAAGGTCCTGCACGCAGCGCCTACTCCAAAGAGGTCTTTCGCGACCTGGAACCCAAGCAAAAGAAACACAGCCCCAATGCATCCGGAGACTTTGCTCCCTTGCCACTCGGTAGTGCCAACTATCGACAAGCAAGTCCGCAACATAGCCCTGGTCTTGCGTCTGCGCGCCCTGCAACCAACAGTGGTCAGAACAGCGCTGGCCTGAGCAACTCTGGGCGCTACTACAACCACATCCGTGGCAACAGCTCAGACACCAACCTGTCCACTTTTGCAAACACAGGATCGGGGCCGCCTTCTGGAAGATCGATCCCCGACGGTCGATCTGAAAGTCGCAACGAGAATAGAAAGAATGGATGGGAGGGATCCCGACCTGGTACCGGCCTGTCCCACTACAATTCTGGAGATGCGCCAATGAGCGCCAATGAGCACAAAAAGGGCTTCTTCAACAAAATCATGGGTCATCGGGGTAGAAAGGACAACCACCCGTCACCGGACGATGCCAGCCTTGATTCACCCACCAGCCCAGTGAGCCACCGTAATCTTCCTGCGGCCTCTTTGTTCGGCAAACCGGGAATGAATTCGAGCGAGACCTCTTTGAACGAACGACCACCTTCAAGGAGATCTGCCCAAGCCGATGCAGACAATCGGAGTGCTGCTCAAAGACGCGCTCCAGCACGGGAGGAGCGCAAATATGCCTTTGTGACGCCGGACGGCTGGAACTACCGCCTTGTCGACGTGACCCATGCCGACTCCGCCGCGGTCCTTCGAGCCTTGTGTTGCGAAGAACTGAGTCATGGCCTCAGTCAAATACCCGGTGTTGAACTCCATCTCACGTTGCCAGGTCAAACCGAACACGAAGAACCGCTCTCCGATTCGAAACTACTCAAGGCTCGGTCCAAGTATGGCAACCGCGTCGGGGAGCTCAAGATATTTGTCAAGATTCCACCCACAGGACTGAACATCACAGTCCCAGAAGCCGCATCGAGTCGAGCCACCCCAGAGAGCAACTATGCACACCTCAACTCTGAACCCCAGTTGGACTCTCCTGGTGCAAAGTCGGGCGAATCAACCTTGGTGCCTAGAGAGACTGCAGCTCTACGTGAGACAGTGAAGAAGAATGAACCCATTCCCGACGTAGTCACTAGTCAAACGAGCAGTAATGGTAGGGGCGAACAATCCCCCTGGGGTCCCAGTGATGAGTCGCAACAAATATCGGAATCGGAGCGTCGGAGACTGCTCGAGATCGCCGCAGAAGAGCACCGCAAGGAGATGCAGCGGAAACAAGAGGAATACCTCAAAATCCGCCAGAACAGGCTCAAAGGCCGTAGTCCGGATCTCAACGCTTCGAACGATACCATCAGCATTCACGGTGTGGGCATTATTGACTTTGATGAACCGCGCAATTCTCCGTACGATGAGCTCAGAAAACCGTTTGAGGACAAGCATAAGCCTAAGCAGTTGGTGCCTCTGAGGGAACCGCCTCCAGTTCCAGCGGACACGAGTACTTTACTCAAAGCCAACTCCTTGTCACGAGCGAAAAATCGGACATCTTGGCCAGATAGCGATGATGGCAACCCGAAGCGTCGTTCGACTGAGTCGACAGGCGAAAAACGCAAGGCGATACCGCAAGGTCCTAGTGGGTTGTCAAATATCGCTGCCGCAATTATAGGCGCAGGGACCATAGGTGCCGGGGTTGGGGCAGCCAACAAGGCGCCTCCCAAACCTCCACCAAAGGATGATGTTTCAACAGAAAGTATGCGTCCGTCACAGGCTGTGTTGAAGGATATGGGCTTTACAGATTCGGGCCGGAGCAGTCCAGGTGGGTCACCCCGAACTCCCGGCGAGCTCACAATGAGCAAGGGCAATGTACCGTTCAGAATTCCTGACTATGTGGAAGATCTAGTGGACGACTTCTCACCCGACAAGCCTGAACTCACCCTGGAAATGCCGCGGCCGCGTAACACCTCAGTCTCCAAGTTCAAGGACGACCGACCACCTTCGCCAGATCTGAGTCCTCATTCAGCACAACCCCCTGTCTCCACACTGAGCCGAGAGCCGTCAAGAGTCTCGGTGTATGGACCCACGCATGATTTTGAAGAAGCGCGAGTCTCCTTTACCACAAGGTTGCCAAACCGTGGCTCCGTGGATTCATCAGACGACGACTCTGACGACGGGCTCTTCGCCGCTCCACTGGCGCGCGCAGGTCCAGCCACTCCCGTCAAAAGTGCGCCACTCCAACGAAACGGCTCACGCAGTCAACGGCCAAATCTCAAGCTCAAGACATCCAGGTCAAAGAACTCGCTGGCTCAACCAGAGAAGTCAGCACAACAAAGCGCGGCTGGCGACCACGAATCCCAGCCAAGCGACTGGCATCCAGAATCCGCTGCCTCTGCCACCTGGACTGACTCGCCTGATGACACCTACAGGTTTTCTCGAAGAGAGTCGTTTGCGAGTGATGTCTGGGCAAATCGTCCTCCCGCTGAAGCTCTCGTGGAACACCTCGATGAGCTCTTCCCAAACGTCAATCTGGATCAGCCTATGCTTGAGGAAGAAGAGTCAGACGCGACGACAGACCCAGCTAGCGAATCATCCAAAGAGGCCCGATCTAGTCCAGCATCATCCCTTGATGACAGTGCCGGCCCATCTCAGTCACTTTCTCGTAACAAAGCAGGTCTGCAGTCTATTGCACAACGCAATATGCGAAAATCAGGCGCAGGTCTCGGACGAACTAAATCGATTCGTGAAGTAGTCAAATCACAGTATCAGCCTCTCGAGAAGCGAGCTATACCAGGTCAGGCACCTGGTGCAGCAGGGCCGTCCCGCGTTGCAACACTCCGCAATGGCGGTGATATTGTCCGGCGAAAGTCAACCAAGATGTTTCACGCCAACATCCAACAAGTCAAGCCCCCACGAGGCTCCCGGTTGATCCAGCTAGAAACGATCCCACAGGACCATATTCCACTCCCCTCACGCCAACCAACCTTTAAATGGATGAAGGGTCAACTCATCGGCAAAGGGACCTTTGGGCGCGTCTACCTTGGTATGAACATCACAACGGGAGAGCTCATCGCTGTCAAGCAAGTCGAAGTCAACGCCAAAGCCGCAGGCTCCGACAAGGACAAGATCAAAGATCTTGTCAAATCGCTCGACCAAGAAATCGACACGATGCAGCATCTCGACCACCCCAACATTGTCCAATACCTCGGTTGCGAGCGCAAAGAATACAGCATCTCCATTTTCCTCGAGTACATTTCCGGTGGTAGCGTGGGATCCTGCATCCGCAAACACGGCAAATTCGAAGAATCCGTCGTCTCGAGCCTGACCAGGCAAACCCTGCTCGGCCTCTCGTACCTGCACCGCGAGGGCATCCTGCACCGCGACCTCAAAGCCGACAACATCCTGCTCGACCTCGACGGCACCTGCAAAATCTCCGACTTTGGCATCTCCAAGAAGACGGACAACATCTACGGCAACGACGTGACCAACAGCATGCAAGGCTCCGTCTTCTGGATGGCACCCGAAGTCATTCGCTCGCAGGGCCAGGGCTACAGCGCCAAAGTAGACATCTGGTCCCTCGGCTGCGTCGTGCTCGAAATGTTTGCGGGCAAGCGGCCGTGGAGCAAGGAGGAGGCCATTGGCGCCATTTATAAACTCGGCTCCTTGAACCAGGCGCCGCCTATCCCCGAGGACGTGAGTCGGGTGATTGGCGTCGAGGGCCTCAGCTTCATGTATGATTGCTTTACGATTGATCCGACGGAACGGCCGACGGCGGAGACGCTGCTGAGAGCCCCGTTTTGCTTTAGTGATCCGAATTATAACTTTTTGGATACGGAGCTTTATGCGAAGATTAGGGGGGCTTTTCAATGAGGTGGGGGGGGTTAGGTTGATGGGTAGGTAGGCTGTTAAGTAGGGTGAAGGATGAAAGGGGTGATTTTTTCTTCAAGGAAAAGGGAGGTGGGGGGATTCGATTCAATCGTTTGATGCATTTCATTTTTTTTCCATTTTTTTTCCACTCTTTTATTCTTTTTCTTTGTGTTGGAAGATTGGGAGCACAATTGCGAGGGAAAAGGGAAAGAGCACGCACGAGCGTTTGACTGAAGAAGATTTTTATTTGTCAGTGAGCACGATGATGATGTATGTATATGTATAGGTTATATACCCGTGTTTGTATTCCGTGACTTGTTTTTTTCGGGTGGCGTAGGGTGGTGGCGTGGTTGTGTAATGTGGTGTTGACTCTCTTCTCGATGCGACAGGCCCAGTTCAAACTATGATTTAAGATTTTGCTTCTCTCATTCTCATCACCTATTCTTCTCCTTCCTCTCCCTCTCCCTCCCCCTCTTTCTCCCCCTCTTCCTCCTCAAACTCAAACCCCCCAAAATACACACAAAGCGCCTAAATCAAACCCCCAAATTAGCAAAACAACCATCACACAAATCCACATCCAAGAAAAAACCCCCGACGTACCTTACTCGCGCCCATGATGGCGTAATGCGCAACCTCTAATTTCGTGCCGGCGTCGCTGTAGCGCGCGAGCTGGTTGAGGTCCGAGTTGCGTGGGAGATAGAGGACGAGTTCGCGGGTGTAGGAGGTGAAGGTGCGGTGGAGGGTGGCGAGGTTGTAAGGTTTCATGGTGTCGAGGTTGAAGATGTTGGGGGAGGTGTAGTGGGTTCCTGATTTGGGGTTGTGTCAGGAGGACATGTATATACATCTCCCTTCTCACCACACATGCGCATTTCCACGGTACACAACCAGAGGTTAAAAAAAAAGGAGGAGGGGGAAGAGGAAGACAAACGCAACAGGGACGAGGGAAAATAAAAAAATAACGCACCACCCCACGGCGGACTGGCAAATACAACAAGCCCCTCGGTGCCCTTGAATCTCCGCATCACCTCGAAGCAATCACCCTCGAGCCAAAAGATTTTCCCGCCCACGCCGTAGATTTCCGCATTGTGTTTTGCGCATTTGAGCGTCTTTGCGTCCTTTTCGATGCCGAAGACGCGGTCCCAGCGGCCGGAGCGGGCGAGTGCTATGGCGTTGCCGCCTACGCCGGCGAAGGCGTCGATGATGGTGTTGCTGGTTTTGGGAGCGGATTCGGAGATGTGGGCTGCGATTTTGCTGGGGGGAAGGGTGGGGGTGTTAGTTTGGGTGGGAAGGGGGGGTGGTGTTTGCGGGGGTTGAGATGGGGGGTTGAGGGCTGGGGGCTTAGGAAATGGAGAGAGGGAAGATGGGTGAGATGGAAGTGGGTGAGGACTTGGAAAATCACATGTTGTGGCTGAGCGAGGAGAGGAGAAAGATATACTTTGCGATTGGTTCTGGGGTTACGCCGAACCAGGCGTCTTCTGTCATCCAGATGCCCTTGTCATATTTGGACCAGATTTTGAAGCGCTGAAACCAGTATCTGGAGCAGTTTGTTAGTGGGGTTCTTGTTCTAAAGTGAGGGTGGGTGAATTCTGGGTACTTCTTCAAGTGCTCTGGGAACTGATCGCCATGTGACCACTGGTGAATACCATTTTCATCTGGGCCGTTCTCCATCTTTGTGGCGAACAGCACTGGCGAGTTCCCTAGTCTTTGTCAAAACAGACAGCTTCGGCAAATCCGAGAGAAATTGTCGAAATGAGAATCGGGGTTGATACTGGAGAAGTGAGTGAAGCTGTGCATGAATGATGGATCTGGTACAAAAGGGAAACTAAATATTGACCTTGCCCTTTTGAGATTAGCGTATATCTGTGCAACTGTGTGCTGGCGGTCCTCTTCTAGAGAGGCATGGAATGCATGAAGATCTATCGGTATCTCTCTAAAGCATGAATCCATCCTTCAGACCTTCTCTCTTCCTATCATAAATCTTCATGCTCAGCAATATCGAGCATCTTCATCCCTTCCCCGACTAGCGCCGTCATCCAAAAGCTATGGCCACCTCTAGATACCAACTTCAATTCCAACACCAAAGCCAGCTGTCCGAAACAATATCAAACTCATCACCACAACCGCGCATCATGACGAGCATGTTTGGCGCCCTGAACCGCTTTATTTCGCGACTCGATGCCGCGCCTTTGGACGATCAGCAGTCTACCACAAACGGCGCGTACGGCTTCCAGGTGCTAAGGAATGCGAATCAGGAAGTACCGCTAGAGCCATGGTTTGATTTTGTGATTGGCATCAATGGACGGACGATTGTGAGTTGGATTACATGTGCAGGATGAGCGGATGATTGTTTTTCGCATGGGATGACGAGAATGGGGTTAATGATGAGAAATAGGATAACCCTGATCCCACGCTTTTCGCGACTGAAGTCAGAAACTGTGCAGGAACTACGATTAGTTTGGGGGTGTTCAGCGCAAAGGTAGGTTTGATATTGAGTTGCAAGCCTTGATTCTACACTGTCTTTCTAAAAAGCCGCGTCACATCCTACATGGTTTTCCTTCCTTGTTCGATGTAGCGATAAAATGGGGTTCAAAATCTTCGAAAACGATTGTCATTGTCAGTCTGACTCTCCACAGGGCCAGAAGATTCGTGAGGTTTATCTCTCCATCCCTGCCGACAAACCCACTCTCGGAGTCTCTCTGCAATGGTCGCCTCTTTCCATTGCGGAAGACGTCTGGCATATTCTTGATGTCATTCCCAACAGTCCTGCTGATGTAGCAGGCCTACTACCATACGGCGACTACGTAATCGGTAGTCCCGAAGGCCTTGTTCGTGGCGAATCTGGCCTGGGCGAACTTGTTGAAGATGTAAGTCACATGCTTTTTCGTACCAAGCATAGCAACTGAACCATTAGTTCCTCAATCATCCTCTGCGACTATACGTCTACAACCACGAGTACGACGTTACAAGGCCTGTCACCATCACTCCTTCGCGTCACTGGGGCGGCGAAGGAGCTCTGGGCTGTGTTCTCGGCTTTGGTGCTCTACATCGCATTCCTCCGTCTCTCGAGGAGCCGCCTCAAGCACCCGGTGAGACCCTCTTCTCAACAGACAGCCACACCACGTCCTTTGACGAGAAGCGACCTATGTTGTCTGGATCTCCTGCTCCAATTGCGCAGATCGGTACACCTGCCGAACTATTTGTCCCGGCAAACATGGCACTGCCGTCCAAGTCTCCTCCACCACAAAGTGGGGGTGTGCCACCGAAGAAGAAAGGCAGAGCGCACCATATCGTAAGTCCGACTGGGGGAGGTGGGCTCGATGACTACTTCAAAGAGGGCGAACAGAAGAGTTTGGAGGAGGATTATGCGCCGAAGAAAGGAGGCGGTGTGCCACCGCCTCCAAAAATTGGAGGACCGCCGAGGGGAGGACCACCGCCGAAGAGTGCTACACCTGTTCCAGGTGAGGCTGCAACTGAGGCGCAGCCAGGTGGGAAGGCAGAGGCAGAGGCAGAAGCATAGTGATGCACATGTCTTGTGTCAAGGTTAGCAATGTCCTAGCAATCCCAGCCAAATGCATCAAAAACATACCCCTTACTCATATTCCGCTCTCATTTACTCATGCCCAGCTCCCAGCTCCTCTCTGAATCGACTGATCCTTCGTTGCTTTCGCTCAGCGAAATTTCCCTCTCCTTCCCCCTCTGAACTCGACTCACTCCTCACTTTCGTAACCTGCTTCTCCTCGCCATCCAGGAATGAGTCCATGCGGAGAGGTGTCTCCCCGGGCCGGTTGACAGTCATACTGCCTTCCTTGCGGCCACTCACAACTTGGAATGACGAAGTGTCAGGAGAGGTAGGTGAGGTTGTTGGAGAGGAGGACGGTGAGATGGCGGTCTTTATTTTGGTAGTGAGGTTGCGTAGAAGAGGCATATTGGCGTATCTGTGTGTGTAAGTCGTATTGGAAAGATGAGTGAGAATGTGGCGTAGAGTAAGTATTAAAGGATTGTATGTAATCCGCGGAGAGATGGGATGAAAGGCGCCAGGTCGTGTGACAGTCGAAGAATCCGACAAAGTGTATTCCTTTACCCGGTATCTGATCTTCTCCTGTCACGTCTAGTGTCCAGTAATACTTCTTTCCCTAGACGAACTTTCTATATCTTATGGCGAAAATGATGTAGATCGCCCTGGGAAACCATTTCACTTTCAACACGAAATAACAGCAGCCCTACTCTATATAGCGAGCGACTGAATCAAACCCGATCCCCCCTTCCCACCCCCCTCTCTCCCACCGCTACATCACTCAACTCACCCGACACCCGACTAAAAACACAGCAGAAACGCCGCATACGAATCCTAGCTTCTCGCTCCCCTCCACAACTCAATCGCGGCCAAGCCACCAACCCAATAGCCCACTGCAGTAGCTCGAAAACACAACACACCCGCAACACCAGCGCCCCTTAATGCGCTTTTTGCCCCATATTCATGCACCACACATTCTAGACCGTAAGATGTGGGGTTGTTCTCGGTGGCCACACAGAGTAGTAGGTGACCCTCGACGTTAGTGCATGTAAGAAGCCATGCGACCGGCTGCCGATCAACTGGCATGGTACCTGAACCGTTACGAGTCGCGACTGAGCGAGCGACGAGTCGGGAAGACGGTAGATGAGATTCGCATCTGGAAAGGGCTATCGAAACGGAGTTTCGTCTGCTCTAGAATACGGCTACTTGCATTTTGCCCTCTCCTAGCTAGATTGTGTTGTGCAGCGGGTGTTCTAGCCTTCCTCCTCGGCGTAATCGTTTTCGCCCCTCCCACACCGAAACTGTAATGCCATGTTTCCTTCATGTGCCTGCTCGGACAACATACCCATATACTATGACAATAGGAAATCACGGCTGCGAGACAATCTACTACTCGGATCCTGAATATTTCTGCCGAGTTTTTCTTCTTCAGTTCCGAGGAATGCGTGCATGGCATGGTGGATCTGCCCTCGTTACGAAAGACCCGTCACGAAAACTCATGTATCTACATGTCATTCATCTTCGCCGTCGCAATGGACAACCGACGACAAGCACGCAATTAGCACAAGTGGCACAAACCCCCCCCCCCCCCATGCGCATCGCCACAGCAAAGTTGACACTTCAAACTCCGCCATATGCAAACCGCGGTAAGCAGTAGCATAGGGGTAGTTGAAGATTTCCGGTCGTGCATGCAGCAAGAGCAGCAGCAGCGAAGATGTTCGGTACCGCCAAAAAAAAAGGAGAAGAGACAAATGCGGTATGGGTTACACCGCCGCTTCTCTCTTATTTCCCAGTGCAGCCGTACTGGGGTTTTGACATCGAGCTTCGTGGAGGGCGCAGTTCATATGACCATGGAATTAGCGCTGCGTGAACTTGTATTCAGCATAGGGTTAGGCCGTGCCAAGCTCTACTAGCTAGCTAAGCGAGGTTAACTAAATATTATGCCGTAAGATTTTGCAACGCGTTCTAAACCTGTTCTAAACACATTCTATACTAGTAACACCACAAGCTGCCACTACTATACCTGTTACTAACGCATCCCTCTTATCCTACGTAAGCAGATTAAAACGTGTTTAGAACGTGTTCTTAATAGGTTATAGAAGCACTATTAATAGTACCTTGCCCTTAGCCGCGTCCTAGATAATATTAGGGCATAGCCTGTGGTTAGCCCTAATAGGGCAGTTAAGATAGAGAGTGGAGAGCGCTACTACTATACTAAGATTAATAATAAGGGCACCTTATACAGAGTAAGAACAGGTTCTAAACGTGTTCTAAATAGGTTCTAATATTCTTAGGCTATTCTAGGTACTAGGGGCACTCTGTGTACCTATGCTAAAAAAGATTATAGGCTTAACATAGCCTACTATAAGGTTAGTAGGGTTAAGAAGACTAGCTAGCCCTCTATAATAGAGGTCCGCAAGGTAAAGAGTAAATATATTATTAACCTATTCTTAACTTGTTATACTAATATATATAGACTTCTATATAAAGGTTATATATAATTACTAGAACGCTCCTTACTATAAGTTATTTAGAATATATTTAAAACTTGTTACTAACGTGTTTTATAGAAGTTCTCTAAGCCTAGCTAGTAGCTACTATAGGCCCCCCTATAAATGCTAATACCCTCCTAAATGTGATTTAGAAGAAGACTTATAGTGGCCGTAATAGTAATAAGGTATAGCCTGCAAGAACCTGTTAAAAACACGTTGCTAACTTGTTATAGCTTAACTTTATTGCTATATCTACCCTACTAAGGATTTAAGGTTATTAGGTTCCTTATGCTATCTGCGCTTGCGATTATCCTAGCTATAGTAAGTTGTTTATAACATATTGTTAACCTGTTCCTAATATATTTTAAGACTGTTACTTTAATACTAGTGTGGACCTTGCTAATTCCTGCTAGAATGCTGCCTAGTTCTACTTGCGGTATGCTTTTATAGAGCCTAGGGAGGATAGAGAAGATACTAGAGAGGGGGAGGGAGATAATAATAGTAATAAGTAGGAACACGTTAAGAACGTGTTAAGAATAGGTTCTAATAAACAATGTATAATAGCATATAACCTAAAGGGGTAGTAGTAATTGCTAAAATAAACTCTCTACTCTTCTCTTTTTTTTTCTATCTACTAAAAGTAAAGTACTATTTACTTTTATAGGGTCCTTTAATAGTATATAACTTTTTCTTTTAACTTTTATAGGTATTATAAAGCTCTAGTAGTCCCTTAGATTAAAGAAGAATCTAGTATTTATAGGTGTCTAGCTATAACGTATTGTTAATATGTTCTAAACGTGTTTTAAGAGACTAGACTTATATCTCCTTTTTGCTGCTTTCGCTAAATATTATTCACAGTGTAAAGGGGAGCAACTATTTGCTCCTCTTCTTTACTCTCTGCTTCCTCTTTAGCCTCTACTCTAGCTACCACTTCTTATTGTAGACTAGCTATCTTAGAGGGTTCTTAAACCTTAGTAGGAGGCACTTAGTGTAGTCTACTCTACTAGCAGAGAACGTATTATTAACGTGTTTAGAACACGTTCTTAAGTATTTACTATTAAGCTCCTATAGAAGATCCTTGCTTCTATAGTGCCTTGTATTGTGGTTCTACTATAGTTTACTAGGGCTATTTAAACCTTAGGATAATACCTCTTAAGGTAGTAGATAAGATTACCTCTATTAGAGAAGCAACGCTAAAATGGTTATTAATATGTTGTAAACGTGTTCTAACTCGCATGTATACATACTCTACAAAGTTCCTGTACCCCTAATCTAGCCTAAATAGCCTAGTAGAAAAGCTCGCTAGGAAATACTATACACCTATTATTTAGGTAGGATGTTGCAGGAGAGAATGCCCTAGTATTAGATAGAAGTGACTTAAGCTTAATATATCGCTAGTATAAATCCTACTTAGTGTTAGAACAAGTTCACAACGTGTTCCTAACGCGTTCTATTACATACTAACTTTAAAAGATCTTTGTAGACTATATTAACTAGTTATATCTAATAATATTAGGAAAGATAGATAGTAAAATAGTATTAAACTCTTAAATATAAAAAGTTCTTGTAGAGTGTAAGAAGAAAGAAGAAGAAAGAGAAGAAGAAAGAATATATATTTATCCGCTTATGTGTGCTTACGTAATAGACTAGAATATATTAAGAACTAGTTAGGAACTAGTTACTATATTTGTAGACTAACCCTGCCTTATATAAAAAGTAGCTATCTCTTTCTTAAGTTTAAACTATGCCTTTTGCAATTTAAATAGTGCCTTTTTCTGTGCAAGTTCTTCCTTATCTACCTCTAGCTTTTCTTTTCTCTCCTTTAGAGCCTAATTACTAAGAAGAGCCTTTTGTTGCAAAGTTTGTAGTTATAGACTAATAATAAGTTAGGAACATGTTATAAATGTGTTTCGCAAAGCATACCTTTAGGTTACTGTTAGCGGAGGAGAAGAGCCTAGTGGTGGAGAAGATAGAAAAGGGGCTAGTGAACTTCTTTCTAATACCGCTCTACTACTTGCCCTCTAGCTTTAGGCTTTTAAGCGTGCTTTTTTATTTCTTATTAGGACTAAGATATATCTAGTTAAGTTAGACATAGCAAGACTTGCTTTATTGTTATCTAGAGTGTTATTATTATTGCAGGACACATTCTAAACACGTTCTAAACACGTTTTAATTAGCGAATGTATATAACGCTAGCGTAAGACTTACTTTCTCCCCTCTAAAGCTTTTTAAGGTACCTTTGCTTAAGCCTATTAGGAGTTCTATAGTTATAGCGTATTCTAAACTTACTCTAGGCTTTAAACTCTTTTATATCCTGCAGATCTATCTAGTGTGCACTACACAATGTTACTTATACAATTCTAACAGGTTAAGAATAGGTTGTAAACTTACTTCTAAGTGGCCTTAAGAATACTTACATGCTTACTAGTTTTATATCCTTTCTAGCCTGCTTGCTTAGCTATATTTAAATAAGATTCTAGTTTTTCCTATACCTCTTTTAATATTTTACTACAGTATTGCACAATCCTAGTAGCAATTACTAGGTTTTTCTTATAGATTGCCTAGTTTTAGGCATCTTTAGAGGGTTTGTGTTCTAATCATGTAAGAACGAGTTAGGAACACGTTTAGAACAGGTTTAGAATATGTTTACTTATATAAGAGGAGGTTAGCAAGCTAAAAGTATTCCTCTGCTATTAATGCCTGTAGTAATTCACTTAGACGTAAAGAGGTAGTATTATCTAGCTCTCTTTTATATGCTTTGTGAATACTTCTTTGTAGATATACTTAACAAAATCTTATGCAAGATTAAAGTTGCTAGCGCTAGTCATGCTTATAGGGATTAATTAACTAGAGATAGCGCCTAAGTCCTAGAAACAAGTTAGAAACACGTTACGAATATGTTGCAGTACGCTGTAAAACTTGCCTATTATCTGCTTGTTACACATGTTAATAGTAGTCCCATAGAATCCCTATAAGTAAATATGCCTCTATAACACTTGTCTTTTTATAAGTGCTTTACACTTCTAAAAGAAGTTAGTAATAGTAACTTAATACATCTTAGTTATATCCTTATCTATAATAATTTAGCTAAGTATAATAACTACAACGTGTTAGAAACGTGTTATAAACCTATTCTTAATACGTACGCTTCTTTTCCTACAGGTGGAAGATTACTATTAGAATCTCTGCCTATACCCTATACAACCTCTTATATAACATATCTATCTAGAACGTGTCTTAATCTAATAGAATTAATGCCTACTCTTTAAAAAGGCAAATAATTAAGTTACCTAAGCTTAATGTAAAGATTTGCTGTATGTACGCCTGTAGTAACGTGTTAATAACGTGTTCTAAACCTGTTCTCTTACACCACGTATAGTTTTAGGATCCTAATGCTTTGTCCTCTACTTATAGTGTACTCCTCTAAGGCTACTCTTAAATAGGAACTATAGAAGCTTTTCACGCTTTATAATACGCGAGATTTTATCTTTATTTACAAAGCTAATATGCATTTCTTTAATAGAATAGAAACCTTTAAGTTAGAGATAGGTTTAGAGCTAGGTTAAGTTTAGGAACTAGGCTGTAACAAGTTAGGAACACATTTGTAACAGGTTGCAAACAACTTATATTGCGTAAGCTGCAGAGTAAGTATAGGCTGTAATACCTTTACTACTTCCTTAATATTACTATTAGATAGTGTTAAGGGAGGAGGAGGTATATATATATGTATACCAAAAGAAATAATAGCAAAAAAAGGTATTACTAGCTATATCTATTAGTATAATTACTTAGAAGGTAACTTTACACAGGATTTTAAATAGAGATCCTTGCCCTTGTGGATAATTAACGCCTAGAACATGTTAGGAACGTGTTAGGAATAGGTTGCAATATACCTACCACACTTCTTTATCTAGCTTAACTGTGGCTTAACTATAGAATATAAAGCAGGACTACTAGAAAGATTTAATATCTCCCTAGTTAGAAGACCTTGTAGATATGTAGAGTCTACCTCTAGTAGTACCTAACTAAAATAATATTTTTTCCTAGTAGCAGATATTAGGCTGTAGTTCTAACAGCTAATGTATAGTTAAGCCTATTCTACAATTTACTAACTTGTTATTAACACGTTTTAAACATATTTAAGTTTTGCTCCCTACCTAATTTACTACAGTCCTTATTATAGGACAATAAGACACCTAGTAGTCCTTATAAATCCTTAAAGAGAAGCGCTTAATAAGGCTATAATAATAGCTTCTTATTCGTAGTTCTCTTTATAGAATTTTCTTAGGTACTACACTTTTTAAGGTTTAGATCTGATTGTACAATGCGTTATTAACAATATAATAAGAACACGTTTATAACGTGTTCTTAAGATACTTACACGCTTTTACCCTAGAGTATTAGTATTTATACTAGCTTGCTAGCTAGCTGTTAAAGAATAGTAAAGTTGTAGGCCTATTAAGATAGACAGACTAGCAGGAGTATTATACCTGCTAGAATTAGAACAATTTAAGAACGTGTTCTTAACGTGTTACCTGTGTAGCCTATATAAGCACCTCTTCTCTTGTTAGGTAAGAGCTATCTTTATATTGCTAAACTAGTATTATATACCTATACTCTTAGCTATGTAATTAAGGGTATGCTAGGAGAATAGCTACATGCTTAATAATTGCTAGTGTAAGTAGTGGTCCTTAACTATTACTATAAGTAAGGTATACATTATGCCCCTGTAACGTGTTACTAACCTATTCTAAACTTGTTCTATTTACTTTTACTTACTTCCTTAACGCTACTGCTACTATCCTCCTCTAGCACTTTATACGGTTGCCTAAATTCATCTCTAATATTACTATCTAGTTTAGATATATTGTCTAGTACTGCTGTACTAAACTCTAGTATAGTATTTAGGAACGCCTGTATATTGTTAAGAACAGGTTTAGAACACGTTTAAAAAAGATAGTAACAAAAACTGCGTTTACTTGCTTAAATTACCCTAATTTATACTTAACTATAGGCTAGTTTATATAACTATAAAAATTTGCCGCTGTGACGTGGACTTGAACCTACAGGGATATTCTAACCACTCGGAGTAAAGCCCAAGTCGCCCAACGCTAAACCCATGGTCATATGACATGCCACCACAGCTTCGTGTGCGCAATCGCGGCTGCTGCGGACATGGACTCTAGAATCGTTATGCCATACACGGTTGTGTGGGAGATCGACATGCGACATGACATGGATAATAACGGGTTGGATGGCCATTTCTTTGAATGACTCTTTCGCTGACGTCCCTGTCGTTGTACTCAAACATCTATGACAATGGCATTGTGACACCTGTCCAAATACTCTACTCTACCGGTCGGTACAGCATCCCATCATCCATCGAATCTCCGCCCTCGGCCCTCCGCAATCTCGCCTCAAGAGATCGGATTCGTGCAGTACCCATGGTACCTATCTACTCTAGATTCAATAATCTCGCCGTTCCTCGGCCCCTCACCTGGTGACCGAACGCCGCCCAACCTAGCCCACTAAAGATCAGCACACATCATCCACAAAAGGAAGACCAAAACTGTTAAACTTTCTCAGCCATGCAAATATAGTCCTGTCTTTTACATACTACAAAGACACTTATAAGCATTAGTGCGGTGCCAGACCCAGACCAGACCCCAGATCCAACGATTCTACTTGTAGTAAGAGACACTTGACAGCGCCACCTCCGCAACCATACACTATCGCAGCCGTGTTTTGGATGTCTAGTGTACCTAAACATTCATACTCTATCCTTGACTACTACCATTTCTTCCTCATTCTCTCATTGCACTTACGCACCTAGTCAGTATGTGCTATTATCTTCCATACAAAGCATGAAGATCTTACACACTATAATCTCTACTTGGATAGCCCGCGAAGCTGGAGCAATTGGTCACTCAGTGTGGTGCTTTCCCCTTTACATTCATCACGCCGTGACTGCTATTTTGCCCCATTGGGGCATGCGCATTGCCGCAAAACACTAAAAGTGCCCTAAACCACCCCTCTACGAGGAATCCGTCGTGTTAATACAGGCAAATGATGAACGCATAGGGCCCGCATGGAATCCATCTTGTATTCTTCTCCTGATAGATCATCAGTGAAATCAAGAGATTAAAAAGCTTCCAGCTGGCGGTGATTCGAGACCTACTAGAGGAGATGTCATTTATGAGGGCGGAGTTTGCAACAAGCATTTGTGTCTATTGCCGATAGCAATGTGGCGCCCAGTTGTGAGTGGGGTTTTTGACGCAGGAAACAATGGTGACTAACTGGACAAAGATTCTTTTCTATTCAAATGAACGTTACATGCCATCTGGAAAGAAATGCGCACAATCCATCTAAAAATTGCAGAGAGTGCCCTAGAGACCATCTTCATCTTCATGCATGCTCAACCTAACATGTCGCGAGTGACCATTAACCAACTAGGCAGCTACCTCGTGGATCGCGAGAGGGACGTAGGCAGCGCGCGTAAGTTTGCTCGAAATCTGCTAGACTAGTATCATTCAGCTAGACAACGATATTCTAGTCCTCTATCAGCACCTATGCAGTTTGCTAAGAATCTGAGTGTTGACGCTAAAGATCCTTCAGCCATGCCTTCTATCAAGCATAGACCATGCGAAGCATATTGCAATAGTCAAGAACTAGCAGAAGGAGCTAAGGTAGGCAAATAAATTCATATAGTAAAGCTCTGCACTCTGCTCTATTAAATTGTCAAACATGACCCTTTGGCCTTGAGCTTGAGATGTATTTGTAAGAGAAATTCTTCTAAGTATATAGAGCTACGCAACATGTACCAAGGTCCTAGGTCTTGAGTCCTAGATTCAGGCGATGTTGAGGTCGAACAAGATGCGTTTGGTTTAAACCTCTTCCTTCGTTTTGGCTAATATTATGTAATAACATTTCCCCAATGTCGTTCACATACGACCATAGGACACTGAAAACTAGGCTTCCCGTCCGCTCAGCCATATATAAGCAGTGTACCGGCGGATTAGTAGTTAGGTGGGTGACCACTAGCGAATCCCCGCTGTTGTATGTTTTTGCTGATTTTTGTCTCTCTGAGTCGCAGTGCTCAATACTTCAGACGCATAGAATAACAGTTCAGTGCGATGTTGTAGATGACTGGGGTGTATACATGCTAAGCTTTAGGACATGGCAGAAACAGTATTTTGACCACTTTTTTAATTGTGCTAAGTAAGTAGTTAGCGTATGTTCCCCTTGGTCACTAACAGTGACCACAAAAGTAAATACATCCTGTGTATGCTTCCTATAGATTTTTTAATAGTATTTGTAGCAGGCTATCTGTCACCTAGCGCTTAAATGCAGTATATATGTGGTTTCGTTGGTTTAATCAAGTAGAATAGATCTAAGCTTATACATAATCTAGAACTTTTAATCTTGAGCTAGACTTAAGGTTCTTCTATCCTTTTACACAAAAGCCTACTGACTTTACCGTGTAATGTTAACAAAAATCTATTATACTGTGCCTACTTTGGCTATATCAAGTGTTAATCAAGTATAAAGCTGTGGCAGGACAAGAATGGAAAGAGAAAGCACAAAATTGAAGAGAATAATGATCAAGACCGCAAGGCAACTAAAGAACTGAGGATTCAAGGATTCAATCAGCCAGACGAACTAAAGGAAAGGAAGTTGAAGAGGTAAACACCGGACAGTCAGCCCAACTCAGAGGAGGCTGTTGGTTTGACGAGCAAAAAGACAAACAAAGAGAAGTTGGTAGCAAGTGGGAAGAAGTAGACAGAAGTTTCATCGGACCGCTTTAATTTTCGTAGACAACCTTGAAGAGAGGAGCATCCTACCTACCCAAGTCCTAAGTGATCGAGCCACATCCGTGTTTCAAGATTCTTAACCTCCTTTCTCGCGAGAATCTCAGAATTCTGCAAGGCGCTGAAGGAGGAACTAGGGCGACCAACGCTTGAACAGCTAGATAGATGTGACGCAACTACGCAACCGATCTATGACTTTGTCCTGCATAAATGACCAGAACATGGCTACTGATCAATCCATTGCAAGGGCGAGCGATCTGATCAAGAAGCTAGGGAAATTGATAATTTTATGACTGTCCTTGGAAAAGGTTCAGCAGGCGACAACTCCTTGCCTCGGTCTATCTTGGACGACATATTTGGACAACACCAAAGGAGGACATTATTAGCAAGTGCAAGTTGACGTCGCAAGGCTCAAAGAGCAGCGCCGTCGCCAAGAGGCGAGACAGGCGTACTTCGAGGCATGCAAGGTTCAGAAACCTCATAACCAGATCCAGAAGCTTTTAACTACAAATGGGCTTCGAGAGACCCCATGTCTTCTTCCAGAGAATGAAAGAGATGGCTTCGAGACAGGCAGCAGTAGCAGCGAGTCAGAAGATGACGACGACGAGGATCCCTTGGGAGGGTTCAAAGTTAACACCGTGCTCTATGGTACCTGCGGATATTATATATCCATTTAATAATCCTCGTGGCATCTCGAAACAACGACGACGACCCCTATCTAGAATATTCGACTCTAGAGTTCTCCACTGAAGAGTTTGAGAATTAGATAACATTTTAGTAATTGCTTTATCAAGCCGAAATCGCTTACAACAGCTTGCTGGTCTCTGTCATATCCTGGGTAGCATGGGTGCAGATAGCCACGAACGTAGCATAGTATCTATGGAAGCAAGGATATTGCAACATGGCACGAAATCTAATTACAGAAGCGCTTAAGGTACGAGAGAAGCTGTTAGGAACGAACGAATTGAACCCTGTTAAGCGTGGAAATCCTAGCTAGTTGTTGAGTTGGAGAAATTATGGCGAAACAGTGGTATTGCACAGGCGAGCTTTGAAGGGTATCAAGGAGACATTAGGTTCAATACAACCCTTCACGCCACCAGCAATCTAAGGAGGTACAAGGAATTTGGGAAATTGAGTCGACTGGCACTGAGAGGAAGCAAGATGGTAATGTGTTCATGTCATGTTGACACTATGACAAGCATGGTGTTTGTATCACAGCAACAACGCAGTATGAGCAAGCGAGGAAGATAACCACCCTTTAGATCTGATAATCATCGTAAGATCTTTTGATACTGTTTAGCATACAGTTCTCAAAAGACATTCCTTACATATCGAAGTGAAAGCATACATTGTTGATGCATAGGCACGTATCCCTGTAGCTGGACACTTTGCAAATCATCTCATGTAGAAGATCTGGCTGGGGCCGACAGAAGGTCAGAAGGAACGCATGCTGCCGAGCTAATACGCGCTTCGAGGTCACAAACACATACATCTAGAGGCCCATTCATTACAAGATCTTTTGGAGAGAAATCGAATTCTGCCAAAGTCGTTCCGAATGCGCCTTCCTGGTACTTCATATAGAGTCAGCGTCTAGATACAACCAATCCAGTGGTGCTTGCTCTAGGTGTTTATGCAAGTGGATGCTCCGCTGTAGGTGTTTATGCAAGTGGATACTCCGCTGATACCTATCGCAGTGACACATAGTCGCGCGCATTCAACGTCTTGGCAGTCTCTGAGAATTGCCTACTAATTTCTTGTTTTGGCTTCTCAGCCTCTGTTCGCGCCAAGACTCGCTGAGCGTCTTCGTACTCATCAACGGTCATCCCCTCCGTCGCCCGCGGTGAGAGAAGCATGTTCCGAACAACCATCAAAGATGGCAGCATCGAAGTCCCTCAATTTGGTTGGCTTAACTGGACGCTGTTATCTCTTATAGAAATTGATACAGGAAAAGCCGCACCTTGGTCGCATGTGGTTAGCAGCGTTTGAGCAGCCTCCCATATCGTATGTATCTCGAAATAACTAATTCTCTTGTAGATCTGGGAATAATGAGTTCATGTTGAAAGACATCCCTCCAAACATATTCTCAGCCTTCAACGAGAACATTCGACCAAGACTTCCTCAAACTTGCCGTATATGGCTACCATTGGATACCATACTAAATCAGCGCATATTTGTATATGAATACCTGGACGATGATTTCTTGAGTCTGGTTCGTAAACAGATGCCAGTGAAAGCTCGGAAGAAAATTCTTAATGCTGCTTTGTGAGGAATTGCAGATATGCACGACCGTGACATTGTCCATTTAGGTGAGTCCAACTATTCCCATCCTTCACCGAAATGATATGAATAACTGATTTTCTGTAGATGTAAAGCCTGATAACATTTTGGTGAATTACCGCAATCTTGACGAAGAGGCCGTAATCGAAAAGGTCCAAATCTCTGATCTCGAGAATGCAGCCTATCTCCCGGAGCCCAGGTGTATCAAAGAAATGCTAGCTGGAAATGATAACTGGCGCAGCCCTGAAGGTCACTTCAAGGGAGAGCTCAACAAACCATCTGACTTACACTCATTCGGACTGGTAGTGAGTGGTTAATATAAGCCAAAAATTATAATTTATTGCTAACATACCAAGTGCATTTACGCTGTTCTTGGGCGTGTCATACTAGGGCCTGACGATGACTTCAAACTACACGAATCGAAAGGCGCACTACCTGCATTCATCCGCCTGCAGCGCCAAATATCATATTTCGGGGACAAAGAAGGGTTAAATGTACTCATGAAGGATGTTGGTGATGAGGAAGCGAACTGCGAGATTCTCAGAATGCTTTGGGAGGATCGGGCGCCAGACTATATCCCATATGTGCCATTCTCTTACTGGACAGAAGTTGACTCGACGTTCAAGGACTTGATCCGAGGATTGAACAATCTGGACCCTTCGCAGCGGCTTACAGCTCGTCAGGCACTGAGCCATCCTTGGTTTGAAGACATCGAAACTACTTACTAGCATATAAAAACACAGATATGGATGATGGCCAGATGCGCTTAGCTCTTTCCTATATATATTAGAATAGGCATCAAATACCGTGACAGAGTTCCTATGCGCTATTTAGGTACTCATCAGTACCAGTCTGTAGTGATTCATCAATGGTCAGCTTATCTTTTCTCAACCCTTCCCCCCTGTGGCGTGCTATGTCAATGACCAATTACCTATAATAGTAGGATAAAATTGATTAAAGAGTTGCTATAGAACTGGACTACAATTTATATAGGCTTTGTGTAGGAGTAGGGTACTGAATAGGTATTAGTAACACCTACCCTAGGTACCCTAACCCAATTTCCTAGCCTATATAAGATTAAGGTAGAAGTAGCTATAGGAAAATGTCGCAAGCAGGAAAATGGGGCAAGAGTGAAAACTCCTACCCTACCTCCGTTGTGAGATATATGGTGGGATTTGGTGGTATATTGATATTGCGACAAAGAGTTAACGTTATTAACATCGTTTTATTCTATACCTATCTACCCGGAAGGTAAGTTATACCTAGGTATAATAAAAGAAAAGGCTAGACTTACAGTTACGTATTAGAGCTTAGATACCAGATTTGAGGGAAGAAAAGACCATTAGCAGAAGCGTTAAACTGTATTGCTTCTCATTAGGTACATAGAATAATTCTTTAGTTACCTCTGTCAGCTCCTTGACCCGCTCGAGAACTGCGAATAACTGCTTCATTAGCAATGTGACTTGCGCTACATTAATTGGTCCACTCGGCAAGTTCCAAATCTACTCTTTCGTGCTGTTAGATGAAGGGGTTTGATGTTCTGAGGATGTCCGTTCCTCTTCCAGAACTTCATAGCTTCTTTTCCGGAGTATGTGTTTGGCATCGTGTGCTGACTCAGTCTCTGGTTGCGAGCGCTTCGAGGACCGTGCTAAATACGTACGAACAAAGGAGGGTCTCTCTTGCGACCTTTGCTTCAAAGGCAGAATCCACGACCTGAGATACGAAAACATAGAAGACGACTTCAGCTTTGACCAAAGTGCACTCTTGATGAAGATGTTCAGCCAAAAAGCCGACATCGCGGGCGCACAACTGACAGCAATGGTGCCGAAGATCTCGGCGGAGCTATCGCTCGGTCAGTAATCGTAGAGTAATGGTCCGCACTTGTAGGTAAGACCTACGACACAATCTCTAACAATGTGGCGTTCCACGTCGTGTCGACACCCTTGAAAACGATGATTCTCAACCAAAGAGATATGATACTCATCACGACCAAGCTGTAGTACCGGTAGCGCCGTTAGTATACGTTCAACAAGACCCATCGGACGAAACTTGCATGATTCCAGTACCAAAAACAAGACCCAGAGTGAGTTTTTTGAGGGGCGACACGTGCAACTTCAACACAATCGGAAAGGGCATTATCAGAATGACCAAGTCGGCGACTGCGGAGAACACTCCAACAACCACATGGAGCCATACCGACTCCTGACAGCGTACGAATAAGGCACCTCCCCACATTCCGCCCTTTCTGGGGATACAGTAGAATCCTGTAACAAAAATACTCATGCCATAGAAGAGGGCCATAAAGACGATCCAGATCCAGGCAGTGCGTCGAAGCCATGTTACGCTACCAAACACGCGGATGTACAGAGCAAGTACGGCGGCCTTGGCGGCCCATAGGGACGGGGGCAAGACGAAGAAGATTGCTGTCAGTCTCTATACGTCGGAAGGTATCAGATGAGTCCATTACCAGCAGACGGAGCGTTTGGACCGTACCTGAGTAACCGCAACTGTGAGTGTCGAGAGAGGTATGTCCCAAGCATGCCTTGCTAACCCTGCTTCGCCATCTGGAGAAAATCAGCGCCTCGTAGCATTCCGCCAGATGTCAAGGGGCTTACTGAGCAAGTTCAAAACCCAGTAGGCAATGCCACCAGCATATGCAAAGATGCAAAGGACTTCAAAATCGCTGTCAGGAGTGTCCGAAAGTAATTCTAGTTGACAGCGAGAAGGGCCGTTGGCCTGCTGGATCTGTTACGAAACGTGAAAACCACTTACAGTCGTCCAACCCACATTTATTGGAAAGTTTCCTGTTGGTACCAATGCGAAGTGTCAAAAGTATTCCGCTTACGACTATCAGCGCCACTCCAGTGCCGAAATCACTATTAGTCAACGTTGGCGGATCATCGAAGTTTGGTGGTGCATCAGATGGATTAGGAAGTAGAGGTATCTTCGTGAGATCAATAGGAGGAGTTGACTGCGGAGCCATGTTGCGCGATTTGGACAGTGATTATGGCACGATGCCAGGAAAGTGGTGAGCTGTTATGTTACGAGCAGCTTCGTTCAGCTTACACTTTACCTATCTTTGGCCTGCACCTTATCTCCGCAAAGAGCTGACATTACCCTGGTCCCTATCACCTAATTCTAGGCATTCCACAAAACCGTACTACCTTGGGAATACAGTTTTCAAACACCCCCACACCGCGCTGGCGAGGTCAAAACCAAGCTATAATTTTCGGTCCCCGACGCAGGTCTATTTCAAAACATTCAATTGATGAATACTTGCCTTGAACGATTGGGGGCGGACTAGACGTCGATATATTACATGCAGGTATGTAACATGGATGGGAAATATGACTGTGCCGGCCGGTCAGCAAATCCTGAACATCATCAATGGAGGCAGTTTAGTAAGTTCCTCGGAACACCGGGCTGTGTTGGCCCTCAGGAGGTATCTCGCCAGGCTGATTTTGAACGCCATTTCCTAGCAATTGATGGCTCTAGTATAGTACTTAAGCGGATCCCAAACGAAACAACAAACATACCAACTTCATATTTTCTTTCTTCATCTTTTCGGAGATCTTGGTCACTCTCATCTATGGTGACTCTCTCTTGAGCAGGTCACTTCTTGTCCGCTATAACCAGGAGCATGACTTCGCGAGTAAGGACTTTGAAGCACTGATGCAATCGTTCATCTGAGACTGTACAGATGCCCCTTTCCCTTAACCTGTTTCGAGCCATCATTTGGTTTCAAGTCCAAAATTAGTAGATGACATTGATCGTGCATCGAACGAAGTCTAGTCTTAGCAAGCAGCCGCAAAAGTTGTGAGTTTATAGATCCAGTTCACAGGCTTTTGCATACGATGCTGATCAAGGTGAATAGTCGTTTCTTCCGGAGCAGTCTATGCACAACTTTTGGTTGGTTTGAGAAAAGAAGGGCTGATGGCACGCCTTTGCCAAAAACAGTCCGCACACTCTTGGGGAACGATTTTCCATCTATATTGCCAAAGACACCCATGGCCAATGCCCAGATTATGGACAAGTTACTGAGCGGTCCTGGAGAGCAGCCGAACATTGCCGCAGTGATCCGTAAGTGTGTTGTACGCACGAACGCCATCGCATTTTTCGGGGAGGAACTCGGTAGGCTCTCATTCTGTTGTTGCAAATCAACAACGATAACTATCGGCACTTTGCTCAGCCAACGAGAAGAAGTTTATGAATGCCGCGGATGACTTTATCAACAACACTGTATACATCACGAAGAGTGCCAGACTTCTTCCTGGTTTTCTTAGCCGGTATGATAAGCTTGATCTCAGAATACTTACCATCGCTGACAAAAAATGTGGTCTAGGCCGGTGCTGAAGCTTTTGGAAGCTTACTTTTTGTCTCAGCACATCATGTTCGATGTGGAGGCTGTGACGCAGCAGAGGATCGATGAATGTCGAATTGCGGTGGATGAAGGGTCTACCGCACCCGATCACGTCAGCATGCGCAGAATGGCCTATCTTTTCATTTTCTTCGTACAGCAACTAAGCGTCATTTGTAGGACTGAATCCAATATATCATGGAACAGTCGTTCAACTTCAAGGCATTCTAATGTGAGCGAACGGCGCCATGGTCGGCTAGGCAGATCGTACACGAACTCATGGCTCTCTGATTCGGAGCGATCCACACGATTGCAATGGTAGATTACACCTATGCCGTCTGAGCAGACTCGAAAGAAGCTGAAACCTGTTGACAGTGAGCATCCGTCGCAAGGCTCTAAAGCCTATCACGCTTTCCCACGGTAAGCCGTACCGTACTATCGTCGTACCGGTACTCTGTCAACTTCGATCGAAGTGGTTTCAGCAAAGCACGTGGAGTGGCCCCAGGAATCTCGGCCCCCAACATGTACCCATGTACTAGTAACTGGACGGCTGTGGGGCCGCTGCGCAGATCACCCGTGCTACCCTGTGCTATTGTACTGCAGCGGGTAAACATTGAAGGCCGCAAGTTGCAACCTACCTACAGTGTAGTGTGTAGGCGTTGGGGGCGCAGTGTACCAGCGCCGCTCAGAATCACAACTTGTTCTGCTTAGAGTGCCCGCCCTGCAACTGTGGCTTATCTCGCATTCTCCGGCACTCATCAGTGTATGCCTATTTAATCTATGGCCATTTGCCTTGCCAAGAATAGTGTTGATAGTGGCCATAACACCTGCAACTGCAACAAGCCACCACAAACCGACATAGCTGCTCGTAGCCATGTTCGAGCATTCCGCCCTCAGACATATTCCACCCCTCCTGCTCGCCAGCATCTGGTCTGTGGGCAGGACCATGGCTTGGACCCACGGCCCTGAACAGGCCATCGCCTCGTCGGAGGCTGTCTGGTCGCTTTTCCGAATCGAAGGGTCCCGCGTCACTACTCTCGGTCTCGCCGTTTAGAGCTGGAATCTCCAATATATGGGCTCGGGGTTGGACGACAAGGCTTACGATCAGACAAGTAGCAAGGGGAGGTAGTCACTCTCCGTGCAGACAGTGTGCAGCAGGGAGCCCACAGTACTGGACCTGAAGGCAAAGTAGCTTGCCTCATTGAATCCAATCATTTATCTGCGGTCCAAATCTGCGAATGAAACTTACGATACGGCACCGCTCACTGCAGGCCGTACATTATTTCCATCGCAATACCACTTCCTGATTACTTTCGGCCCCAGGAAATACGTCACAGCTGCCCAGTCATATCAGATCTTATCCCGGATCACATCCACCATTTCCTCTTCTTTTCGGATTTATCCAGTTCGACGCGTATCCATGTGACTCTTTTGGGCGAGCTGTCAGCTTGGATTGAAACTTACTTTATCTTCGATGTTACGGACGCTGCCTGCCCCCGCTCTAGCGCCGGCCGAAAAACGAGAAATCAGTGATGGTGGTATGGCCAAACTTGAGCGATACCAACACTCCTATACTAATCTTTTAGAAATGTTCTTGGGCAGAATAGATCCTATGGTATAGGGCAACCTCTTGACAAAAAATTAGAGCCTTAACTTTATTAAGGCGGCGTGGGCAAGGGCATTGTTTGGTAGTTGAGTAGTTGCTAACATCTCATTTTTTTTGGACGGCGCTAGAGCCCCGTATACTGTCAGCTTCAGCTTTGAACGTTCTTCTCCTCTTTGCATCTTTTGTAACAGCCATTTTCCTGTCGTCGGCACAAATTGTGTTGAAGACTCCGAACAAGCCTGAAGTAGATGAGAAAGGTTGCCTAACCACGCCATCTCTGTATCCAGAGAATGGGACCCTCGAGAAACAAATCAAAACGCCCCGGGAACCAGCATCTTTCCAACATTCATGGAAACTCTGGTGCATATTCGAAATCCTATGTCTCTTGTCATTCTTGACTGCCCTTGACAGCACAATCATCACTACCTCCCTCCCTACAATCGCCGGCGCCATCGGAGGTGAGCACTAAGTTCCATTTTTTTTACAGTAGAATAGTGTTCTAGGGGTTTAAAGTACAGGGGTAAATATCCTTAAAATATACCCCTATACATCTCTAAAGTAATATTTTGTATTGAACGTATAAAATGTAGTTTTATTTACATTCTATACAACAATACCATAACATAGCTAAAAGGGGTAGAAGAATATTAGCTTTACGCTATATGTATATATAATATAAGTAGAAATAAAGGCAGTTTACTAAATTATTGTGCCGTAGCACAAGATAGAGTCTGAATTCAGGAGTTTTACCTTTTAAGGAGTGGGTTTAAATAGACATAGGAGAGCTGGGTAGGACTATCTATCATCCACGACACGAGATAGAAAATGAATACAATTGATAGCTTGGCTGTCTCCTAAATTCCTTGTCTTTGCTTTTCTTCTCCTTTTTTTTCCCTGAGGACCAAGGTTTTGCAAATACTATGGGAAGCAACCTGTCCAAAGCTCCGTGAAATAATCGACCAAGATGAGGGAGTACCACTTCCCTTCGGTTCAGTAGAGTAACTAATACTATAAACCCTATTTATATTTTCTTACTAGGCTTAATCTATACTACAGTCTACTTTAAAGAAACATAGCTTATGTAAACTAGTTATAAACTATACTTAAGAGTAGTTATAGTCTAAATAACCCTGTTCTAGGCTCTGGAAATAGCTTCTGCATTCTGATAGGCTTATAGCCTTTTGCTTCTACTCGGCAACTAACCCTAGAACTCTAGGATTCTGGATTTCCAAAAAGACAAGCTCGCCTTATATATAACTAACCTCCTCCCTGTCCGTAGCTAAAGTAGACTAGAGCGGCATTGCTTGATTCAAATGCGTAATTGCAATCCGCTTATCCGGCAACACCATGCATACACCCTTCTAGACAGTTTTCCATGTCTTCTCCAAGGCCAAACCACTAGTGGATATCCATAAAAAACAAGTCTCTTCTATCACCAGCACTAGCACTTTAGATGACGGGAGAATAGTCGATCGAATCAATTTATAAAACATGTCTCTAGAACCATCACGCTGCTTATCCTACGCCTGGGTTTGGAACAAAGAACCTAATAGAGAGATCGGTATGTCGCGTACAGTTGGGATAGATTTGGTACATGGCAAAAGGTAGAGAGGCCTATAGCCTCTATTTGAATAACATGGCATACTTATGCCGACTGGCGCTGAGATATTTACGGTGTATATATGCTAGGTCACGGAAGTGGGAGTAGGAGTCAAACGCTGCGTCACGGTAAAAGACCCAATAGACGAACTCTGAATGATGGGATGCGGGAATCGATGAGAGCGGGAGTCTGTATGTGTGTGCTGTACCTGAGGAACAGACCGAAGAGTCGGAATCTATAATTACATAGTAGTAACAAACGCTTACACTAGTACAAATGCCATTATTGGCTCCGATAACCTTTGCAAGGAATTGCGGTGCCTGAGACCAAGCACGCTCTCCCAAGCGGATGGTGGACAAGACACTGATGTCATCCCTGCGGTCCATTTACGTGAGCGTACAGCGTCACGGCCTGGGTGATCCTTGGAAGACTTCTCAATGCGCTTGTACATGTCAAGCTCGGTTTCTTGTCCACTGCCTATAGACTTGGAATCTATAAAGAGCTTGAGAGCGACATGCCGGCTTACACTAGATTGAGTTAGGCGGCTAGTCGCATTACAGAGAAGGGACGACATTACCGGTAGGTACCCGAGATCCCGTGCTAGCCAAACAGTTAATGTGACTCTAAACCCAAGCTTACCCACGACCTAATAGCGACCGCGAAAGACTTCCCCAATTCGGACCGGATAGAATCTGGATGCGACATAGTCCGGGAGGATTTCCTCTTTAACCTTTTGGTCTGCGGAAATAGTTACGAACCCTTCATTAGTGAAGATAAACGGCTTCCGGGTGCGGCCGAGAAGTGGTCTCCATATGCGACTGAACAGCGACATATCCGTAGCAAAATTGCTAAGTGATGGTTGGTTTTCAACCAGCCCTACATCGGCTCGTTGGTCAAATCAACTTGTTGATGTGTCCGTTGTCGTTTAATTAGGGTAGCACAAACAACGCGTAGGTAACGGATAGAGTGATTACACTAGACCTAGATGAGTATGTGCTAGGACAATTAAAAAAAAGCCACGTTGAGATTATTTCTGTTATTCGACTACTAGTATTATGCCTCTCTATACACGCATCTCTCTCCCTTTACTAAGATTAGATGCGTAATGTCTAAGCAGTTTCGACGTAGACACCTGTCGTGTATAAATGCAGCGCGGCGTCTACCTACAAAGGACATTGTGTCCGCGTTGTAAGTCATGGCCATTGCCCGCCGTTGTCAGTTGTTGTTAGTCATGTTTGGTGAAATTAGTTTGCCAACCCCAATCAGGAGGCTACGTGAATCATTGTCAATCTAAAATCAAATCGCCAAGCCTTCAAACCTGCCCTTCACTGACAACGCAGTAAAACACCGCTAACTGTCTTGGGAAACTTTGCTCACGGCGTCATTCCTATTTTGGTACTCTCGTTGGCGGATTAATTGATCGCTTGATCATGTTCTCATTTGACTTGAATACATTAAAATCAGCCCATGCGGCTGTACAGCGGTACCGGTACTTCAACTTCACACGAGACTCGGCTCTTGTGTTCGCGGTACATAGGGCCCGAGTCTCGTACTTGCTCCGGGGCATTGCGCGGCAATATGGGGTAGGTGGTAGCGTGTAGTATACTTTCGGGCCGTTTTGTGCAACTAAAACTACTTTGGTGACAGCTCTATCGTTGGCTTGCTTCAGAGTAAACAAACCAAATTGGCATTTGCCTCGCCGCTTGACCTACTGTGAATCGTTAGCCTGATCTAGATGTGATTACTTACAAATGATGCGGTACTTATTCAGGCACTTGACATGGGAGCATGTATAAAACGAGCTCGTTTGCGCTGATCGTAAGTTTTTGAGATACCTTACCACATCCCTTACCCTTCCCAGCTACCATACTACCTTCAGATACAAAATGCGCTACCTCGTCCTCGCTGTCAGTCTCCCCGTTGCGTACGCTGCCTGGGTCCAAAACCTTTGTTCCGGCGTCGGCGGATGCACGTACATAGGCGGTTCACCAGACTCGGATCCCTATCGCTGTCCCGACGGCAGCGCCATTACTATCCCTAACTTTTTAACCGATTTGGCAAAGACCGGTCAGGATGGAGCGACGCCTGTCAGCAAGGCGGATTTCCCAGCCAAGTGTTCCTCGGGTGCTGTTCCCGGCCCAAATGACAAGCTTGTCGTATGTACATGTTTCAGACTCTGGCCTTTTCTATGTCCTATATCCCCATATCGCATCATACCAGATGCTAGAAGAAGTTCGATAGTCTAACCAGCCATTCAACAGAGTACTCGCAACGGAAACGGTCAAACAATCTTCGCATTCCTGAAAGAGAGTTGCACCGAGACCAAACCAGAAGCGCCAGGAAATTGCTACGCCTACAGAACCAACCCAACTACGTAAGACACACCAGTCCAAAAAATTCTGCGGCATTGTCTTGGCCATGCTAACGAGTGTGGAATAGGTACAATTTCTGTTCGATGGTTGATGCGAGCCGCAAGGAGTGTACTCCGAATCCGCAGGCGGGCAGATGTGAGCGCTGGGGCAACACGGTGGGTCGAATAGAGTGTGAGGGGTGGAAGATTGGGATGAAGGATTACCCCGACACGCAGTAGGAGATGAAGGGGGGATTAAACGATGGTTTGATTCTGGATAGTATTGTACAAGTGGTTCTTGTCAATTCGTAGGTCAATCAGTATCGCCATATGTACCTGTTGGGACTGCGTTTTGATAGTGAATATGAGTGATATTATCCTGGATATGAGTGACTTTATCCTGGATGTGAGTGATTTTATCCAGGCTCCTAGATGTCGTATGACTCTGACCGCTGTGGAGTGAAACAGTGACTCGATCCTATTGAGATGAGAAGTGTGCTGCACATGGCAAACGCTGTACCATGTGCTATAACAATAGCGCAGTGGCCTTCCTACACATAAACGAGTTACACACAGACAAGTTACACCTTTCAGGAGCGTCTCCCACTCAATCAATACCGTCACTCATCCGAAACACCAACCTTGAACAACACGCCCAGCACCTTTCACATCCTCATCCTGCATCCCACACAGCAATTCGAAGCCTCAATCTAGGCCGAGCTCCAACATATTTCGTACGTCTCCTATAGAAACACAGCGATATCATATATATGTCTAACCCATCACACACTCGCCACTTCTAAATCCTCAGTCATATATCCTCCCTTGCGAATTCCTTAATCCTCCCGCGAATAGTATTAGCAGCACCTACCCACAACACCCCCATACATACATCCCAGCAGGATCTAGATCTAATCTCAATCTCACTCAAGCACGGCTAGGTGGATACTAGGTAGATATAGTATACAAACTACCACTAGCGAACAGTCTTCAACAACGTATGCTAAAGAGGACTATTTTTGCTAGGAAGATGTGTGGCTAGATGGTATAACATGGCATAGGTAGTGCTCATTGCCCTAGTATCCTAGATGAATGGTGAGACATGGCCAAGTTTTACAGTGTTTACTGTGTTACTATGTTACTCTCTTACTCTTATACCTAAACATAACCCCCATCATCCCCATCCCCTCCCCTCGCCCTTCCTTAGCCCTACCCAGCCAAGAAGAACCTCCATAGCAATAGCAGAAGATGGCAGGTTTCTCGTTTCTATGTTGGTATTATACACGATATACTATATATACCAGGGGGAGGATTGAGTAGGTAGTGGGTGTTAGAGTGTACTAGTACAACTATATATACATGATGGTTAGTTAGTTATAATGCCTAGGGTGGCGGTATGGTAAATAATCAGCCTTGGAAAATTTGGGTAAGATGTGGGCTGATTGTAGGATACCTTGATGTACGTCATTCTTAACCTTCTTACTCATCTATCGTACTACTTCTCTCTCCTCACTACCCCAAGCATCTAGAATTCAAACAGGCTGGTAAATATTTCATCACTAAGACCAGCTACACTCCCCAACCCTAACCCTAACCCCAACCACCACATCACCACATCACTCGAATACATCCCCAATTTCAATTCGCTTCAAAATTCAACTGCACGCTTATATCATTTCGACGCTTTTCGCGTCATGACTATCGTGAGAGCGCTTTTCCATCTTCCAAAAAAAGTCGCCACTCCAAAAGGCAGTATTGACTCGAAATAGGTGGCCATGACCATGCAATCAACTACATCGGATTCCGTCTGTCCCAGCAGGACTGACTGGCAATGCTAGACGACCCGGAAATGCGACATGAAGCCTACATGGGGCACATGGCAAAAGTACCCATAAACGCCAGGACCAAAATGACTTGTTCAAACGCCGCCATGCACACTTACCTCATCTAATATCCAGTTGAAAGGGCTTGAATTTGCCGCCAATGGCATTGCATCGTGGACATCGCGGCGCTCGACCTCGTGTGTGTTCACTAACCAGAACATCTACACATTCTTGACACAGGCCACATATGCACTCGGAGCAAGCATAGCTGTCTCGCAATATTGACAACTTGCGACAGGCAGCGCAGTATATCTGAACGGGAAATGGAAAGGACGGGGACGAATCCGACAGGCCTTGAGAGGGCATGTGGAAGTTCTGACCCGACACGGCTGACTCAATGGAAGATTCAACCGAAGGAAAAGGCTGCATCTCTGACATATCTGGCGGGGGAGGCGTCAGGGTGTTTTGTAGCGGCGATGCTGTATACGATTGGAGGTGTGAGGCAAAGAAGGGTGGTAGCGACGTCCGGTTGTTCATCATGTGTGGCGAGTATTGTGGTGATTGCGGGACCTGCCAGTATTAGCTAGACGCAGCACGGTAACATTGCCCACCTACCGGTGTGAGGTCTCGACTGTCTTCCTCGGTTGCCGAAGCGGCCGCATCGATCAGGTCCTCCCATCGCTTGCCCATGAGTTGTGCAGCCGTGGATGGCTCGGCGGAGAAGGCTTTCCTGTCGTAGCTCATGCGGCGGCCATGACCTCCAGACCTTTGTCGCTCGTGCTTTCCTCTGCGAGCATTCTGGCCTATGGACGACTTACGCGGTCTGTTCGGCTTGACCAAGCGGGGCGCTGGTGGGAGGGTGGAGGAGCGCTCGGGAGGGGAGCGGGCGAGTGAAGAGGGCAAAAGCTCGCGCTGTATCGAATTGGATGTGTAGTACGGCTCTTCGGCGCCTATGTGTTGTTCCATGGTAGTCGGGGCAAATCGAGCGCGGGGCTTGTAGCCCTTGGCATCTGGCTCAGATGTGGCATCCTATTCACCACGTCTGTGTCAGAGAGAGAGAACGTTCGTACAGAGAAACAGCAGTGCGACAGCCTACCGGATCAGAGTCCCAGTCGTACTCGGCGCGGTGGTTGTGCAACGAGGCAAGCGCAGCTGCCGCGGTAGCCGCGGGTAGGAGAGAGCCTCGGCGCAGCACATCGTTGGACGTACGCGGGTCGTTGGCGAAGTCGGTCTCGAAGAAGGCGTTGTGCTCGTCGCGGCCATAGTCATAGACCTGGGTTTGCGGGGCTGGCGCACTTGGGCCGGGTGCATGGGGTGGTGCTGTGGATGCTGGGGGGTCGGGTCGGGCTTGTGGCGGCGTGGATACCATCAACTGGAAGCTCTCCTGCAGGAACCGTTACTGAGCTGTGACAGCAGCGCATTCGGCAACGAAGCTTACCTCGGTAGCAGGAAGCTTGGAAATGTAGTGCTCTGGGTGTGCTCGGCGTATATGTTCCTGCATAGAGCGGAACCGTTTTTCCTAATCCGCCCGTGTTAGCCATGTCGTGGTTGGGGAGAGCTTCGTGTGATGACGTCGGACAGCGCGCGCTGGGGGGACCGGGGCAGGAAGGGGCGACTTACACCTGTGCAGCGCTTGCGACAGGCCGAGTTGTCATGATTGCGCAGCGGACAGACGACGACATTGCTCTCGTCTGAGACAGAGAAGGACGAAGTCAGGTTCGCCGCGCGGCTCTGGGATGGGGGCATTGCCAGCATCTAGGACCTAGCCAAGCCAAGGGAGCAATGGCAGGAGACGAGCTGCAGGAGGGGGCAGAGAAGCTTTGGCAGAGCTCCAGAAGCTGTACAAGAGAACAATGCACCGGATAGGGAGCTTGCGAAGGCCCTGCCTGATGTGGGTGGGAGCTCCCAGGTTAGAGTATAGAGTACAGCCTGTCCCGTGAGCAGTTGTGGTGGCGGGGTCTATGAGAGAATGCGCGGGTGCGCGGGGCAGAGCCAGGCCAAAGGCGGCTGACTGCACTATCTTTGTTCGGATATTATTTTCTTCTTCTTTCAGTCGAGCAGTTGAAAGGGGAGTTGGGTGTGTGGTGAGTGTGAGAATAGGCTTGGCTAACTAGCAAGGCCGTCTACCATTGAGGATGGTGAAGAGCTTGCTTGAAAGGCTGCGGGAGCTGAGGGTGGACGGACGGGCTCTGCGCGACTGCCCAATGGCAAGCGTGAACATTACTCTGCTCCCGCCCGCCGCAACCACTTTTCAGCCTTTGTGGCCTTCAGGGAGCCTTTTTTGGGGGGCCTTTGGCTGACCGGCTCGTAGCCCACAACTCTCTGGGACTTACCTTGCACGTGTGGGCGAGATTTTCACAGCGCGTGTGTACAACGGCCAGCATGGCTACCAGGACCGAGACGCGCGAGTCGAAGCAGGACGTGATCCGCGATGATTGATCAGAGAGAAGACCTTTGTTTTGCCTGTCACGGTTCGACTCGCGGGGTTCGCAATCGCCGAGCAAGTCGCCGGGTGGGGGACGGAATAGGCTTAGTGGATGGATGGTGAATGTCAGTTGGTCGCGGTCTGGGCCGCAGCGCTAGACGGTACCGTTGACAGCTGGGTAGCAAGTCAAGGTAGAGTCTGTAATGTAAGTAGGTACATGTGCACAATGGGTGACAAGGTCGTCCCGTCAGTGTGTGTGTACACTCGTTACGAGTCAGTTCACTTGGTTGGTGGAGTATGTAGTCAGCCAGTCGAGGCAAGACGAGATGTGGAAGGAAAAGGAGATGATGATTGTGCTGCTGGATGGATAGAATAGCAGTACTGGGAAGAAGAAGAAGGGGAGCAGGAGGAGGAGGAGGAGGAGGAAGAAGAAGAAGACGACGACGAAGAAGAAGACGAAGAAGAAGAAGAAGACGACGACGAAGAAGACGAAGAAGAAGAAGAGGATGATTACTCCAGAAAGATAGTGCCAGTCAGAGAGACTCGAGAGTTTTGCTGTTTGTTGAGAAGCCAAAAGGAAAAGCACAGCCATCGGGAGAGGGTTCCTTCTCCATTGGTCCAAGCTTTCTCGTGTAGACTTACCCTACCCTACCCTCATCTTACCCCTCCCGTCAGCCCTCCCGCAAATGTGGCGTTGTGACAAAGTCCCAGTCCCAGTCTTTTTGAACAACTATCTACCAGGTCCAAGGCTGACGTTGTCACTTGTCTCCCAAGGTGCCCGTCATCTTGTCATCTTCTCCAACCCCAGGTTTCCTTTTTCTTTTCCTTTCCTTCCTTTACCCTCCTTCCTTCCTTCCTTTCTTTCTTCCGTCCTTCCTCCCTTCCTTCCTTCCTTTCTTACTTCCTTCCTTCCTTCCCCCCTTACCCCCTTCCTCCCTTCCTCTTGCTTCATGTCTTCGACCCGTGCAGTGGCGCGATACGCTCTGCGTAGCCTCTGCCATGTCCCTGTCGGTCAAGTCGCTCAACGGTGATAGCTCCTTCCTGCTGGTCTTCAGTCCCCCACTGGCTCCACTTTCCTCGCCTGGACAGTTCCCAGGCTCCTTCACCATCCTCCTCGACCCCTGGCTTGTCGGCCCCTCCATCATCCTCAACTCGCTCTTCTCCATTTCCCAGCAAAAGCACCAGCCATGCATTCCCCACCTGAAAGAGCTCCCGCTCGAGCCGGACCTGGTCTTGGTCTCGCAACACAAGCCAGACCACTGTCATGAAGAAACGCTGCGCCAACTACCAGCAGACTGCGAATCCACCATCCTTGCCATACCGCCGGCTGCCAAGAAGATCCGCTCATGGAAGCATTTTCATCCCGACCGTGTGCACGCCCTGCCCAAATATGTCGACCGAAACAAAGACTCGGTCTACCGCATTCTTCTGCCGCCGCCAACACCCCGAGGAACCTGTGGGGAAGTGACCGTGACGTGGCTGCCGGCCAAGCGAGACGTGTCTGGAGTACACCATGCCATTGGCATCACCTATCGGCCTCCCTGCACCGTTCTCTCGCACTCGAGCCCGAATCACTATCTGGACTTGCCCATGACCCCACCGCCTTCTCCAGACTCACGCATGACCATCACCGCAGCATCACCGCGCACCATTGTGCCTTCGCCAAACCAGGATCGCGAAAAGACAGTTTCGGTCCTCTACTCGCCGCACGGCGTCTCTTATGACATCATCAAGCCCTATGCAACAGGCCATCTGGTCTCGGAATCGGCCCTCCCATTGACAGCCTTGCTACACTCGTTTGACTGCGTGGAGAACCCATGGTGGCTAGGGGGTACCATCTCTGCAGGATCTCCTGGAGGCCTGGAGATGGCGCAAAACTTGTATGCCAAGGCCTGGATTTCAGCGCACGACAGTGACAAGGACAATCGCGGCTGGGCTGTGAAGCGGACCCAGATTGCAAAGTCTGCGGTGGAGGAAATCAGGGCCATGTTGGAGGAGGGGAACAGGGGGAAGGGAGTACAAAGGACCGATGTGGTTAGCCTCGCTCCTGGCGCCGAGCACCGCATTGGGCCTGGATGAAGTACCTGGTGCAGGTTCTGAACAAGACGAAAGTCACAAGTCTACCCTAGTAAAAGTACAGAAGAGACGGACAGGGCTATGGGCCAGCATCTCAAAGATGTTGGATACCGACGCAAAAGGAGAGGCATATCTATGAGGCAGCATGGATGCTACGAGTACTGGGTGGTGGATGAAAGGGCGGCTTCAAGTGCAGTTTAGGACTTGTCGTGATGAGCGATTGAGCCGCATGCTTTTGCTAGTGGGATGCTGAGACCATGGGGCCAATCACAACAAACATGGCATAATTCATAAAATCATAGTTCCTCTGTCACAGACACCAGGTCCACAACCGGCTTCCTCTCCAAGTAGGGCACTCTCCATTGCAAACATGCACCCGATTCCATACTTTCCCTGACCGTGAGCTCCATCTCCCACACCAGGCCCCCTTGGTGCAAATACCAGCGCGCTCCCGCCAGATGCCCCGCTGGGCGCTTTTGTGGAGAATGCCATGCAATGGCCACGATACGATGGCTGCTTTCCCTGCTCTTGTACCTAGTGTGGGTAGCGCCAGGCCATCGCAGAGTCAGGGCTGGCAGGAAACGAACGCCCGTTCCTTGGCTGGAATTCCTTGTTTGCGAGAACTGGAGTGCGCATGAGATCTACTTGTTATTGCATGTTGTACAATACTACGGGTACATTATACAATGGGGTGGAATTCGGATAGAGATGGTGTCGTGGCTGTGTGGAGCAGAGGTACGGGTGCTTTGTGAGAAGAAGATGGGTGAATTGGCGGTCGAGCCACAAGTGACACAGTCCCCATAGGTACTATGCATGTATAGCGTAGGGTGTTGTGTGTGTGTGCGTGTGTGGCTTAGACGCTGTAGGCCGGCCTATTTCAGTCATTCTAATTTCCCTTGCTGTGATGGCGGCGCGCGTTCCCCTGCGCGACGACTGCGTGCTGCTCTGCGCTCCAGGTCCTAGAACCAGTTTACCGTACTCTGGGTACAGGAGAATGGACGTGCGACTGGTAAGACGGAGCAGACTGTGAACGAGTGTTGAGATTTCGCTTTCTCGGTTTTCGGTTTTGTTTTGGGGATGCCATGGCTGGGGAAGACATGTTTGTGTACCGGTATAGAGATGGAGATGGAGTGGACGGATATACATACATATATACATGCATACATACATATATACATACATACATACACATACACGCACTTTCTCTCGCCCTCGTCAGAACCCTAATCAGCAGTCCAAGCCGCTGTTCCGAGACTTGCTTCACTGCCCACCTCCATCATTGTTTTGCACAGACCTTGCGCCAAGCCCCTGTCCACCAGCGCAAAGACGGCATCTCGGATCACGGCGCTGACGAAGTTCAGAAAGGCGCTGGCTGGGCGAGCAACATCCGCGCTCCGACTCTCCTGGGACCAGCAAACTGCCACTTTGAACGCCCCATTCTTGCCCACCACTCGCCTCTATTCCCATCTCGACCCGCCCGCCAGCTAGCAAAAGGCACAGCCAGCAAAAGGAAGAAGGCTGCTAGTACTACTACTACTACCACTACTACTACCACTACCACCACTATTACTGCTACTGCTGCTGCTTCCGCTGCTGCTGCTGCTGCTACTACTACTGCTTGCTGCCCCCTGCCCGCCGCACTGTACTGTATTGCACAGCACGACTGCACCGCTCCGCCTCGCACCGCACCGCTCGACTCTGCTGTGAAGGTTGTCTGCGCCTGTGCCTGCGCCTGCGCTCCGCAACCACCTGGAGTCCCGGACGACGCCCAGCCCAAGCCAGCACCAGCCTGCCCACTCCAGCCACAGGCCACTCGCCCTCCCTAACCTAACCCTGGCTTCCCACGCCTCCCCCTCTCCTCCTCTCCACCGCCCGGGCAAGGCCGCCTCTTTGATGAGCGTGACCGTCCATGAGTCCCGGATGATGCCCGCGTATGCCGATACCAACGACCTGTCCTCGTTCAACTTTTCCCAGCCCCAGCCCTCGACCTCGACCTCGACCACGACCACGACCACGACTACTTCTACGGCCACGACTACGGCCACGACCACGCCTCCCTCGGTGCGCTCCCCCTCGGACAGAGCCCCTGCTGCCCGCGACCACAGAGAGGCTCTCCCCAATGGCAACACTCCCAAGATGAATGGCCATGTCCTCAATGGCAATGGCGCACCCGTCATGCACTCGGTGACGAATGGTCGGCCCGCAAAACCCTCCAGTCTCCACAAACGGCCGTCCCACGAAGACGCCCACTCGCGCCGGAGTAGAGGCGATCGTCTCGAGTCCGAGAGCCTGAACAAGTCGACCGAGAGCCGTGGCAACTCGAGCGAGCTGCTGGACCGGGACGACGGCTACTTTGCTTCTATACACAGCAGCGGCGAGACCAAGGACCGCATGGGCACTACGCAGGTGAAGCTTGGCGGGCTCAATTCCTTGGACGGGACCGAAGCTGCCCATCGAGACTTTGTGCCTCATGTCGACTCGAGAGGCCCGCAGCCCCCACAGTCGCAGTCGCAGTCGCAGTCGCAGTCGCAGTCACAGTCACAGTCACAGTCGCAATCGCAATCACACTCGCAATTGCAGTCGCAGTCGGGGGATGTAGCCGCCAACCTGCAGGTACCAGTACAGCCGCATCGTGTGTCATCCCCACCAGCCTTCAACCACACCGCGCCCAGTCCATCACAACATCCCTACCGTTTGCAACAGCGTCATACGCTCGAAGTCCCGAAACCCTCCACCTCGCGCCCCCGCGATACTCAAAACAACACCGACGACGTCGTCAGCGCCAGTGGCCGATTCTCGCCATCAACGCCCCAGCGTCGTCGAGGCTCAATGAATCTGGTACGACGAGGCACCCGCTCCATCAACTCGGACAATCACCGCGACGAGATTACCCAGGATGAGGACGCCGAACGCTGGGCAGAGCACATCCGGCAGAAGCGAGCAAGTAAGAGGAAGAGGAAAGAGGACGAGGACGAGGACCGTGTCGTCGTGGGAACCAAGGTGGATCAAAATCACGTCAACTGGGTCACGGCCTACAACATGTTGACCGGCATCCGGTTCACGGTATCAAGAACCAATGCCAAGATGGACCGAGAGCTGACGGACGCCGACTTTGACGCCAAGCACAAGTTCTCGTTTGACATGTACGTTCCGGATGGCTTCCCTTTTCTCGTCAAGCACCTTTTGGAATTCAGCTTTGCATCGTCTGGCGAGCCTGTGATCCCCACGTGCCCACCTGATACTGACTCTTGTGTAGAACTGGTAACGAGCTGACGCCTTCGGCCAAGTACGACTTCAAATTCAAAGACTATGCCCCCTGGGTCTTTCGTCATCTCCGTGCCATCTTCAAGCTGGATCCTGCCGACTACCTCGTATCACTGACGAGCAAGTACATCCTTTCCGAACTCGGCTCGCCCGGCAAGAGTGGCAGCTTTTTCTATTTTTCCCGCGACTACAAGTACATAATCAAGACCATCCATCATGCCGAGCATAAATTTCTTCGCAAAATACTCAAGGACTACTACAACCACGTCCAAGAGAACCCAAATACCCTTCTTTCCCAATTTTACGGCCTGCATCGCGTAAAGATACCCTATGGACGCAAGATCCATTTCGTCGTTATGAACAACCTATTTCCACCGCATCGAGATATCCACCGCACCTTTGATCTCAAGGGCTCTACTATCGGACGAGACTTCAAGGAAGACAACTTGGAGGCCAACCCACGCGCGACACTGAAAGATCTCAATTGGCTACGAAGAAACCAGCATCTGGAGTTTGGGCCAACAAAAAAGAAAATGTTCATTGAGCAGATGCAAAAGGATGTCAAGCTCCTCCAGCGCCTGCGCATCATGGACTACTCCCTGCTCGTGGGTATTCACGACCTCGAAAAGGGCAATGAAGAGAATCTACGAGACAAGACACTAAAGGTCTTTTCGCCAGGTGGAGAGGAGGCGCCGGATCCACAGCCGAACCAGCTGATGCGGACGCCTTCAAAACTGGAGAGTGCGCGGAAAGCCAGGGAGCTGAGGCAGATGGTGAAGACGCAAAAGCCAGTTCCCATGGACCAGACGTCGAGCAAGATGCCAGATGAGCTAGAAGATGCTAAGCGGAACTTTTACTTTTATTCTGACGATGGTGGTTTCAGGGCCACCCACGAGGATGATGCTCCAGGAGAGGAGATATACTACCTGGGCATCATCGATTGTCTGACACATGTAAGCCGTGGACTGCCGTTTACCCGAGGCTACCTATTGACACCCTACAGTACTCCTTCATCAAGCGTATGGAGCATTTCTTCAAAGGGCTCGCAAATACCGAGTCTCAAATCTCGGCCATACCCCCAGAACGCTACGGTGACCGCTTCGTCAAGTTCATCAGCGGCGTCACCAAAACGACAGAAGCGGCCGAACGGGAGAAGAGAGAGAAAGCGGCAAGCGCAGAGGACGATCCCCTTATCGATGGCATCAACTCGACAACCGCACAGCGCTCCTCGACCGATCGGGTGCTGGAAAAGGCGGAACAGCAAGCGGACCGGTCGCGACAACGCGGCCGCACAGAAGACAACGTGCCCGCGCGCGAACTCCGCGTCGTCCGTAGTCCCTCGGCCGAACGCGGCGAAATCGGCACCACGCTGCCTGTCGTCGAAGAAGCAGCAGAATCGTCGAGCGTCGGCGGCCGCAGCAACCGTAGCGCCTCGTCTGCCCACGACCACCCAGCCTCGGATTCCCAATCCCCACCTCCTCCTCCACACAAAGACGCCCATCTCGGTCTCCCCCTCTTACAATCTCGCTCCCGCTCCCGCTCCCGCTCCCAAGAAACTTCCCAAGGTCGTCCACCACCCACTCCCCCCAAAGACGCAGTCCCACGTCCCAGCACCGACATCGCCACCTCCACAAACACCACCGCAGACGCAAACGCAGACGTCCGCCCCCCCACACCCCCCAAGGACTCGGCCACAGCTAGCGGCGACGAACGCCCGCCCACTCCACCCAAGGATCCGGCTTTCTCGCCTCATGCTCATTCGGGGCCGCCGACGCCGCCCAAGGAGGGAGGGACGAGGGGTTTGGGGCGCGAGAAGGGGTTGCCGAGGGCGCCGGGGGAGAGGGTGGGGGTTGGGGAGGGGAGGGGGTGGGTTGGTTGATTGGGTTGGGTAGATGGTGGAGGGGAAGGGATGGGGAGGGATGAGTAGGGGGGGTTGTTTGTAGACTTTGGTTTAGTTTGTATGGGTTTTCTTCTTCTTTGTTCGTCTGGTACTCTGATACTATGTTCCCTCTGTTCCCTCTGTTCTCTTTGTCGGGTTTCATTCTTCGCTTTCTCACTTTCGTCTTTTTGGACCTGGACAATTGGAACCTTTGCACGCTTGCACACTTGCACTTTTGGGACCATTTGGATTCCTGGACCTGAACCTCTGGACTTGAGCACGTTTCTTTTGTTTCCTCGGCGTCGGCTTATCTCATCATTGGGACTTTTTTTTTTTTTTTTTTTTTTTTTTTTTTCATTGGCTTTGGAACTGGAAGTTTGGCATTGGGTATGGAAATGGAAGTCTCTCTTTGGCATTGGAAGTCTGTCCTTGGGAAACGCAAGTCTGTCGGGTTTCTTTATCCATCGTTCATCCTTGGTCTGCGGTCTGGTCGGAGGGCCGAGGGCAGAGGGTAGCGGTCTGAGGTCTGGGGTTCGGAAGTTAGTTAGTTAGTACCCGTCCGAGCTTCTTCCTTTCTTATTCCTTGTTGATCGCTGGGAATCAGATGTCGGGTTTCAGGCACGGGGCTATCGGGGTATCCCTTGTGGTTGGTGTAGCATCGTGTGCGTTTTGATTGGGCTTGTGTGGTCTGGTGTGGAACTGGATCATCCTATTCTAGACTGTCCATCTATTTACACAATCTGTTTTTTTATTTCGTCTTGCTCGGTGTCGTTCTTCTTCGTCCCTTTGTTCTTGTTTGGTTTTCCTCTTTGGTTTTCCTCTTCGTTTGATCTGGCGCAGGCTTACTCTTCGTTCTGGCGCTACTACTACGGCTGTTAGTATTAGCATTGTTAGCATTAGCATTAGCATTCGCATTCGCATTACTACCCCCTCAACTACCTTCTCCTCTCCTACCCCCTTCCTTTCTCTCCCCCCGCTATCTCTCACGTCCCCTGTGACTTTCAGTTGCTCAATTCCAAATTAACATTTTTCCGGGGGGAGGGGCGGCGCGGGAGAGGGGGGGGGTTTAGTACTTGGTCTCGGGTGGGGAGAGGTACGGGGATGGGGAGAGACATGGGAAAAGCTATGCGAATAGCAAATGGGACTGAGAATGGGACGGGAGATGTTGATTGGGAAGTGCACGAGAATAGGGGGAGAGGTATAGGGATGAGAAGGCAAGGGAGATGTAGGGCTGCTAGAAAGACAAAGATACAACTTCTCTCCACCTCCCACCCCCAACACTCCTGCCCATCTAGCCCAGTAACCCATCCATAACAACAAGCCAAACCCATAAAACCACCTCCGTATTTCAACAGAGAAAGGCCTAGTAGGTAAAAGGTCTTGCCGAACTGCGAAATAGAGGTTGTGTTGAGATTGTTGGCGTTTATGTGTGTGTTTGTTTATTTATGACATCTATCTGGATACATGTATACATCCACACCACACAACACAAGACAATAGGAATACCCTACAAAACCCCAATCCCCAACTTCCCCAATGCATGCCGATTCAAGAAAAACGTAAACGAACCCACCAGCCATCTTCACAACAATAACAACGACACCACATATCCCAGCACCCCAAAGAACCAAAAGACAAAAGGCAGAATATTCACTCGACTTGAATGATTCATTGATTGCACAACTCAGCTAGCTATGCAGTACTCCTATCCATAGTGTACAATGCCACTTCCCACTCATCTCCCCCACAATACCAATGACCTACTTGTAAAAGTCAAACTTGTCTGCCTCTGCCGCACCCTTGACCTGGCTCGTATACGCCTCCTCGAGATCGCTTTGGATGATGTTGTACCTATTCTTGCGCACGGCCCGCAGGCCCGCCTCCTGCATGATTGCCGCGATAATCGCACCCGAAAGCGGGTCGTTGCGCACAATCAGGCTGTCGAGATCCACCTCGGGCGACAGGCTCATCTTGCCTGCAATCGTCGAGAAGATCAGACGACGCTCGCGGCGGTCCCGGAGCGAGGGAAACTCAATCTTCCGGTCGAGACGGCCCGGTCGGAGCAGCGCCGGGTCCAGCGTGTCGGCACGGTTGGTGGCCATGATGACCTTGACGTTGGACGTCTGGTCGAATCCGTCCATCTGGTTGAGCAGCTCGAGGAGGATACGCTGGACTTCTCGGTCGGCTCCTGTTTGCGCGTCAAAACGCTTCGTGGCAATGGCGTCGATTTCGTCAATGAAGATGATCGAGGGTGAGTTTTCGCGTGCCATCCGGAAAACATCGCGCACCATGCGCGGGCCCTCACCGAGATACTTTTGCACAAACTCGGAGCCTACGACACGAATAAAGGAAGCTGTCGTGCTGTTTGCCACCGCCTTGACCAACATGGTCTTTCCCGTACCAGGAGGACCATACAGCAAGACACCGCGGGGCGGGTCGATGCCAATCTGCTTGTACAGGTCAAAGTGTGTGAGGGGCAGTTCGACGGCCTCGCGAATCTCCTGCTTCTGCATGTCTAGACCACCGACGTCGGCGTACGTCACGTCAGGCTTCTCGTCCTGGCCAAGCATGGCAATGGAGGAATCAGCCTCGGGCGGCAAGATGTCGACGAGGGCATTAGAGTGTCGGTGCAGAGCAACGGACGAGGATGGCTTGAGGAGTTCGCGATCGAGAGTCGAAAGAATACGGACAACGTAGTTTGAGCCAGTGGATGACTGTACGATTCCCGTGCTGTACATGTTAGCGTGGCGGTACACGGACACTGCGAGGCGAGCCTACTTCTGGTCAATGGCCTCCATGAACTGCCCTATCACGAGCGGTACACTCTGAATCCGCTTGATCTCTTCCTGGGCTCTGACCAACTCGCGCTTCAGACTTCGCTGCTCGTCCTTGATGTACTCCTCCTGGAGGTGGATGTACCTGGGGCGAGTTAGCCGCCCGTCGTGGCCACAGACAACGCAGCCGCCACTCACTCTAATTGCCGCTGTAGCTTTTTGAAGGTGGAGTAGTCATCGTTGCCTTCTGTCGAGAAGCCTTCTAGTGTGTCGAAGTTTGGTATCGATGACGGGAGCTGCTTCTTGTGCGGCGGGACAGTGTGGGCTGGGTTCTCGACGGCTGCATCCGCCATGATGGATGGTGTTGAGGTGTTGTTGGGGTGTGTGAGATGGGGGGTGTCGGTTCGTAGCAGCGAGAGACGGCGGCCAAGGGGTGATTGTGGAAAGGCAGTGGAGTGGTGATTGTGGTGCTTGCGTGTGTCTCGCAGTGTTGATGCGGTTCATGAAAGGCAGGGGGGTATCGGCGTTGCGACGCGCTAAGGACCGACTTCTTGTCACGTGCTTCCACTCTCACCTCCCCATACAGGCCACCGGCTTAGTCATTTCAAGACCACACTCGAGTCATAAAATGGCAATGGCAACAGACAGTTTGGCAACTCGCTGAATGCACTGGGGGAACCATGGAATCGGAGCCACTGGAGCATTACCGAGTCACATCCGACCAAGCCAGATCCAAGGCTGTAATCTCTGAAGCCAGATGCAGGATTGATCATTGGGCTCGTCAGCATTCGAGACTACAGGCTGATGGCCCATGGGCGCCTGTTCCCCACTCCACGCTATGTTGCCTACTGTCTACACTTTACATGTGCGTGCTCTGTAGGTACCACATTCACTTCGTCTCTCTCCAGACTTTCTTCGGATGCTGCGGACGACGTGACAGTGCCAAACGGGCCGTCGGGCGATGTTGATCGGGGTGGAGCCTTCAGACTTGTATTGTATATGGATTGGCAAGGGCGGGCCAGCGTTCAAGCGGTCTGGGTCGGTGGCCTGCCACTCCCATCATGCCCAGGCCAGGTCTCGAGAAGACGGGGGCCCAGCGCTGCAGGAACAGAGGTGATGTAATAAGTGGAGAGAGCACATCATGTGTTTCCGTGTCACCTCCAGCGGGCAAATGAGCCGGCAATGGCCAACTGAGTTAGGCTAGGCGTGTGAGGTGCCGGCGATGCAGCCACTCGACTGGTTGCAGCGCGCGGACGCGTCTGTCCATGCCGATTTATGATTTGATTTTCTGTGACAGGCAGGCATTTGGTATTGCTTGTATCGTGTTGTATCCAAGTCCACTGTTGTTGCTGTGAGCCAGAGCCGGCTTCAGTGGACATGGATAGATGGAGGATACCAGACAGGGCGAGATCAAAGACAGGCCGCCAGTCCCGTGACGCTGCCCGTGCGCCGCCATTGAAGTCCCAAGTGACTTAGTCAGCAGCTTCCATCCACGCATTGCCCGCTGCCCGTGCGCCGCCATTGAAGTCCCAAGTGACTTAGTCAGCAGCTTCCATCCACGCATTGCCCGCTGCCCGCAAAGCGCGTCTGCGGTACGTGAACCCATCGACCGCATCGCAAGCCTGCCATTTCCCGCCCTGCCCTTGATGAGGATATAATTTTGGTTGCCATTTCTCGTTTGCCCGCGGTGTGTATTCCCCACCCTGTCCATTCCCCGCTCTGCCTTGCCCTCTTCAGTCTGTCACTGCTGTATTGCTTGTCCTGCTCCATCTACAAGCCTGCCTGTTCTGTGCCCACCACTACCACTACCACCGCTACCACCACCATCACTACCATCACCACCATCACCACCATTGCCACCACCCTCCATCCGCCCCTCGACTCACTGCCGTGCTGGCCATCGCGTAGAGACGCAAACATCAACATGCATACTGACGGCTTGCTGTCTAGCTGGTTCGAATAGCCTCACCTGCGCCCAGTGCCCCTGCCCTCTGCCATCACGCCAACGTTGATCGCGCCTTCCACTCGTTTTCATTTCACGCTCTGCCGCCCGTCCTCGACGCCCGCCCCCGTTCGCGCATCATGGACTTCCAATCGCCGCAGAATGGCATGTACGACCCGTCCAGCTTCATCGACCCCAGCGCCATCGCGACGCCCCAGATGAACGGCACGCGCGCCTATCCCATGTCGTCGATACCGCAGAAGCGGGATTCGACGGGCGCCGCCATGTCTCTGTCGCGCTCGCAGACGCCGTCGCAACAGCCGCAGTTTGGCTTCCCCCAGCAGCAGCCCTTTACCCACACTCCATCGCCCACCATGTCGAATCAGAACTTTGCGCCCGGCCAGCTGGCCGCCCAACACAGAATGCAGACGGCCTCCCCTGCGCAGAATCCCCATGCGCCACAAATGTCCCCCATGGCCTTTCAAGGCTCATCGATGAACCAAGGCTTCAACCCTAGCGCCAACGGCAGCGGCCAGTTCCCCGTCCAGTCCGTTCAACTTTCCCAGAATCTCCAGAGCCGGCAGCAAGAGGCGCAAAGACAGTACGCGATGCGACTACAAGCCCAGGCGGCGCAACAACAGCAACTTGGAAATCTCGCCGCAAGCAATATGGCAGCGCAACGGCAACATCAGTCTGGTCAGATGCCACCTTCGATGCAGCAGCCAGGCATGCAACCGGGCATGCAGCCTGGTATGCAGGGTATGCAGCCAAATATGATGCATGCGCAACAACAGCAGCAACAACAACAACAGCACCAGCACCAGCCGCATCTGCAGCACCAGCAACAACAGCAACAGCAACAGCAAAACCCCCAGGCGCAATTGCAGTACTTCTTAAAGAACGTCGGTTCGCTGTATAGTCAGCACGGTCGTCCATTCAATCATCAACCACAATGCGCCGGACGCCCTATCAATCTCCAACAGCTCTACACTATCGTCATGCGGTTCAAGGGCTCTCGATATGTAACCCAATCGCAAGGTTGGCCACAAGTTGCGCAAATGATGCAGCTGCCACTACACCAATTTCCAAACGCTCCAGAGGAGCTGCGGAAAATCTATGACGACAACCTAGGCCTTTATGAAGCCGCCTTCTTCCAAAAACAGCAACTAAAGGGCATGCCTCCACAGGGACAAATGGGCACAATGGGCCAACACATGTCTCCCGCAAGACCGACCATGCCCGGCCAACAGCCCAACCCGCAACAGACCTACATACAGCAGCTACAAAGGTCGCAAGAGGCGATGAAACAGCAGCAACAGCAGCAACAGCAAAAACAGCAGCAGCAGCAGCAGCAACAACAACAACAGCAGCAGCAGCAACAGCAACAGCAACAGCAACAGCAACAAAGACAGTCGGTGCCGCCGGTGCCACAGCCACAGCCACAGCCACCGTTCGGTGCAGCGACACAACCCCAGCAATCCACGCCTTTACAGAGCAATGCTGTCCTCCCGAACGTAAATGGCACAACGCCGCAACCAGATGGAAATATGCGCAAGAGCATGGGAAGGCAGTTGGAAGCAACACCTACTCAACCAGAACCGAGCCAGGCACAGCCTTTGCAGCTGAAGCAAGAAGAGAACGCGGGTGTGGCGGAGACTGCCCTCGTAGCCATGGATGGACCGGAGAGGCGGAAGCCGGTAATCGAACAGGATGACGGGACCAGGGTCTATCAACCAGCATATCGAACGCAGGACACCTGGGGTGGCTTGGACTTTGACTCGGACAACTTCAAAAACATGATTGACAACATCACAAACTACAAGCCCAACGTGCCTTTGTTACACGAGATGGGCATCATCGATATACGAGCGCTGACTATGAGTCTGCGGTCCGGCCTTCACGCAGAGACGCGGCTGGCTCTGGACACCCTGACGAAGATCACCTACGACAATACTGTACAGTTCAACTTGGCACATTGCGAAGACTTGACGGAAGTCTTGGTTGAATTTGCAGAGGACCAATTGGAAATACTAGGCAACGACAACCCAGAGGTTACCGATATCCTGGATCTCACACCATATGAAGATGTGCTGCATCATTGCCGAGAAGAGGCTGCGACTCTGCAAGAGCTATCAGAAGCTGGTTCAAAGGCTTACATGCTGGATCGAACAGCTGACCGACTCCTTGCCGTCACGACCATCTTCCGAAATCTATCCTTCCTCGAAGTCAACCATGACTCGCTCGTCAGCCCTCCTGTGCTCAAATTCCTCGCCAATTTCATTCGACTCGTCGGCACCCGAGTGCTGTTGTTACGGTCACATATCAACACGTTTGATTTCATGAAAGATGTAATCACCTTCTTCTCAAACGTGAGCGCCAAGGTGGTCCTACCATCCCGCGAAGATGCTTACGCCGTGCTACACTTTCTCTGTGCCTTTGTGCCTGTGCCCCGTCCAGGCGAACCCGTCAAATTCACACCATTCAACCCGCAAATACATCGTTACCTGCCATCTGCCGTGGATAGTCTGGCAAAACTACTTGCACGCGATGATCCCAACCGAACCTACTACAAACAAATCTTCATCAACGAAGCAAGCTCCATACCCGCCTACGACCTATTAACACGATCCTTTGCCCTGGCCATCTCCGTCGTTCCAGATCGCAACTACATTGAGAACAGAATGTTCCAGCTCAAGGAACCGCGCCCCAAGGAAGTACGCATGTTTGAAGCGCGCATCGCCGAGTCACGGAAAGCCTACCTCATGCAGGGCATGCTCGCGGCCGACATCCTCGCCAGCCTGGCCCCTGGACCCGAAAGCGGTATCTGTCGGTCCTGGCTCGAATCCGAAGACGGATGGGCACACAGCCTGCTCAAATTCGCAATGTCACTCTCGGCCACGGACGCCACGCAAATGCCACACCCACCACCCCCACCCAACCACCGCGGCCAAAGACCAATGGACCACGACCGCGAAGGCTTCCAGCTCATTGTGCACCGCGCGCTCTCGACGCTCAAACGGCTGGGCGACAAGTCCAAGGGCGGTGAGCCGCTGGTCAAGGGTGGACATGTAAACGGGCACGCGCACCATGGCTACGACGAGGACGAGGACGAGGACGAGGACGAGGACATGGATATCATAGACGTCAATGGCAGCTCTTGGAAGGTCAAGGCGGATATTTTGCCGCGCAAGGAAACTCTGCTAGGCGCGCTCTTGACCGCCCAGCTGGACGTGAGGAGTTTGAATCAGTTTTGTAAAATCGGATATTTGGATGAGTAGGGGGGAGGGGGTAAAGGGAGGGCATGTTGCTGGCTGGTTGTGGAAATGCGCTGTTTGGACTATACTACTTTTTGCATTTTGGTTCGCTGGGGGGTTTTTTTGGGCTTGGCGATGGGGGATGGGATATGGGGTCTGGGGTCTGGGGTATGGGATATGTGAATTGGGATGATTGAGAGAGGGAGAGAGAGGGAGACAGGCGAGCTAGAAGAGGGATTTGTGTATAGTGGAAGTTATTTTTTTGCAAGTGTGTTGATATGCCAATGGCGATTTCTTTTTTTTTCTGGGTTTCGCTTTTTTCATGATGAGTCTTGTGTATTTTTTTCTTCTTCTTCTTCTTCTTCTTCTTCTTCTTCTTCTTCTTCTTCTTCTTCTTCTTCTTCTGTTTCTAGAGAGGGAGGGAGAGGGTGGTAGGTAGTGGTCTTGTTTGAAGGTTTGGGCTTTGATGTGACTGGTGTGTATTAGGGGGTTTAGGAGAAGAGGATGAGGGGGTTGAAGGGGAGTAGAGTCAACACATGTACTACTCGTATCGAGTCTAGATATGATTCATCATCATCAAAGGGGTAAGTGAGTCTGGAAAGCAGTCCAAGGAATCCTACCATCCCTTCAAGTTTCCCAAATCCCAACTCCAACTCGACCCTCCGACTCGTAAAGTCCGTATCCATCCCCACCCCCCAGAGTCGACCTACGCCTACGCCTTCTTCTTCCCCCCCTTGGCCAAACGCTGCGCCTTGCCCTTTGCCTGCTCCCGCCTCCGATTCTCGCGCTCCATCAACTCGGCCTTTTCCTTCTCCAGCTCGGCCCTCTCCTCCGCCTCGGCCTTCTTCCGCGCAGCCTCTGCCTCCCTGCGCTCGCGCACCAGCGCCAGCCGCTCGAGATCGGCGCGCGCTTGCTCCGTCTTGCCCTCTGCATGCAGCTTCTCGTAGCGCTCCTTGGCTTGCTGTGCCTGTAGGGCTTCACGCTCGCGGCGCGAGAGCTGCGAGACGTCTTGCTTGCCTTTGCCCTTTTGGGGGCCGGGGGCGGGCTGGTCGTCTGCGGTGGGGGCAGAGGGCATGGTGGCGGCTTGGGAGCGGGCTTTGGCGGTGTGGTTTGGGTTTGCGGGCATTTCGTCGTCGTCGTTGGAGGCTTCGTCTTCCGAGGAGGTGGGGAGGTCGCCGGCTTCGGGCGTCTTTTGGTTCTTCTTGGCTATGGCGGCTGCTTTGCGCTTCTTGGCTAGTTCGCGGCGTTGCTCGCGCGTGAGTTCTTCTTGGGCGGGCTTGGAGGTGCCTTCGTCTGAGGATTCTTCTTCAGAGGATTCTTCGGCTGAGGAGGACTCTTCGGCGATCTTGTCGGGTTGTTCCTGGAGGGCGGGGAGGGGGGGTTAGCGGGGGGGTTTCAGAGGGCGAGGCTAGGTATGTGTATGTGTATGTGTGTATGAGATGGACGGGAGTGCTGGGAGAGACGTACACCCCACATGCCTACGACTTCACCATCTGCATTGAGTGGCTGTAGATCGCGAGAGAACTTCTTGCCGCCTCCGCGCTTCACCTTGTTGAACTTGCCGCCGCGGCCACGTCCTCCTGCTGAAGACATGTCGTGGGTTTATGGGTAGTAAGGTAGTGTTGTGGAAGGTAGTGTATGTGTGTGTGTGTGGAAGAGATGTCGTTGGGTTGGACTCGGCGTGCGTAGGTTGTGCTAGTCTCGTAAATCGGGGGGTCAAGGGTTGCCAGTGAAGGTGAAAGCAGTAGCAGTCGTCGTCGTCGTGTGGAATTTGTTCAAGCCTGTGCAGGTTGTGAGTCGCTTGTCGATCAAAGGAGAGGTAGCAACCCAAGTGGTAGAAGTAGCGAACTTTTTTCCACCGTGACTTTGAGCGCATGTACCCCATTAGCTCTGTTTGACCGTACCTACCACAGAAGAATCGGTTTCATACAAGCACAGTGAACGATAAAGACCTACCTTTTTACTCTGGAAGAGAAAACCCCCCCAGAAGATTGTATTCACACACTTGTGATGACTACAAACAGAACAGCCTCTTCTCTCTCTCTCTCTCTCCTCTAGCTCGAACAAAGTGAACCCCACCATACCACGGCGCCATCACACACACACACACACTTCACCCCCCCTGCCCCGCCGTCCCTCGTCACACACACTCACACGTGACACGCCCACACAAACCAACAAATCCCCCCGGCCCAATTCGCCCCAGCCCAACCCTAGCCCGCCCTAGCGCCGCTGACTCACCCCGCACAGACCCCTTTTCCAATCTGGCTTTTCCTCTCCCCCGTCGACGCCCGTCTCCCTTCTTCTTCAACATACAAAACTGAAACATACCCCATTATTCACTGTGCATTCTTCCACTCATTGAGGATGCAGAGGGGAAAATGGATCGGTTAGATTGTTGTTACTAGCCGTCTGCTTACCCCCTTCTCTTCTGTCTTTGTGGAGCGAAGGTAAATCATTTGGACGGTACATGTCTTCTTTGGCGTGGAAGGTGGAGTGCGGTGCGGTGGAGAGCGATGCAGTGCCTCGTAAATGCTGTTCATTGTTGCACGTGATGCATACTGGCGAAGCTGCTGGTATGCAAATGTAGCCTTGAAGCTGCTGGATCATGATTTGATGTGTTTTGGTTTGGCACGTGACATCGGTCGAAAGCATGCACGTGCAAATTGAAGATCAACAGTAATGATTGAATGGCAGGGGAGCTCAAGTTATCCAACCGAACTCAACCCTCTCTCTCCTCTCTCGCCCTCGTATCGAGTCCACAATTGCCATGGTCTCCCATCCTCAAACCTGGTACTCTCCATGTCTCCTCTCGTCAAAAAAAGAAATCCAGAGACCCATACATATACGTATACACAATCCCCAGCAGTCATAATGGCGTATCATCCAGGAATCCTTTCTCATGCTCATCCGCAAACACTGGATATTCCATCACGACGTCCTTGCCCTTCTCCTTGGCATCCTTGCTCCTCCTTCTCTCCAGACTCGCTCGTATATGCTTCAAAAACGCCTCTGTGCTGGGATCGCTCTTTGCCCACTTGAGCGCTCGTACAGATGGCATGGATAGCGTGCTGGCTGTCCGCTCCTGCACCGACATGATTGAGGTAGCGCTGGAGGGAGTAGACTCGGAGGAAGTCTTCCTACTTGCACAATCTCTGCGTTCGAGCGTACACGTTCTCTTGCGTCCAGACGAAGAGGTGGAGGTGGAGGTGGAGGTGCACGACTCTGATGTATCAAATGGATTCGTAGGGGTGTTGAGGGCTGCAAGGCGATCTACTATAGCACCCGCATTGCTGTGCTTACGCTCCGCAGGCAACGAGATACTTGGGAAGGACCGACGGCGTGCTTCAAGGGTCAGACTTGCAGAGCACATGTCTGGACTCATGTACGCCATGTCCTCCTCATCCGATACCGAAGGACTAGAGCCCCAGGAAACAGGCGTACCAGGATGCACATCCATGCTACACCACCTCCCTGGTCGTGAATCCAGCTCCGTGGCCACTCCAATGGAACCTCGTGGCGACATGGCCAGGGAGCCGAGATCACGGCCACGCATGCTCTTCGTTGGCGTCGGCTTGCCAAACGGGAAGCCGAGCGTCGTGTCTGCTGCAATTTTGGAGTCGACGCGCTGGCGCTTCACCGAGCTCGTCGGCGATGTCGGAAAGGACAGTGGTTCGGCATGGGAGATGGAAGTGCGCGGACTGATTTGAGGCGTGCGATCAGCGGGTCCTCGAAGAGATGCGACATCGAAGCCAAAGTTCTTGTTGAAGATGTCACTTGGACGTCGCTTCTTCTGCGTCAGGCCTGTAAGCCACTCGGGTGTCTTGGACGCAGACTTTGTCTTGCTCTTCTTCGGTCGGTGTTCAGTGGCTTCGAGCATGAACACTTCTCTGGGCTCGGTCGCCATCATGGCGCAAGGCAGTTGCAGTTGCAGTTCCTGTTGCCGTTGCTGTTGCTGGGTCATCTTTGGCAGAAAGCTGGCCGCGTACGCTTCGAGAAATGGCGAGACGCTGTAGGCAATAGGATGCAGGGCCTTGAAGTGGGCGTCTCGCGCTTTGTTGTAGTCCAATGCACTGCGTGGCCCATGGCCACGCGGCACCGTATGCTCTTTATGGGAGCCATGTTGCCAGACAGCAGCTGCTTCAGGAGAGCGCGTGTAGCCCAGTGTTTGCGCACAGTAGGCTGATTGTGGGGTTGTTCCAGCGTAGAGTCTGGGGGTCGTTGGGGGCGTGGTGTGGTCATATGGCGAGTACGGTGGTGACATGGTGCTCGTGATTCGTTGGTCTCGTGCCGACTGCGGACACTCACCACCAGCCGAATGAGTTGGACAAACCAAAGAGTCGATTTTGCACAAGTCAACCGCAGTGCTGGAATACATCTTCTGGCGATCATCGGCCCGGTCTGGCAATGACATGTGAACTGAAATGTCACCCCGTGAAGAATGACTTTGCTTGCAAGTGAGTCTGCTACTAGTGCGTAGGCAGCAGGATGCACCCCTCGAAACCGAACGAGCTTTCGAAAGAAAAACTTGCTCGACGACTGATTCACACCTCTTTGACCCTTCCACTTCGCTTTCCACACTTATATACCGCTCTCCCAGCAGCCCTAGAACCCACGGAACCTCTCCGTCCGACATCAAGACACCCCCCATGGCCCACTTGCATCATACCCAACCAACTCCCCCCCTATTCCAGACACCAACACTGACGTACCCTCCCACAACCTAGCCCTCATACTGCCCAAGTCGCCGAACCCTCCTCACCGTAACCCAGCACCGCTTCCACACTTCAAAACGGTCCAGACAAATCATCCGGGCATGGAACCACTGCGATCCAGCCAACAGCGACGTTGCGCCATGTCTAGCGGGAGCCAAACTCCCCACTCGCACCGGGACCAGCGCAACGATGCCGCAATGCCCCAACTGCTTCCTCTGGGGCTGGATTTGTGATGCGGAGGCGCCGCTGTGGGTGTTTGCGTTTGCGTGGATCGTTGGATTGGGTTTGTGCTGGGTTTTTTTTGGATGGAGCGGCCGAGACTGGGGGACTTGCTTCAGTGCGCGGTTGTTTGCATGTGTGGGCGGGATGGGCATGATAGGATGCAGAGGTGGTTGTCAGAGTTGGGGTCATGTGAGGGCGTAGATCTGTCTGATTGAATCATGGTGGGTTCGTTAGGAAGGAGGGGTTAGACATGTCTGGCCTGTTGTGGCGCTGTGAAAGCGAAAGGAGTCGTGTACTTTGTGGTTTGGGGCCCTAATGCCGCCAACATGGTGTTTGGGGCGCATGCTGTTCATCAGATGTTGCATCGAAAGTTTACTTCAGACTTGATGCGGCGCAGGGTCTCTTGACAGGGAATTCGCATAGCTTGGGGATGGGGATGAAGAGTGATCGACGACTGTACCACTAATCTTAAAATTGCAATCAAGATATGCCAGGAAGATATCAGGCTTTTGTTCGTACAACTGGTGATTGTACATGTGTTCTATGACCAAGCGTCCCTGACCGCGCTCTCCCATAGCCCTTGCCAATCAGGTTCACCGCCCTTGTACCTGGCTTCAAAAGAGTTTATTGCCAGATTACCCAGAAAAGGCCGGACAAGTCGATTGATCAATTCACTTCTCGTCATCTCCAGAACTGCTGCTCCTTCTTCTGCCTCCAGAGCCTCAATCAGAGGATCAAGGAATAGTCGCCTCTTAGGCTCTTCGACGTCGTTTTCGTTATGTGCACCTAGTGGGGCTGGTAGGGTGCTGGACGAAAGCGAGAGCACCTCGTTGATTTCGTCGGTAAGAGACCAAATCGATGGAGACGTAGTGGGCTTATATACCGCATCAATTGTGTCGGTAATGAACAGCCATTCCATGAGTTGAAAGTCATCTGGATCGAGTATTACAAGCTCATCTAGGAGCTTGCAAGTCTGAATAATCCCAGCATTATTGTAATGCTCCTTGTTGGCAGCATCGGGGAGAAGAGACGACAATGCGGCTGTCAGCTCTCCGTTCACAACTGGCCACAGTGCCGCTAGGTGCACTGGGGAGGTTTTGAGAATAACGGCCCGCAGCAACACAAGAACATCTGCACGCGTAACCGAAGAAGGAGACGACGCAGGCGTTGCAGACATAAGCTCAACGACCTTCTCCAAGATCTGAGATATGTTGACCGTGAATGCATCCTCAGGACTGGCGAGAACTAGCAAAGCAATGCGCTTGAGAGTGAGTTGTGTCTTCCGATCCGCCTCTTGCCGAGCCGACGTGGCACCAACACCAAACATGATTCCTGCTGTAGTCGGCGGAGTAAGTCTTGCCAATAACTCTGGGATACGTTCCTTGTCCGACTGCGTCCATTGCGCTAGAATGGATAGCCATGTTCCCATCAGAAGGGGAAGCGACGTATGGAAGAACCTGGCGTCGTTGAATGCGTCGTATATGTCTTTCTTGAGAAGCTTGTTGCCTTGAGATACCTTCGTCAACTCACGGAGAAGATCCAGTGTTCCTTGTGATACGTTTTCGGGAAAAGACTTTGCCCTAAAGATGGGACCTATGACCGATGTTGAGACATCAGAAACGACTTTGGCGACGCGATCATTATCTACGAGTATTGCGGGAAGCTTGGGCACAATGACAGACAAAATCGTGACAACATTATTTGCTCGTTTCTGCGCTCGCATGCTGTTGGTTGTGCTTGGGGTTTTCTCATCTGCAACTTGACTCGGGTCCTGGAGGTAGCCCATCGAGCGAGTGGTGAATATTGCCGTCAGAATCCTTGCAAAGATGTCCTGGGCATAATGTCAGTCAAGCCCCAAATTTGCAACTAGATCAACATACTGCAAGCTCTCGTCGCATTCTTCGCTGTTCTCCAAAGTTAGTATTGTCGACCTTCTGGCCTATAATTGCCGTGAATTCTAGCAGAGTAGGAAGAATTTGTCGATGGGGAAGAGGGTTTGTAAGAACATCACGCAGGAACAATGTACAGTCCTGCCATATCTCATCCATGGCGTCATCCTCCAACGATCTTGTATAGTCAACAAGAAAAGTAACAAGCTCAACGTCATCGAGATCGGAGGTCAGGGTAGACAGGCGGTCGGTATCCAAGGCGCCTGGATCAGTCCGGCTATACACAGCGTTGAATATGGCTGGAATAGTGTGCCGTGGTTTTGATCCATTGAGTACATTGAGCAAACCAAGAATGGCTGATGTTTCGGGGCTGGAGTCAGGGGCCCGCTTCCACTCTACTATCAGCGTTTCCAGACATTCCAAAGCTTCCACTTCGAAGAGATGCTCCAGGGTGCGGCGAGCTCGATTGCGCATGCGCAGAGCTGTATAGCCAAAGGATGCAGCTGATGAAGGGTCCTGGATTCCCTCTGTCAATCCATAACTTCCCCATGACCATATAGCGAAGCAGATACGGACTGTGTCTTGGAAGCACAGAAGTACAGTCAACCGGCTGTTTGCTGTCGGTGTACGCGTCTGGTTCATCTCAGAAGCGAAGACGCCGGATACTACATTGCTGAAGAAGCTCTGAGGCTGTTCAGGCAACTTGGCCACAGAGACTCTTGTCTCCTGTGTCATTAATCGCTCGTGTGCTTTGGCCAGTATCTGTTCCAGTCCGTTAATCAGTGAGATGAGAGTAGTCTCAGGTGACACGGGAGAAGTATCGTCTTTCTTTTTGAAGATCAGCTTCAAGTGCTCAAAGGTGATTTTGATTTGCTCGCAGAGACACTCTGCCAGTGGCAATAGGTTTTGGAAAATAGTGTCAGCAAACATGGGCAAAACGTCGACTAGGAATTGAATCCAATCGTCCAACACTGGACGACTAGTCGGCGAAGAAAAGCCATATTTGAGGCAGTCGATCAGCTGCGGAGGTGGATGAATCGGCGCTGGCTCTTTGTCATCAGACTCCCGAGTCAAAGCGATAGATAACCGTCCTCGATGAGAAGGGTGGTTAGACTGCTTCGATTCTATTGAAGGTTCCTGCGCTGATCGGGTGAGGCGAAGCTTAAGTGCAGACCATACTGCGTGGAGTAGAGGAGTCTGCAGATATGGGCCAGCCGTTTGCAACCGCGCAAGCAATGGTACCTCCAGCTCCAACTCTCTAAGTGGGATGGCGCGAGGACTCTGAAGTATCTGTGTAATGATTTTTGTAGAAGTCCGATATAGTTCATCTATAAAGGTATCACATTTCGCATCCGAGGGATTGCATTCAAGACAGAGAGTGCGCAGGCAGACACGCAGTAACCACTCTTGGATGACCACCTGGGACGACTGAGCTACTGATGGGATATACGCCTCAGCGATCGCAGCCCAGATGGTCGACGAAGGTCGTTGCAAGATGTTAGCAATATGATTGAGGTAGTATAAACACTCCTTTGTGTCCGCTCGATTTAAACGCTGCTCTCGAGAGGTTTCCGTCAAGTCTGGCGTCGAGGACACTACTACCACAAGACAGCTTAAAGACTGCATCTGTGCTACAATGATATCGAAGACCTTGTTGATACTCTGCAAATCTTGTAGCCAGGTTCGTATGAAGGCAGCCGTATCAGAGGCATCTTCAACGAGAGTGTCCAGAAGAAGTAGTAGTGGCCGCCTCAACAATGCGTAAAACTCGTCTCGTGATAAAGCTGGAGTTGGCACACTATGACCACTTGTTCGGCGGACTATAGTAGCCCGTTTCTCGGTTTGCTGACTTGTCTCGTGTATGATATGAGTCCACAATATTGCAAAGTGCCAGCCGCACGTAGCCGTGCTGTTCTGTGCACCTGTTGTCTCTTCCACAATGATAGATGAGATGGCAGCCTCAACCAGATGACTTGTGGGAGAAATTGAATGCAAGTACAGTAGGCACCGAGTGGCCTCGACGTGAAATTTGGGCTTTAATGGCGAAAGATATTCCCATATTTTGCAGACCAGAGGCCGCACAAGTTCGGAGAATCGTGGTGCTGGAATATACGGGTCTGAAGGACGTGCTGTTTGCAGCGCTGCTAGTATCGCCGTCATGGCGCTGAGGTGCGGAAACGTGGTCAGTCTGCCTTTTGAAGTAATGACTTCATCGAAAACTTCCACAAGATCAATCTCATCAAGAGCATCCAATTGTTGCGTTTTGAATATCACGCTGCCCAAGATATTCGAGGTTGTCTCAGTGGAGAGAGTCGGATCGCCAGTTTGAATAGAAGTAACAAAAACTTGTGTAGCCTCGCGAAGAATCAAGTGACCAAGCTCCATTGTTTCAAAAGGGGGATCTGTCATATCGAGACTTCCCTGAGAATCTTCGTAGAACGTCTCGATACGTTTAAGAGTTTGGCTCCTGGTTACCGTGCCGTGTTGTTCTGCGATCCCGTCGCCCCTCAAGGCTTTGTCTGGGAGTATCTGTATGAGGGAATCCGCAATTTCCAGGGCCAGTGCCACAGCTTCAAAGTCTTGTGTTCGAATCCGCCCATCATCAAACCGCTCGTTTAAAGAAGTTAATGTCGACAGTACCATTAGAGGCATATGATGCTGGACCATATCCTCGTCTTTGAGGTTGAACTTGGCCAGAACGAATCTCGCCAACTTGATGTCCCGGAAAGCTTCATCATGAGATTTTGCATCCAATTGAAGGGATGATGTTACAAGATGGACTAGTTTACCCCAGATCAAGCCGCTGTCAACGCCATCGAAAAATGTACTGGCGCTTCGCATAACCTCGTCGAAGTTATCTTTGGAGCTGACTTCGCTGTATGTTTGAACAGCCCGTAATGCCGGAAGAAACACTTCTGGTACAATGAGGCCGCCCACTTCCCAGCGATCCATCAATGAAAGACAAACTCGGAAAGGTCGCGCCCGTTCAGATGGTATTGTGCTGCGGCGGTTGATCATCTTCAAGACACTACTGGTTAAAGCCTCGAGACCGTAACGTGAGAAGAAGGCAGCTTGTTGTGCAGAGTCACCTGACGATCCATGCTTCTCTGAGACAGGAGACACGACATCGTCGCCGCCCTCAGGACCTGTAGGCTCTGGACCCAGGAACCATGCCCATAATCTTCTGTTCAGACTCATGTCTCTTCGCGAGACGACACCAGCGGCGGACGCTACGAGTCGTTCTAGGTCACCTTTCCCAACTCGCTGTTGTAGAACCGGTGAATCAAGTGGCAAGTGAGTAACGAGTAGGTCGAGAAACCCTCTCTGAATAAGTAATTGTGGATCTGCTAGACCAGATTCAAAACAACGAATAAGCAGACCTGGTTCCGGGTATATAGCAGCCTCTGCTTCCCCTGACAAGTCTCCAGATAGTTTTGGCAAGGAGCTACGACGGTTTGGCGGCCCAAATTTTGGCAAATGTCGCACTAGAAAAGAAAGTGCACCTTGCCTTCGTGATGCGTTTGTAATGGTTGCTAGGAACAGGCATTGCCAGAAGTGGGAGGAGCCACTATTGCCTTTTGCATTAACAGCATCATCAGAGTGTTCTTGCACGGCATTCCGCAGACTCTTTAGAGCTGCGACCATGCGCTCAAAATCTTCACTTGTTTCATCTTCCAGGCCAGGTAGTAGGGACAATATGATTGCTTTCAGCGCAGGACGCAGTGCGGCTCTATCGAGCTTCAAGATGTGACTTTCAAACACGGAAAGGAACAATGGGCGGACCGAGAGAGATGCAAAGGAGAGTACGGGAGCAAGTCCTGGGAAGTAGAGGTGGAGGTCACGGGCGAGGGTCTCTTTCTGGCCCTTGTCAGCGTTCAGGCAGCCAGGTACGTGTACGCAGACATACTCCAATAGTGGCGAAGATGTAGCCATACACTTCGAGGGCTTTCTGATGGACGCCCGAGGGCAATGCTGGATTCAAGCACTGCGCTAATCGCAGTGCGACTGTGGTGCTATGTGCAACAACTGGTATCTCGGGTGGGTGAGATTGCAGGGCCTGGCAGGAACATGGTATAAGCACGGATATATCAATTGCAGTACAGTGGAGGGATTGACCTTCAGCAGCCTCCCCAAGAACGATATATAATCAGCCCATTCCTGTTGAGCCGTGTCCCAGAGGGCAAGCGCGCGTTCCACTCCAGCTGCATAGCGTCGGAAGCCTTTATCCTTTTTATACAAAGCTGCAGAATCATGATATCAGCCTGTATCTACTGTTCTGTGTGAAGGGGAAGGACTCCGTACGTTCTTCCGCAGCCTGACGCGTCGATCGGGGTGCAGGACTAGAGCGGCCAGACCCTGGCGGTGAGAATACCTGCAGATTAGCAGTGGGATCAGCGGACATGCTGTATCTCGCGGGTAGTAACGTGTCCGTGAAAATGTGACGGGCTGTTGTACATGCTGCGCGAGGTTGTTTTGTGCGCTTCAATGGCCAGCGGCGCGTCGTCGCGTCTCACTGATCCCTAGACATGTTGCAAGTCGACACGAAGGCCCTTCGGCCAAATGAAGTTCCGTCTCCGTGCCGGCTCCGACTCTGTGACACGACAGACACGTGAGTCAGCGATGACGAGGACGTTATATAGCATCTTCGTAGATAGTCTTCAGCAGATGACGAACAGCTAGAATCATTCATGAATCATGATGCATCATGTCCCAGCTGTGATTACCCACCTTTCTTTCAGAGACTACTTCCAAAGTATCTGACCCATTCTAGGCTGAGTATGATACACCACCAGCAAGCAGAGAGGAGCACTATGATGTCCCTCTCCCTCTTCAACATCGTCTTGACACGGATGAGCCACCAAGCGAACCACCACCATCATACCAAGAGGCCATGGGAGCTACAACATTGTTACTAGCTAGTCGGCCCCCAGCCTATGGTGCTCTCTCAGACACTTCTTCCGCAATGAGCATTGAGACAGATGTCAATCCAACATCTGAAGGAATTGCTATAATATTGTTGCGCATCATGATTGCAATAGCCGTGTGCTACTGTTTTTGGAGGGTCAGTACTGCTACCGACACTGAGATGCGCTTTCCGGACGACCCAAGCAATATTTCCGTTTGAACTTCGCGGATGCTGCAGAGTTGCCTTATGAAAGATTGTGACATACAGGTTCATGCCTGAATATGTGATAACGGCGATCAAACTTCTGCACTGCATAGGCAAAGGACTTATCGCGATCACTCGTCTGATACGATAACCGAAGCAAGGAGGTTTATGTCCGCTGCGAAGACCACAAGAGCCATTAAACATCATAAAGCCCAATCTCTATGAGGAACCCAGCAACGCAGGCAATTTATAATCCACCTCCTATGGAGACACAGCACGCATAAGCGCAAGCGAAAGCCTAGCCGGTGCTGGCGGGCAGTCCGCCCTTGCTTTTGCTTTTCCTGGGATTCCTGTAGAGTTGGTCACATCGCCAAGCAAAACAGAGCAGACGCAAACTGCTTTTGTACTGGGAGCTTATTAACTTATAGCCGTACATGTGGACTTCCAAAGACACCTGTGCCCCATAGCCCTATGCCTGCGGCCTCTAAACGCTACGATAAATACCCACCGAAACCAGGCATTGAATTCATGCGTGGCGCTACCGCAACTATCAAAGAGAGCTCAAATACCTCCCGTCAATAGACTACCTGTTGACAACGTATCGAGCAATCACGGGGCATAGGCGACATGCGAATGCCACTATTGCGGAAGCCATTATGCTTGCTACGGGGCCGGCACATAAATTTGGACGCATTGCAGGATGGAAAGCATATTAGGGCGCCAGTTGCGAGGAGTATAAAGCCCAGGAATATCTTAGCAGGTTAAAAGTCCAGAAAGAGAGACTGTCTTGAGTCATCGAAGTGTTTGAGGACTGCAGGTAGTGAGGAGGATATTCCTAGAGTTGTCATTGCCCGTAAACCAAAGAAAAGGGTGTCTCATAATTTACACCGCGGTACGGAATCCCGTCGTACCATGTATATTCATGCCGCAAATATCCTCGACGTCACGATAATTTCAGGTAAGTCCCCGAAGACTGCACACGGCTACAAGGAGCCAGCAAAATATAACCATATATTAGGCTCACCATACTCATTTATCCTCGACCTAAGTTGTATGCAGAAACTTCAACCATGTCCACTTTGGAGTTGCTCTTTACTCGGGTTTCTCTCGAAAATCTCATGTAATTGTTCGGATATGACATGCTGCATTTACTATAGCAGATTGTCGCCAGATAATCAGCTACATTAGTCACAATTCCGTGTGCTCCCAAAGCTTCCAACCACGAGTTGAGCACGAGCATGGCCCTATCAGTCATCAACTCAGTTCTCATGAAAATATGAGAGCTGATGGCATTTACTTGCTTATTTAGAGGGTCTGTCATCACTTTCCATGATCGTCTAACCAGGGTTTCGGATGAGATGATGGGAGGCAATCTCATCTCCGCTCATGGTTGGAAGCCTTGGTAGTGGGAGACAACAAGAACTACCCTTTTTCTGTCTTCTCGGCCAAGTGCTGCAATATTTACCCCAACATAGACCCGTGTTCGGGGTACAGCGACAGGCTACAGCAATCAGACTATGCTTGATGGCCGCCACTCACACACTGCTGATCGACAACAAGTATTTGCATTTGCTAGATTCATTGTCTAAACCCATGAGATATTTTTTTTGGCTTCCTACCAGGTCCAAGATTTGAACACGGGCACCAAAAGTGCTGAGCAGACACGCCTTCAAAATCCCGGGCGACAAAACCAGCCTGAATATAGGGCCAGAGGTCATGGGAACAAAGCAGCGAATTATATCTGCACAAGCCTCTCTTTGTATTCGGAAGATTTGTGGTTGAAGAGAATAAAAAAGGAGATAACGACGCTTTGAAGCACAATGATGAGAATCGGTATAACCGCATGTTTCAGACGGCAGGGGCGCATAGTGCGGAGAACCGATATATTCCATCAAAATGGCGCGAGAGCCCATACAGATAATTTTAAAAGAAAACCATGGGTTAGTATTCTATCAAGACTAAAACAAACGCAAATCGGCTGCGTGACTTCCTTTCAACAAGCAGCACAAGTCTCCGGGATTGCAGGTATAGTGGGACATGAACACTTTGCACTGACTAAACGGCACTGTAACACTGTTCCAGAATACTTTTCTCAATGAGAATATTGGGCCACGCGAGCTAGATCAAGTGGCCAGATATGGTAAGATGTTTTGAAAGATCCAAAGTGAGTGCAGTTGATGGAACAGAATGATGAAACACGCTATATACAGTGGAAGATGTTAACATCAAGGTCTTTTTATGCATATTACCCGATGTGTTTTCAAATTCCTTGGTGTACATTAGTTAAATTACTCAAAGACTATTATACTGCAAAATTGCAAGCCCAAATCACAACAAGTCCAATCCCATTTTACAAATTCCAAATTGATAAACACATCTGCATCACATCTGCATCACATCTGCATCAAATATTAACCCCAAACGAAACCCCAAACCCACATCCTCACCACGAACTCCCCCAAAAAAATCTTTCCCAACCCAAAACCCCACGCCCTACCAACCCATCTCTCCCCAACTCCCTTTACCCACAACCCACATGCCCCAACACCCTCACCAAACCCACACCCCATATCCAACCACCCATTCCTCACCCTCTAAACCGCAATCCTCCATTATCCACTCCCACACCCACATTCACATCCCCATCCTCCCATCCCACCACCAACCTCGACAGAGATTACCCCACCCCACATCTCTTCAGGCCACCACATCGATTAGATAGGTCTAAACGCCACGACAATGCGTACCTGCATGCGCGGGCCGTTGTTGTGGGCCTGATGCATATACGGGTGAGGCGGCGGAAAGCCCCCCTTTTTTTTGCGTTGCTTTGCGACTACGCATGTGGTTTGGTTTGGAGATGGATTTGTTGGGTTGGGATGAGAGGTGTGGTTCTGGGGATGGCGGGTTAGTTGGTGGATGGGACAGGTGTGCGTGTGTGGATAGGGTGAGGGGGTGAGGGAATAGTGTTTGGAAGGGGGATGATGTTGTTGTGGAAATTTCTAGGTGGGAGGGTTGTGGGGCTTTGGTGGTGCGTTTGGGTTGGGGAGCGGTGGGTTGGTGGTTTGTTTTTAAGGATTGATGGTTGTGGGATACTATGGTTTGGATTGAATCAACTTTGGGAAGTGCAAGGCGTGTGAGCAGGACGGGAAGTTGTCTTGTATTCATGTTTGGATGGTGCGAGCAGCGGTCTGAAAGGAGTGAATGTCATATTTGATGCGAAGGAGCAACAAAGAGGCACTGATTGCTATTTAGCCATTCTTCCAAGTTATCTGAATTCTGGTACTTGCATTACTTGCATCTGACTGTATTTACCAGATTCCAAGTTATGGTACTAATATGAGTTGATTGAGGAAATTTCGAAAGGGCCAACGGTTGCGGAGACAACATCAAAGAATACACATATCAACTGCACTTCTACTCGGACTTCAATCACACAATCACCTCTCAAGCACACAATCCACCATGCACACCCAGAAACAAGCTCGCGTCTAGAACCTCTCCTCGCGCTCTACAACAAGTTTCTGCCTCGAGCTGTAGCACCAAGCAAGCATCCACAACTCCCAATCTGCCGAAGGCAAAACTCTCACCCGCCCCAACAAACCCAGCCCTCATCCCCTCCATTTCCAACCCCTCTCACCCACCACTCCCATCCATCTCACCACCCACCTCGAACAAACCGGGCCTTCTCCCTCATCAACACAACAGCACACTGCACACCAACGGCACAGCCGCGACAAAATTCTCCCCAACCGCTCTAGCTGCATACCACAGCCGCGCGCTGAAAGTTTCCTTGCTGCGGCGCGGGTGCCTAAGGCGGAATCCGTCAAAGTAAACGAAGAATCAGTAGGTAGGTACCATATGTAGGACAGTATTATCCCCGTTGCTGGGTCTATCCCAGTACAGGGTCGAGGGCGGGGGGTTTCGGTGTTATTGCGGTGCTAAATGACTACGGTTTGTTCCCACGTACCGTAGTTTGCTGCTGCGTTTTGCAAGCGTGGGGAGGGCGTGGTTCAGGTACCGGTGCAGGTACGCATACAAGTATGGTAGGCATGTATATGATGCTTTTTTTTTTGGTTTAGGGGCCTCTTTCTCTGTGAGCTCTGTGGTTTTTATTAGTATATAGCAATTGCGTTTTCCTGAACATTTTTTTTGGTTTTTTTTTCGCCATGTAGGATGCGGTACACGGCGCGTGACTTGACGGAATCTAATCCTCGCAGCCCCCTGACGTTTCGTTCTGTCGCAGACCAGATGCCGCACCCAGAAACTTCGCTTACCCTGCACGTGGGTGACAAAGCTCGTAATACTATAATATTCGACTCGTTAACGTGGCCAGTGTTCACAAGTACTCTAGAGGAGATGGGATACGGTGCCATCTTGCCCTGGATCTCTCTCTCCTGTGGGGCCCCCGTCTCCAAGAGCACCGAGAGAAAGCGAGAGCGACGACGGTCTCCACCTCTACCGGTGACCAGACCGGCCGCCGCGCATGCCGACAAAACAAACATCAACATGTGCCGATGACCTCGTAATTTACTGGATGCGGTAACCCATCGTTTCCCTTGCCTTGATCCAGTCACCAGGGCGATCCTGTGCGTGCGCGAGCCAAAGGCGGGTCCACTCAGCCTCGGATATCGGCTGCGTCGCCTCAAAGTCTAAAAGCGCGACAATGCGCATCTGCGTTAGCGGTCCCGGGTAGCTACTTTTACTCTATTGTATCATGTACCCAGAGATTTGCATGCTGGCTATGACGGCGTATTGGGGAGCGCTGCCGATCACGGTTCGGACAAGGCGAGATCGACTTTGATGGATTGTGCATGTGGCAATTGATTGCATGGCTGTTGTATACTACCGAGGAGTGCGCGCAGTTTGGTGTCATCAGTGACTACTTTACCAGCCTGGGGTGAGAATATTTGGTGCAAGTTACAAACATGGGGCTTGTTGCTCCCTGCACCGGCGAGAGCGAGATTATCAAATGCCAGTTATATGGACGATGCTTGGTGTGCTTGATCGGTAAGGGTTGCTACTGTTTCATATGGTGCTCGCCTATTTTTACTGAAGATGGAGTCGCTTGGGACGATCGCATACGGTAGCGCATCCGTTCAGTGTGGCTGGTTTCAATGTCCAGAATGTGCAAAGTGCCCTGTTGAATACTGCAATGCAGGTGGAAGTTGTGGTGATTACAGCAGGCTACAGCCGCCTGACATTGCTTTCCTGTGATTTTCTTCGCACGCAGGTCTTGTTACGAGGTCTGGAAGTTTACGTAAAGAGCGTGGTTGTGACTTTTCGTGTTATCATCATCACATCCACAGTACTAGGGGAGGGTATCATTGGTTTTGGCTCAAGCAGACATCTCATGCGTTGGACTACAAAGGCACGAGTCCATGGGAAGCCATGAGAGCGTGTTTGGGATCGAATGCAAATCAATCATACATCGTACTCCGCGTAAACTTATCCCTCTTCAGATAACCGACTTCGAAATTCCCCATCTCTATGCAGAACTCACACAGGCTGTTCACCCACATCCGCGTATAGATTCCTAACATTGAAGTCTTCCCCTGATTCAGGTGCCGGCGGCCTTCAAAGCTTTGCGAGTGGCAGCAAACAAGGTGACGGACGAGCGTATCGAAGTCTGTAGACTTCAACGCTTGCACAAGGAATATCGATGAACTGGAAAAATTGGCCTTGCCAATAGTAGATAAAGACAGTCGTAATCGGTATAATTCAGTCGCTCTGAGTCTCAATTCCATACCACTGAGATTTTCCAACTCACACTCATCTCGTTATACAGCAAAGACGAGGGTAATTTGGTCTGTCTGTGCCACCAGGAGCATTCGCACTGTACGCGTTCAATTCCCAGACAGAGGGAAAGGCAAAGGAAAAGCATTGTAAGAGACCAAAGAAAATTAGTTCAACAGATGCAAAGCATGTTAAAGAGTGTAGACGGTATGAAAAAGACCCTCCGATGAGCCGCGCCAGTGGAGAGAGGGGACAACAATCAAACTGAAGTTTGATAGGATGATTGCATGTCCGCGGTGCTTGGATATGGCATTCGTGTGGTATAGCCACGTGCTTGGTATCTCCGCGATAGCTTCTCTATGCGCAGGTGACACGGCTTTGTCAATTCGTTGTCGCATTCTCTATTCACCACAGTATATGACCTGCAGATTGCTTAAGCGCCACTGTGCGACCAACATGGCTGGCAAGACTGTGGCTACTGAAAGCGCCATACCGTCTGAATTCCACCCAGTCACACCAGAGTACAGCAACTCCGTTGGATCTTGGATGAAACCCTGGACATGTAACAGGATAACTATCCAAGGGTAGCCTCAGCATCCAACTTACTTATTGTCTTCAACGTGTGAACAGAATCAAGACAGGGACCAGCGTCTAAGCTGGCAACAATCGGCCCGATAACCACACAAACCAAATGCCCAGTCGCGTGCGTTTTCCCACAGAGGCCCATTCACGAGGGGCTATCAAGCGCCCTGGCAACGCCAAACTGGTAGATCACGTCTTGTGCAAATCTTAGGCTTTGCATCGCATTCGGGCTGGAGCTGCGTTCGCTGCGCATTGTGCTTAAGAGTAAGAGTATGGTAGCGGCGAGACTCTCTCGGCGCGACAGCGCGCGCGTTACGCGATGCCGTGGGCAGGACTGGGTTAGCAGCCAGCCAGATTTCCAGACCCATAGCCAACAGGGACGAACGAGATGACGCTTTTTTTTCTCCCGCTGACCGCAGGATTGTGCGTGCCGTGCTTTTATTCCGTTTTAACAGCAAATGCGATCCACTTTGCGGGCTGCTAGCTCCAGCCCAGCTTAAGAAAACGGCATCACCGGCCCACGTCTTGTCCGGCAAAGTCTGAGTCAATCTTTTTGTCGTTCGATGTTTTTTTTGGGGGAGGGCTGGCAAGGACGGGACCACGCTTATCTCGATGCAAGTCTCCGCGTTGAGGATCTTTTGCATGACTCGCGGCCGGGTTCAATGAAGAGTGGAGCTTTGTGCTGTGCCTGCAGGCGGTCCAAGACTGGCGGCGACGTCGAGACTCTCAGGTGGGGTGACGAGAGTTTGACCTTGATCGTGAATAGGACAGGGCATGACGGAACGCTACTTCCAGAGCTGAAAGCGTTGGGCGTCGATGGGGGATCTCGCAGAACTGGAATATCAGTCGTTCATCACCGCAGGCAGGCATTTGCGGGAGATGCTGTCTCTGCTCTCATGATGATCACGCTCCAGGACCTCATCTTGCATATATGGGGGGCGGGGGGGCATAGGCTTCATCCAGCGAAACTTGCACCCTTTTCAATGATAAACTGTCCAAGTGGGAGAACAGACGGGGTAAATCGCAACGCCTTCCGAAAGAAAGACGTTGTGGACCCCGTAGCGGAGCTGACAGAAGGATCCGCGAGACCTGCGTCCTGGGTCTACAGGGCTAGGCGACAGCAGACTGGGTCGCGTAGGAGGTGGAAGCCCAGGATGAAAACAGAATATGAGGGCCATGACAAGGGCGTGCGTGGGAGTGGAGGGAGACATCAGAGATGAGGGTTCAGACTAGCCTGGCCCAGAGTCTACACACCCCCAACTGGATTACGCTACTGGTGGTTCAAAGTGGGGGCACTCTTGGTCTGCACCTGGTTAAGTCGCTACAGCGGACGTGATTGACGTTCACCGGTCGGGCGCAGGGGTGTGCATCATGTGGAAAAGCAAGGAGATTCAGTGAAGAGTCGAGGGAGTTCTCGTAGGCGTGCCGCGAGTTGACAAGAACACACTCATCTGGTGGGCGGTCAGGACTCTGGTCGCTCGTCGGAGACTTCTCCCAAGCGAAACCAATGGCCAAGTCTGTGGAAAGAAGGATGACGTGAAAAGGGCAGTTTTCTTGTCGTGTAACAGAAGGGAGTGCTGATGGGAGACCTGCACAGTCATGGACGTGGTCGTCGCGTGGAGGGCGGCTTATTGGTTGCATGAAACGGGACAGAGTCCTGACATGGTCGCAGGAGTGCCGCTCGGAGGATAGCTATACGCATATACGCGGTCAGCATGGAGTGACCAGTCTTGCAGCGACAAGTGCCTCTACTAGGCACTGTACAAAGACGGAAGGGAAGGCAGTCGCTTTCTGATGATGATGTCTTTGTGCATACACTAGCAAAGGAGATGATGCAGTAAGCATGTGAAATGCGTCAGTGACAGACAGACTTTAGCTTTGGATTCGGATCATCGAGGGCGGAGTTTGCGATGGGCAAACCTCCTTGTGCGATCGATACTATGAGTCTGAGACTGAGAGAGGTCGTCGCGTGCGATTGGATTGGATCGTTTGTGCGCCCATCCATTATTTCCGTAGACCGAGCGGCTGGAAGGGACACCGGCAATCCTCATCCAACAGGAGGCTGCCCCCTCCTCCCTGCTGTTCTTGTCGACCCTGTGCTGCGAGTGGGAGCATGGAGTGTGTATGTAGGTCTGATGTCAGATATGCTTGACATAGTACCGGTATGGGCGAAGTGGCTAAGACGTCTGGGGGGGAGGGCGGGAGGGCGGGCTGTTATTCAACCAGGTTCATCTCTGTGACCGCCAACCCCCGACGGGTATACCTTTGCATGGCCTCCAGCCTCCTGTCCCGTGCTCTACAAGCAGAGTAGTAGGTACATGTGTATGTAGAACCACAGAAAACAACCTCCTCCACCCCCCCCCCCCAGGTCCATGCTCGTGCTGCAACTGGCAGGTGTTGTGTGAATTTGCATGGTCAAGGGTGGGGCGAACCTTCGCCCCGATCGCACAATGTACCCTTTTTGTATACCCGGTCACATGTTCGCGGAGTAAGACGCCAAAAGATGGTTGCGAGAATAAGAGCAGACTGTGATTCGCGGGGGAGCCGTGAAAGGCAGCAGGGTCTCAAGACTATCACTTTAGTGCATGGGGGCCGTCTAGTCAGCCTTGTCGTCAAACTTCAGGCCTCCCACTAAACAGCCGGAATCTCTTGGAGTTGACCCGGTCGGCCAAGCTGGAGCCTGGGGGTCATGTTTGTGCTACGTGAAGTCATCAAGTACAGCAGTGAAATTGCGACTCTGGGTACGGGCGCTCCGTTTGACGCACACGGTGTTTGGAAAAGCAAGCAAATCAGTCATTGTAGTGAATTGTGTCCATTTTGCTCCTGTCTCAGAACGTCACATTGAGCCGGCTAGCCTAGGCAGCAGCAGCACCGCCATATGCATCTATCCACACGAATCCCAACAAAGTTCTAATTCTTTCATGGTCATGCGAGTCACACAATCGTTGGCTCCACACGACATGCTGTAATTTCATAAACGCCATATCAATGCTATGCAGATGAATGTAAAAAAATGTTCTCCGTCGTTCCAGGTCCATGACAATGAATGATGAAAAAAAACCGGGTATTTCCAACGAAAGTGAAACGAGTGGCAATGACCGCTCGGCGTGGTGGGGCCAATTCGAGGGGTCCAGGTCTGCCAGTCGGATTTGAGGATGAATGTATACTCTTTCAAGAGTATTCGGCAATGGCAACGTTATTGCGTTGTTGATTTGAAGTAGACGACTGAGGTTGCTTCAGGCGTCTGTGGACTGTCATGATCTCGAGTCGAATTCAACGGGAGGCAATCGAGGTTTTCCTGGACGCTTTGAGGTGTATTCTCTTTACGTGATCTCTCTGCGAACATGTTAGTATGAGGGATCTGTCAGAGGCGCAATCTGCATACCATATTGTCCACACGACTAAACACTCTGTCGCAGCCGTCCCAATCACACAGTACTCCTGGATTGTGCTTGGCTTCATGCCTTGCGAGATCTTTCTTGCTCGAGAATCCACCTCCAGAAGATTGCGGGCAGTCTCCGTGACGGCAGAAGAAAGACTTTGTGTGACGCTTGTGATGTTTTCTGAGGTCACAGCCTCGGGTAAAGACTGCTCTTGAAGTACAACCAGGGTATGCACAGCTCCATGTCCCATTCTTATCTGGGATACCAAATGCTCGCAGATCGGGTGATGATGGGGAGAGAGAACGGGAGAGAGCTGGCGGTGATCTTTCCGAAGGCACGGAAGAATGTATGCCCAGACCTGCAGAAGAAGAGACAGAGTGAGAGCGTGAAGCTCGGGGGGGCGCGAAAGATTGTCCAAATGTGCCCGATTCGTGTGAAAGGATTGGAGTTGATGCTATGCTCGTAAAGGGCGGGTATGATGCATACGATGACACCTGCGACATGGACATGGAAGTTGCCTGCGACGACCAGAGGTTGTGTGGTGGGTATGGAGACTCCATCATGGGCCTATATTCGTGTGGTGTGGGATACATGGCTCCGTTTCCAGGCAAGGAGGTAGGTGTTCGATGTGATATGTGATGTAGCGGCGGAGAGTACATGATGCTCGGTGGTGATTGACAAGTGCTGGAGGGGTATAGGTGTGCTATGCTGTCATCCGGACCAAGCAAGGCCAGCTCTGCCTCGGGTGAAAAGAAGGCCATTCTTGTGTAACACTGTGTCTGTACGGTTCCGAGAGTAGGGACAGAGCAGATGGTGTGGTGGGTGTGGTGAGAGGAAGGTACAGGACTGGAGTATACGAGTATTTGAGTGGCTGCAAGTTGACCTTTACGTGAGTTGTGTATCATGCAATGGCATGGGCCAGTGCGTTCAAGCGAGAGAACCAGCGGATAGTTGATCACGGTCGAGTCTCAAGGCACAGACCCAAATCCCAGGGAAAGGCAGGATGATAGTAAGGCTGCTAGTCCAGGGTGTACAGCCTTAGCCCAGTAATCCTCTCAGGGTGTCCCCACAGAGGTAAGGCTGAGATGTTAGACTTGTGCGGAAAGGAGTGGCGGGTAGTGGCGGTGTTGTGATGTTTTGCAGTGCCTCAGACAGAAATGGCGCGCGAGTGAAGGCCTTAAAGGTACCAAGATAGAAAAGTGTAGACAAACGAGGAGAATACTTGACCGGGCGGTCTACCTTTTCTCCCGTAGATCTGGGGCACAGACAGACGAGAAGCTTATGTAGAGTCGAAGAAGACACCCTTCCAGTTGCTTGTCCGACCTCGAATGCTACGCTTGTGACGAGCATCGGATATGCGTCAAGTAGACTAGCGTCTGCTGCGTTGGCTGCCCATTCTATTGCCGCTCCCTTCTTGACTGATCCCAGGCCAGTAGAGATGCATAACACCCCCCTTCACAATTGGAGTGGGGTGCAAGTGAGCCTCGCGGGCCGGTTAGCTGACCCTTGTAGGGTGAAAAGGTATGTACATACAGTACCGTACCGCCATGACGGTGAACCGAGCGCTGTCCCTTGGTTAGCGTTGGTCCACAAAGCGGCTTGCTAGGATTGCCAGGATGTTTGAGTCGCCGGGATGAAGCTTTAGTCGGTTTACTTGGAAGCGATCTTGATGCGAATTGCATACCGCGCACGGTTAGCAGCTCACAGCACTTCGGTTACCGATGGTGCCTGAGCGCATCGCCGTTCTCGAATCTCTCTTTCTCTCTCTCTCTCTCTGTGTGTGTGTGTGTGTGTCTGGACATGGTGGTGAGCTTGAGCTGGAAGTGGAACCATGTTACCGCACGTTACCTAACCTCCTCCACACGAGCTCACCACGCTTTGTACGCGCGCTGTAACTTCAGCGGAACGCCACAATATCAGACTAGCCCTGCAAGCTGTGAGACAACACAAGGCTGTAGCGTATGAGGGGCGGGATTGTGCTCTCCATGGCGCTGGAGATGATGGGCTGAAGATCGTATGGGAGGAGCATGGAGCGCTAACTCCGGTTGTTGCAAAACGGCACAGAGCTGCCGAACAAGGTGATTCGCCAGGCTGGCCGGGCGTAAATGCAACCTATTCTTAGTAAGGAGCCGTGGTTTTTTCTTGTCGGCGGTGCAGTCTTTTGTTCCACCAGCCATGGGACCTGTAAAGGAATGGGTGAAGTCATTAGCAGCGTCTGAGGTAAGCAACATGTGGGTTTTCTCACAACCAGGTGGCATGTGCCCTGCTGCAGCCGTCATCGCGGTCCAGCCGCCTACCATACTATACGGTACTGGTCTACACATACGGTACAGGTAAACTACCTGAAGGCTGACCATGCCAACATCATCCTTTGCCAAGAGGCCAGTCACGCAACCTCGTGGTGAATTCCTGTCGTCTGTCATCGCAGGTACCTGCATAATCATTGCTTTCCAACCAACCCTTCACCTCATCAAATGGCTGCATGTCCTGAAGCAAGCCATCAGTGGATATGGTACATTATAGGTACACGTACCGGTACCTATGTGACTGGCTAAACAGCGAAAGAAGCCAGAACCAACTGGCCAGCCACAACCGTCGGGCATGGAGCGACTAATCATCCGTGTGATAACCTGAGGACCTGCGTATTGATGTCAAGAGCCGGGACTGCTGATTGGCATTATTTTCTTCCCAATGATGACATTTGTCAAACGAAATACTCGTCCCGCCCTTCATGCGAAGGAGTAAGCCTCGAGTTTGTGCTCTCCCCCTTCTCGGGGAGTACAAGAACCTAACAGATAGTTGGTGACTGTCAAGACTGGTCCATCATAAGGACATCCTGCAGAATAGTGTCGAGGAGTTACAAAGGCTGTTTCAACAAGGCATGCGCGAGTCGTCCATGCTTCTGCTATCGTGGCCCAAGTAAGCACTGATGACACACGTTGCAGCAGCGAACATTCCTGGTAAGGATGTCTGCATAATGCGGATGTCGCCCCTCGAAGGGGTGCATGAGTTGCCCCTGGAGAGGCTTGCCCGACACAGCATGGAGCAACTGAGGGCCACACACATGCTCTCCCGTATATGAGCCCGCTGTGCAGTGTGTAGAAACGATTGGTTAGATCTGCTAAGGAGTCACGAACAAGACATTTCTGATCTCGTGCAGCAGCATTGCTGCAGTTTAGATGCAGTCGGGACGCTGATACCATAACAAAGGAAGTTGTTCCTGGACGAACTTAATCTTACGTACAAAGCACATGGTCGAGCATCATCAAACCACGCAAATGTGAGACAGACCGTCTTACTGCGTGAGATACTAAAGAGATGTAGCAACAGGCTGACGAGGATGCTGAATGACGAGATCGCCTTGTACAGCCCCAACTCGCGGTTGACATTAAGCGCTGTTACACCTGCTGCTTCTCAGGCGCATATTTGGACCTCTCTCTTTTGTTCCTACCGCCATAACATGAATTAACGGGAATCACGCTTACGCCAGGTCTCCTAATCGTATGGTGAGACATGACTGTAGTGCACTACTGTCTCTCTCTGCAGTCACAAAATCATATCATATATGAACAGCATTGGTGCAATCATGCCCCCATTTCTCGAATCGTACGCTGAAAGCGATGACGCTTGTGCATACGAAACAAAAGGCTTTTCTTGTTAGCCCAGAGTATCTGCACTCCCTGGACCGTATACCGGTCACCTATGCAGTGACGAACAGCCATCGTCTCGGCGTCAAACGGAATGAACAAGGCTATAGCCATCTATCAAGACAACGCACATTTTGGGCCCATCACCAACACCAAACAATGCAAGCTCAGGATACTTGAGAGCTGCATAAGCGCCGTCTAGGTCAAGCCGGGAATTCGCTTCGACGTGCTAGGTGACTCATGCACTGCTCTCGTATTGTGGTGTTTCAGTCGATCACGGGCCATTTGCCAGGTTTTACTCATTTCAACCTGACGTGTGATCAAGTCCTCGGGGATCGAAGGTTTTGAGTAAACACTGCTTGCTGCGTAGAGCACAGTGGTGGATCACTCCCACAATCCCACCGAGGTGTTGGCGATTGGCGACACATGGTGATGAGATCTTTGTTGGATCAGGCTACAATTGGACCGACATTGACATAGAGACCAACCTACAAAGCCGCTGAGTTATGTGTACATCTGTCCGACTCTCGAGGGGTCAAATTGTGGCTTCTAGATTGCATCCAACCCACAGCATTGCCAGACCGTTGGATCCAGTACGAAATCTTCCAATTGGTCACGCACGGGAGTAAAATCAGCCCGGCACAGTTGGATTGATTCTCGCTTCTACGGACTCATTGCATTTGAAATGACTATACACAGCCACGAATGCAGGACTCCTTTTCAAGACACAAGCACCCTCCAGGCCAAAGACCACCTGTCCGCTCCCCACCCCAAGCACACATTTTTTATGCTTCTACTTTGCCCCTGCATATCTTAAGTCTTCTATTGCTGGAAGTTGGCGGCCTGTGTGGGGTGTCTTGGTTGGGGAGGCCTGAAGATCGTGGCAGTGCCCCGGGGGTGGTTATACATAGCCGCACTTATAGGACCAACATTTTCATTTGACAAAGCAGCCTGTATGGGCCAACTTCATACTCATTCAGGTGCCTTATTCGTAACCTACATTCTCACAGACGACTTTGAGGAAACAGAAGCGGCCCATGATCAAGTGTAAGTTTCAAATTCTGCCGTGCACATAGCCGTCATCAGAAATCTGTGTAGAGCTCACATCCAGTCAAAACTATAGTGATCTGCTGGGGAAAACCCGCACTAAGTGCATTTCCTCCCTACTGATCAGTAGATCTCACGTCAGCATCAATTGCACCAGTCGATCTATTTCGAATGCGTCAGCCTTTAGTGCTGCAGCATGTCCTTGATTGCCTACTCTTTCATTACAGTCCAGTTCACCAATCTTATGTCTACAACAGGACTAAGTGTCGATGTTCACCGCGATCAACTAAGCGGGGAGATTCCCTCCACTTGCGATTGCACGTCGGGACCAGAATCGAACGTTGGCAGAATAATATCATGTCCTCTTCAGTTCATGAATGATCTCCTTAGTAGGCGACATGCTACTTTATTGGCACTGAAGAATTACCTGAGACTAAGGGCGGCTGCCAGAGCCTTCCAAGATTTGCCGGTGAAGATATGTAACGCGAACGCAAGTGAAGACCCTAGATGTGTGCTAAGTGTTACTCTACAGTTTTCAAGCTATGATCTGAAATTAATGACAGTGCTGATGTGAATCGTATTTTCCACCATCGCAACAATGTTTCTTGGAGATGAATCTCCTCAACATCTTTGTGTACCTCTCCCAGAGCCGTCCCGAGAGACGGCTTGTAAAGCTCGGAATATTCTAGATGACATACTTTCGTAATCACGGTATGCTTTAGTCCTCAATTTGAAGATGAGTATGACGGGGCTACTGTCTCTATCCCTTATAATAGCCTGGAATTAGTCACAATGTTCTGAAGGACTAGACGTTGAATGAAGAAATAGCTAGGACATGTTAAATAAACTTTTCAAATAGAAGTCGCTGCTTCCCTCACATACATAATATTAACTAAAGCGGACGCACTCGAACCTCCTACGGCTCCAAGGTCTCATGCGCTCATGTCAGCACCACTGTAACACCACGATAATGCGGCGAATAGAGGCTGAGTGCATGCGAAAAGATTCTACATGTCTACATTAGCGCATAGTCTATTCAAATGCGCCCTTGAGTCCTAAAGTAATAATCTATGGGGCTAGCAAATTGCAATCACCTTTGAATATGAGATGCTTTTGCAGGGTCAAAATCTCTCTGGATATTCTTGTCCTTGACAAGTACTGATCTCTACTAGATTCACATGTGCGTCCAAGGCCGAAATTGGATCCGCAATGATACATGTCTGAAATTTTCAGGTCTCCATGCTGGACATCACATTGCCATTGCATTCTACGTGTACGCGGGCGTGGATTGCCGGTTGCTTCGATGACTGCTTCGATCAATACTTTCCAGGTAATTGCAGAATTAGTCGTCCTACAGGTTTCCATAACCAAATTGCCACTCGTAAGTTCACGAATCACTCCCGTAGGTAGCAAGCCTAAAAAGCGCTACTTACTCCAGTGTACATGCTCTTGGGTATAAAGAGCACCGAGAGTAGACTCAGGGTATTTTTCGGCTTCCAAAGCATCCCAAGACCCCGATCGAGCGCCAGCACGCAACAGCAATGTTGTTGACATGTTGTATAAATACCCATCTATAGTACTTATGCTGCCCAGAGCCAGCAATCTCGAAATGGCGGCCAACGCCCTCAAAGCCTTGGACGTCACAGTCGTTTAATGATAGCTGCCTCCGTAGCTCTGCTTCTGACTGAGTCTCAGGAGGGGTAGACTTCCATTCCTCATGAATCATAATCAGATATCCACCGACTTTACTCTCCGCCCAGACGCCTGAGATATCAAATTAGTCGATAGGAGCCTGGCTGGCCTCGCCGTGTTCATAAAGTCACCCATTGGCTTCTCTCGAGCGACACGAGCAAAGGTACGCCGCTGTGCGCGCTGCACGTACAATAATAGTGGGGAGTGGTTGGTAGCAGGAGCTATTTAGTTCAGTGGACGAGATCTTTACATGAGTCCCAGAGGACATATTATACCATGATAACACAGGCTACAACGTGAGCATCGTCAGATCGGAACCAGGTATGGTCTAAGGCGAAATTGCAATTGATTACTATGCTATCTGATGGAAGGAGAAGTCAGTGGAGAAGGTGAGAGCTTTCCACTTGCGGTATTGAGTTACTTGGATCTGAAAGAACCTTGGAAGCTATCAAATAATCTCTGCAGAACTTCACTGGACCAAAAAAACTTGGTACAGCAAGGTCGCCAACACATGTAGCACGATTGTTCAACCGCCTTCTCCGCACCGAGCGCACGATATCTGCTGGTGGAACAGAATCTTCAAGATCCTGTACATTTGTACATCATTTAAATTTAGCGACTGCAGTGGTTGCTCTAGGCCTACAATCATACCGACGGGAATACATTGTGGCTAGCGAAAAAGGGCAATCGAGTTGGACGAGCGTGCGTGTAATACTCGTGATAGCAACGTTGCACTGCTGTGTAGTAATGGTAGTGTCCTGCGCGATACATGAGGTCTTGCATTTTGTTGACCTCCCCGTGTCGTTTATGCTTGCGGTATGCACGCTCCTTGAATTGAGCATTGATTTCATTCTGTTGATTAGTTCGACGATAGCCCTTTCGCTGAAGTTTTCCTACTTGCCATAGCCACCCTTTCCTGCATGAAAGTGTCCTTCTTTAAGTCTGCTTGGGCTGGCAAGTGCTGGTAGTCTGATGACAGATCATCGACTTAGCGTCCCAGCGTCCCAGGCCTGCTCTTGTCAATCCTCGCCATGCTGCTTAGCGGTTCTGCGAATGCGCCGAGAAAACCTCGTTCCAAGTACTATCCAGTATAAATAGCTGACTGTACGGCTGATACCAAATGGCATGCCTCCAGGGGTTCGGTTGTCGTGACTTGATTGGTCATTCCTTGGGATCAAGAAACAACGCTGCAAAACCATGTACAGAATGTACCACTAATCGCTCTCAGCGCGTGCTCTACTGCTGCAGCAGCGGTTCTGGAAACGATATTCTTCCCATAGATACACACCACGATACACATGAAAATAGTGAGCGAATGAGGATCATCGACAATCCTCAACGGACATTCGATATGGGATATTGCTGATGATGATGGCGGCGATTACCAGGTGTTATACAAATCTCCTCGTACACCGGTCTTACACATGTTGGGGTACCAATTGTGGTGCTTCCCCCTTTGCGATAACTTGTCTCAGTGACAGAGCTATTGAGCAGGCGTGCCTATCTACACCATAGCGTCGATCGAATGGTGGCGCAACCTATGAACCTGTCCAACACTTAGATTCACTTGCTCAAGAAGACCCCAAGATGTCGTTCAGTGCTCCAAGTGCAGGTTGCTTGGAAATGCCCGTCGTGGATTCGCCGCTGGAGACCCGGGGCTGATATTGGTGATTGCCAATGCTTCGATTCGTGACTTTTTCCTATACATTTGTGCGCGATGCCAAAGCAGCTTCCAACAAGACAGATCACAGTTCGTAATACAGCTGTACGTATCATCGATCTAAGCCACCTTGGAGTGCATGAAGGGACGGTGAGATCAGCGTCGGCAGATCGACCACGGACAGGACTTCGGGGCTTCGCGACCAATTGATCGGTGCAAGATTCCTGCAACAGCGTCCATCGTTAATGCCGACACGGATCCAGAAGTGTTTGAGGATTAAGGAGGGCAACGTCTGAAGCGCCAAGCTGAAACGAAAGGGCGGTCCTGATTCCGGGCAACACGTGACGGAGCTACTCCGCTTTCTCCCAACACAATTGATTGTGAGTGAAAAGCAACTCAAGTCACCCCTGTCACGGCGCTATTTGTGCACGCCCGCAACTAACTCCTCGCGACATGGCATTCGTACTCATCTTCCCCAGGAAACGGTAATGTCACATTCCAAGGGCGGGCCCACTGATGTTCAGCCGCATTTGTTGGAAATTGTCGCTTTGCTCTCACAACAAGGTTCGGGACGGCGTCATTGCTCCAGGACCTAGTCGGCACAGTGTCCACAAGGCGGAAATATATTTTGGCTTGAGCTTTTGAAAATCCCATCGCCCTTCTTCACAATGTCCGCCATACTACGAGCCAGCAAAGGTCTCTCGACTGGTTCGACTGGTAGCTTCGATGAATTGTACGCCCATCGCCAAAGCCAATTGTTTCGAGACCTCGAGGTCTTGTTAGAGCTCCCACCAAGCACTTTCCGCTCCCGGCTATTAGCTCTTCCAAAAGAGTTGCGAGAAAGAATATTTGACCATGTACTGCCAGACGTAACGACCAGTCGACCGGAATTGCACACATGCCTATGGGGTGCAGATATGGTGAATGGAGAGCCCTGGAGACACGATATATTTAGTTACAACACCACAGTACCCACCAGCATTCGTTTGCGCCCGGAGCTGTTACTCATTAACAAACAAATACGAGGAGAATTGCTAGACGCATATTTTCGACAGAGCAGATTGACTTTGCACGCCGAATTACGAAATACCAGGACGAACAACGATCAGTTCGAATACTCTCCACATGTCCTTCAATTGCCCATGTTGAAGCACGTCACGCACATCCGCTTCTATGTCGAATGGAATTATACTACTTTGAAAAATGTCAACAAAGACCGACAGCTCAGAGACCTGGTAGCCATGACCGATAATCTTTTGAAGGCCATGGACAAGATCATTACGCCCCTCCAAGCCATCGAGACCATTGAGCTCTCTGTGCTCTTTTTCTGGAAATATCGGTCTGGCAAAATGTACAGTCTTTCTATGCAAGATCTCTTCGACCTGGAGGACGTCTTCAAGCGCTATGCGGAGCAGCGCTGGCTCACTCTCCTGCGCAACAACAACTCGTCAGTCTTATCGCCGAATTCTTCCGCCGGTGTGGGATACAAACTCTCGAGCGAAAAGAAGGGTACGGAGCAGAGTGGTGGGATGGAGATTTTCGTCAGCCAGGATCTCGAAGAAGCAATGGCTGTGTCACGTGAGAACAATGTTGACTTTTATGGCAATTATGGGATTTCAGACCCTTTGCCACAACCAAGTTACAGGCATGGAGCAATGATCTGATCGCTCGAGCTTGAAGATGTGATTATCAGCTGAGTGCACCATGTATTTCAAAGCCAGTATTGGAAGTGGAACTGGTACCAGCATGCATGCCACTGTCGGATGTACATCGGCACTGTTCCACACCACGGATTGTACGGATATTTGGGCCTGATTTCAAAAGTCATTCATATCTCAACTAATGAGGTCATCATTGTACTGGCGCTCTGTTATCGAAAAGTCTTTGGATAAACAGGTAGCTTCAATAAACCTTCACAAAATCAACAGCGAAAAGCTAACATCAAACATCAGCCGCACTTGCTTCTGTGCATGTAGTCGTGTTCTACACACTAACTTTACGTCGTGGGTAGATCCGTAACCGTGCGCGAGACAATTCGGCCGAGGATTGCAGATGAGCTTACGTAGTACGATCGGAGACGGAGTTTTATCAAGAGCGATTCGCTAGAGCACCACATACCCATGTTGCACTTGTTACAGTATTGCTGGCGGTCAAGTCTGACATTCCCCCCCCCCCCCCCAGACTGAAGCATAGTTAAAATCCAGTGCAAGGGATTGATTGCGCTGCAGAATTAAATGAGCTGATGAGAAGCATAGACGCATCTCAAAATATCTAGAATATCTAGGCCACTAGGAGTGATGTGTGGGTACGGGACAGTGCGGTTGATGATTGAGCTCACAGGTTGGCACCATGGCGAAGTTAGACTCTGAGTTGGGGCCCGGGAGCCTGGACTCTGTTGGCATTCACCAATCCAAGAATCAATGGCCATTTGCCATCCGAGAGTTCCACCTGTGGGAAACCAGGATAGTGGGAAAACACCCAGCTCGGCCGAACATTGTCAAGCCCAACAAAGTACCCTACCCAACTATGGCATACCTATACTAATATCTTGACCCGCATCCGTCTTATCTCCCCGCAAGGAAGTAAGGCAGGGTACAGCACTAGTCGTGTATGGAGAGTCCACTCAACGTGCGGAGAGCGTCCGCCTCCTGTTTGAGAGGTTTGAATCATGCTGTGGTGGAGCGTGTCCGGAGTTAAGGACGTTTTGAGATGCCGCCTCGGACAATGCGGCGCAGAAACAACCGCGAACTGTCGCATTTAGGCGGCTGCTAGTTGTATGTTAGCGGCACGCGACCCATCTGTATAATGGCGACAGTCTGCTATCTCATCGGCCAGCCTGTTGCATCTTTCCTCGTCATCAAGCCGAAGTCGAGTTGCTCGAGGTTCTACCTACACCGCCGCGTGAACTCCGTAAGTTAACTTCGTGGACCTCGTTACCTACCATCGATTTGTTCGCGATCCACTCCTGGCCTGGAGGGAGCTTTGTATTTTGCGATATACAAGCTACTCGGCGACTAAAAGCGCTTTTGGGACCAAACGAAGGCTGCTACGGGTTTTTTCCTGGTTCCATAACCTCTTTCAACTATTCGGCTGCCCTCGTTAGGCACAGAAGGCACCATCTCAGGCCATGAGCGGGAATAATGAATCCGCGGCAGGCAAGGAACATGAAGAACACGCTTTAGGCAAAATGGCATCAATACACCAAGTGCCCAGCCATATATCTGCAGATAGCAGGTCAGTGAACGAGAGGGGCAACAGCGACGCCTCCTCTACCAGGAACGGAGACATCGAGAAGGATGCTGGCTCGAGCTTGACAAAGGCCGAGGAGAACCCAGAAGAGGAACCCGAGAGGGATCCAAATATTGTCGATTTCGATGGACCTGATGACCCGGAAGATCCTATGAACTGGAGCAACACGAAGAAATGGGGCACGGTACTCCTGGTCTCTGCCATCACCTTCCTGACGCCACTTGCGAGTTCGAATTTTGCTCCAGGTGTGCCAGAGATTATGGCAGAGTTCCATTCAACAAGCCGATTGCTCGCCAGTTTCATGGTGTCCGTCTTTGTCCTTGGATTCGCTGTCGGACCGTTGCTTATTGCGCCACTCTCAGAGATGTATGGACGGTTACCGATGTACCACGCTTGTAACCTTTTGTTCGTCATCTTCACCGTCGCAGCGGCCGTGTCGAATAGCATGGCCCAATTCATCATTTTTCGGTTTCTCATGGGCTGTAAGTACGTCGAAATGAAAATTTCGAGCAAGTGTTGACCATGATTAGGTTGGGGAGGTGGTCCCATGGTTCTTGGTGGAGGCACGATTGCGGATCTTATACCACATAGACACCGAGGAACTGCAATGGGTATTTGGATGATGGGAGTTAGTAAGTATACGCGTGCAACATCATTAGATGTATTCTAACGTTGCAATAGCGATTGGACCCTGCGTTGGACCCATTATTGGAGGCTATCTCGGCGAGGCAAGAGGCTGGCGCTGGAATTTTTGGTTCGTTGCTATCGTCGTAAGTTACGAGAAACACCGTATGAAGAGGCATCTGATTAAGAATCTCAGGCTGGCGCGTTCTTCGTCATTTCTCTGATCATGATGAAAGAGACCTCACCGGTTATCATCCTGGAACGTAAAACCAAGCGCCTACGCGCTGAGACGGGTAACGACAAGCTACGGTCCAAACTTGCCAGCGACATGTCGACCGCGCGGTTATTGAAACACTCCCTGATTCGTCCTGCCAAGATGCTCTTCCGCTCAACCATTTGCTTCGCACTCTCGCTCTACGTTGCCATCACATATGCGTACCTTTACATTCTGTTCACAACCTTCTCGGTTGTTTACAGCGAGGTGTACGGTTGGAATGGTGGTAATGCGGGCCTCGCATGTAAGCAAACCTCCTTACCCAGAGCACACGTTCCTTGGCTAACTTTTGCACGCTGTAGTCGTGGGCATAGGAGTCGGCTCCATCATCGGGCAAATCACATACGTTCGCCTCGGCAACTACCTCGTCAACAAACACATTAAACGAGGGGACTTTAAACCAGAGCATCGGCTCTACATCATGACCATGGGCGGAATCTGGCTTCCCCTCGGCCTATTCATGTATGGCTGGGGTACACATTACGGGGTGCACTATATCGTTCCCCAGATCGCGACAGCGTTTGTCGGCTTTGGCCTGTTGCTCATCTTCATGCCGGCGTCTACCTATCTGGTCGATGTATACACCGTGCATGCTGCAAGTGCGATGACGGCCATGACGGTGCTTCGATCACTCATGGCGGCCTTTGTTCCACTGAGCAGTCGCGCCATGTATGATGCGATGGGGTACGGTTGGGGGAATTCGTTGTTGGGCTTTGTATCGCTGGCGCTCGTCCCGATACCCTTTCTTTTCATCAAGTATGGTGAGGGAATACGGGCAAGGAGCACAGTGAAGCTGTGAGATTGTAGCAGGATATGAAAACAATCAATCACGCGATTGCATGCTCAGGGACGCTTCCACGCTCTTGCAGCAACATTGCCATTGTGTTAGCCTTGCTAACATTGCCGACGTCACATCCTTTCGTTGGAGGCCTCGCCCACTACAGCCCAAGTAATCATCCCGTTATTCTCAAGTGACGATGACATCGCTGCCGTCAGCAATCGATCACCAGAAGTAGAGACGATGAAGCCTTATTCAAGGGGGTGTGTACCAACGAAGACTCCAAGTGGATGTGATAGCAACAGGGCAAGCAGAATGAGGATAGCGGAGCACCGCGGTGAATATATATTAGATTTAATGACAGCTCCTAACCTCATCGTATCTTCAAGACGAACATTTCTTATAGTTGTAGACGTGCTATTCCCATACTGTGAACACCCAGCACTTTATTCTCACGCCCTACCCTAGTCTTCGCCGGCAAAAGCTCTACAGTATGTCCGGCTCTTATCACACACACACACACAAACAGACTTTAGTAAACCTATACTCGGTGCTGATAAGAATTCTAGATGAATACCTTGGAGACCTTGACTGGATATGCGCTTATTAGCAGGATTTCCTAATTAATCAAGCGGCCAAAATGATGTCCTGACTAGTTGTGGTGTAGTGAGATTGCAGCTCAACATGCTAGGTTCAGCCACAAAAAGAGAGGGTGTTGTTGAAGTAGGGACAACAGTGAACGGGTTTACTTCCTACATGCCCTAGACTTTTCACCCATTATCCTTCGATGACCCATCAAAAAGCCCAAAAATCAATCGAACGACAACGGCAGGATTTGAACCTGCGCGTCCGAAGACATATGATATCTAGTAGAATGAATCATTCGAGTCATACCCATTAACCACTCTGGCACGTTGTCTTGTTTCGTTGATATGCAATTTTCCCGATTATTAAATACATATTCTTAGATCAATTGGACATGACTCACTAGCATGGCCAGCATAGCCATACTTTTGGGCTTATGTAGACACAACGTACTCGTCAAAAACTCTTCAGGCGGGGTTTCACGCAACGGGCTGGACTCAGTATCGTGCACGGATCATCTCGATAGGTTGTGCTTTAGATCCAAATAGGCACTAGCGTTCCTCGGGACACTCCCGCGTGTGGCGCATCGGCTCCGTGCTTCCTCCAAGATTATTGGTGATCATTGGTGTCATGCAGGTCCGACAATCGCACCCCTAGAAGATACAGAATTCACAGAAAACTAACACAGTAATCTTATACCCTCCGCAGCCTGGACCGTCTACCCAAGTGCCAGGACCGCTCTGGCACATATTCCTGTCTGCTTCCTTGCGCCATGTAGGCGAAGCTGCGACGTAATTGCGTTCAAACATCCATGGTCGGCAGCATGGACTCGGTAGCTGTCGCGTCCAAGGCGGCGTCGCTCGCGTCGCCCAAGATTGTTAAGAATGCGAAGGGCAACATTGTACCAAGTAGCCAAATGGCACATATTGCCTATGGCTGTGGTGAGCCCTGCACTGACGAGACGAACCGAACCGACTTGCTGACCAAGGGCTAGAGCATATGGGTGAGATGTTCGAGAATGCACGCAAGCAGACTCTCCAACAGTACCGAGCGATCCTACGAAATATACACGAGAAACCAAGCATAATAGCGCAGACTCACAATTCGTCCAGCGATGCGCAGCATGTTGTATCCCTGAGGCCGCTCTACCTGTGTCTACAGTGTCCCAACATCATGATCGAGGCAGATCGAGATTCACACTTTGAGACCAAATCGCACTGCTTTTGTACGTTTGGAGGATGATTTGGCAAGAGAGTTTACTAATAGGCCTGTAGCGGTGGAGTCGCGGGAGGGCAACGTCTATTGTGGCAACTGCCAGGATTTCATCTACGATGAGGCGCTAGAGGTGTTGAGACAACAAAAAGGTTCGTGATAGCCTGCCTCTCTCTGTGCTTTGAGCTGTGTTGACAGGAGTCCCTAGGCAAGAAGCGCAAGTACGAAGACACCACCACGACCGACGATCACAAGCTTGTTGTGAGCAACTCTACCTTCCTCCCATGTCGAGCGATTGGTCTGCGCGGACTGTACAACATGGGCCAGACGTGCTTTATGAGTGTGATTCTACAAACGCTCGTGCACAATCCCTTTATACGTAACTTTTACCTCTCGGAAGGACACAGGCAGGCGGATTGCGAGAAAGAGGCATGCGTCAGCTGTGCGCTCGACGAGATGTTTGTCGAGTTCCACTCGGCCGAGAAGACGGAAGGATTTGGGGCTGTCGGCTTGCTGATGGGCAGCTGGCTAGCCGGAGAGGCGCTGGCGGGATACCAACAACAGGATGCGCATGAGTACATGCAGTTCATATTGAACACGTTGCATCTGGCGAATGGCGGGACGACTGACTCGGAAGACTGCAAATGTGTGGTCCACCAGACCTTTTGTGGAAAGTTGTCAAGCACAGTGACGTGTGACAATTGTCGCAATGTGACTACGGCGCTTGATCCCTACATGGATCTCAGCCTTGATGTACGGAACCAGGCCAAGAAGAAGAAGCTCAGCGCAGGAACTGGTGATGAAACACCCCTGGATATACGCGATTGTCTGGAAAGGTTCACAGTCAAGGAGAGACTAGGTGCAGCCGAGTACACATGTCGTACTTGCGACAGCCCTCAAAACGCAACCAAGCAGCTCAGCATCAAACGACTTCCTCCCGTCCTATCCATTCACCTCAAGGTAAAGAAGGGCCCTACCTGCCCACGCAATCTTGTTCTTCTACTTCCACTAACCCCCTCACAGCGCTTCGAGCACGCGAAATCCACATCCTCCAAAATCGAGACCAAGGTCACTTTTCCGGTCAAACTCGACGTCCACCCTTATACCACTGCTCACAAGGCGGCGGTCAAGGCACTGGCCTCGAAATCCGCAAGCCTCGACTCGAACCATAACATGAATTCTCCGGCTAATAGCCTCGTGTACGAGCTGTCATCGGTGGTCGTGCACAAGGGCAAAATGGACTCTGGACACTACGTCAGTTACTCGAGAGAAGGCAACGACTGGTTCATGTTTGATGATAGCAAGGTGGTGCTTGTTGGTGAGGCAGAAGTCCTCGCTGCAGAAGCCTATCTCCTCTTTTACATGGTCAGCGGGCTCGAGGTATAATATCATTCTTTTTCTTTTGCAGAAAGGTGTTGGTGGATCCGCTGCATGTTACGCATTTTTTTTTCTTTCATCAAAATAGGTACGAATAGCGGTCCTAGTACTAGGTACTACCACCTTGTCCTCATGGTCTGGACAAGGGCGGGGGCAAAGAAACATGATTCATTACCGCACCCATGACGCAAAATATGCGAGGAATGCGTATCTGGTACAGGCTATTGTACAGTACCATTGTTCATTACAAACACAGAAATTACTTGCCAGGGTGATTATCTGTCTTGCGCGCCACTGCAGCCGTGAGACGAATCAGACGTCGTTTCGATGGCATGTTACTTGCCAGCGTTGCTCGAATAGGTAGGCAAGAAGGAACAGCAAGCTTTCCAAGGCAAACCGCAGTCTGGCGCCCGAAAACAAAGCATCGTCGCGACTCTCGACCAAGACAAAAAGACGACGCGACGACGACATTGCCCGTTATTTTCTCCCTGCGCTGCTTTTCTTGCCCGGGGGCTAAGTGAGGACGCGATGGGGATAGGGGGCCGAGGGCTACATGTGTACTATATGTATATGTATACTCTATGCACATATACATGCAGTACATAGATACACACTGTATAATTCCCAACGACACACTGTACCCAGTCGATAGCCCAAGTATAAAACGGATCTGAATCATTGGCTTTGCTTTCCTCGGGACCGACAGCGTGGTCCAGCTCGGCAAGTGCGCATCCTGCGAAACGCAGCCAAGGGGCCGAATTGCGGCCGGTCGATGGTTTGGGTTCATCGAGATTTTTTGGGGGCGAGTGGGTGGTGTGAGGTTGAGGGGCTTGAATTTGGGAGAATGGGATGCAGGCGATTGTGTGTGTAACTGGTGTTGTCTCACCCAGGCCATGGGCATGATTATTTTCACAAAGCAGTAGAACACAGACAATGGGCTACCAGGTACGGTACCGGTACTAGAGTAGAGTAGACACCAACAATACACAACCCCAACCCCATGGTCAAAAAGCCAACCGAACCCGTACGATCGGACAGCTAGCCTGCGGCACAGCTGCATGACATTTCTCACCATGCGGATTTTCCCTTTTTTCCCCCTCCCCCAAACTCGAGATGCTGTCTGAAAGAGTCAGCTCCCGGGACAGCGGCGAGCTGTCTACCCAGTCCCTCGGAATGAAGGGGGCGAGGGGGGCTCGTCAGCAGCGGTCGCATGCCAGGCAGCTGGTTTTCGTAGCTTGGAGGCGTTATTGCACGGATGCGTTTCGGCGCGTCGGGTGGCAGAGATGTGGCCCGGTTCGGTTGGCATGCGGGCTTGGATGGGGGGGGGGAGGTAGGGTTGTCGGAGTAGGGTAGGTGGTGTAGGCATATACATACCGTGTGTGTGTGTGTGTGTGTGTGTGTGTGTGTGTGTGTGTGTGTGTGTGTGTGTGTGCGTGTGCGTGTGTTCTTCTTGTGTGTGGTGCTAGGTAGAACGAGCGGGTGACGGACTGGCTGTGGGCGTGTTTGGCGTGGTGTTGCGGGGCTGGTGCTTCTGTTAACCTCGTGGGCGCATATCTGAGTACC